TTCCATTTATTACGTCTAGAATTATAGCTCTTTTCACTTTATTGTACCTTGTGAACGCTCTTTTTGAAATTTATATGCATTATTTAAATTAGTCAAACCACGAAGCCTGTTGAATTTCAGCAATTTACAATAATACTTCTACAGTTATGGCCCTTGTTTCACTTTGTTCAACCTTGTTAATGCTCGATTGATGAAAGTTATTATCCGATATGTATGAAATTTATATGCATCAATTAAATTTGTGAAACAGAGGTCTATTGAATTTCAGCAATTTCCGTCAATATGGCCCTTGTTTTACTTTGTGAAGCTTGTGAACTTTTGAATGGCAAACGTGATCATCCGATCTGTATGAAATTGATATGCATTATTTAAATTAGTAAAACGAAAAAGCCTGTCAAATTTCAACAATTTCTGTAGACTATTTCCAGAGTTGAGGCCCTTGTTTCAGTTTGTAGAACCTTGTGAACCATCAAACGACAACAATTATAATCTGATCAGTATGGAACTATCTTGTAAAGGCCCCTAATTACCTATGTTTCGTTGCCTGGCAACCTATCTTTACACGTGTAGAAATTTTAAGATACTGGGCAAGGGAAAAAGATCTTAAACAAATCTAACTTTTAATTCAGAACAGGGTGCATTGTAAGGCTTTAGTAAACAAAGAATGATGATGTAAATATTGATTCTTGCACAAAAATGATGTGTATTTTAGCAAAGAATTTAACGTTTAATATTGTTGGATTAAGGGTTGTTTATATATTCTTTTGGTGACATGACTTCATGTTTTTATAAGGTAAATTGTTCAGACTGTTGCTTTTTTATGGTCAAATTCCTGTGTCAATTTGAGTCCCGAAAAGTCTCTTGGATCACTTTCTTGCCTTAATTAAAAATCTATTTCATCCAAGTAAAAAATAACACATGAAGGATATTTTTTGTAAAATGTTTTTTAAGTACAAATGTAAATTAGATTCATAATTGATTATTATTCTTGTCAAGTATATTTATACCGTTGGGATATGAATATATTTTCAGTTGGAATCTAATCTTTTAAACTTTTGGGGAAGATGTATAAATTCAAAAAACTGCAAGTAGTGCTCATTCATAACCTATCTGTTAATGTACGGTTCTCGATGTTAAAGTACAGAATATAGATTACACCTTGCAAGCACTAACTATTTTGTTTTTATTTTGATCAAGTTACGTTAAGATGTAAACTATGATCCCAGTTGGATGGCAGAAACATATTGTAACCACATGATTTGAAATAAGAAAACTGAAGAGTAAGGGAATATCAATATGACTGCATTATTTTATTAGGAGAAAATCATAATATTGGCATATTGAGATAAGAACTAATGGTATTAGTATGTATAATCTTAGATCATATGATATTGAGATCCAAGGTGTAATCCTTCGTTTATTTCTTCTACATTTCTTCTACACAATCATGGAGTTTTTCTGGGTTGAAAATGTCTTTATATTTTATGTGAATGGAACTGGAAGTGAAGCCAGTGAAGTTGAAGGACTAATAATATTGATTGGTGTTTAATGTTGTTTGTTAAGAAGAGAAATATGGCTGGGTGGTTTGTTGGAGTAGAAATAGTTAATTGTCATTTATATTCAGTAGAAATGTTCATTTATTCTAAAAATCATTGTTCTATACATAGTGCACTGTGATCAAATCTATAGACTGATTTGTTATTAACATTGATTGATATGTTAGGCATGATTACATTATTGCTATATGATAATTAATTTGATTTGATAAAACAAGAGGACATTATGATTGCATTCCATAGACTTATATTAACTTCTTTCATTTGGCAAAATAAAAATGTATTTAATAAAACAGATTTTTTGATCTAAATATTTGTTTTTGATTGTTTAGTTAAAACAAATTATATGGATGTAATTATGTAAAATTTCAGATACTGGACCGGGTGTTATTATTCATGGTGTGTCCATATACAGTAATGAAACTCTTGAACCCATTGATATAACTGGCTTTAGGTACATGTAATAATATTGATTTATGTGTGGTAACTGTATAATTGAACATAGAATGTGCATGAATAATTGGTACCACTACCAATACACAATTTCAATTGAACTCTAACCCACATATATCCAAGCAATTTCTCTTTGAGGCAAAAAGCCATGTTTTGCGGGAGAAAATCAGTGTATGCTAACAAAAAACAATGTATCAAGGGTATGTCATTGAGGTTAAACATGGTTCCATTTTATATCAAAGTAATTGTGTGTGTAGTGTCTTGGTTGAAAAAGAAAACAGTGGACTATAATCATGTAGTGTGTGTTTGACTTACAACATGTCTACAGGCATTGCACCATGTACATTCTTAATCCAATGAGGATCCAGGTGGGGGGGAGGGTATTATTTTGACCAGCTAGCTGATGGATAGAATTACTCATAACTACTTGTATGGCCATCCTTCATATACAAAAAGAGTGTAGATGTACTAACTACTGGTATTCAAACTGTTAAAATTAAATGTTACAGGCAGTAGTAAAGCAAGTCTGACATTGAAATGTTTTTTTTTTTCTTCATGTCAGAAATTAAGTATTTTTGTAAATTTAAACCCAACATAAGCAATCTTTTCAAATTTAGGAAATTTGTTGTCAGACACATAACGAGACATGAGAAGTACAAATCGGACCAAAACTGCCAGACAAAATGGTTGCCCTTTGTACGCAATTATTGTAAATATATGGTATATCAAGGTTGTGGACACAATTTTGATTTGATTTTGATGAAACTTGAAATACGTTTTTATAACCCAAAGATCTTGGTTCCTTTCAATATTCACGCATATTGGATCATAACTTCCTGAATTATGGCCCTTGATTGTACAAAAAATCGCTTCTTTTTATTATCTTGTTCTCTGTCCATCTCTTGCAAAATTTCGGCGTATCTTGCATGGCAACCACTGGTTTAACAATAACTCAGCTAAGATATTTGATCATTTAATGTCTACAGAGTATAAACTGTTCATAATATATTCTCACAACAAAAATATTAATTATGCTCACAATCTTTTAATTAAAGAATCTATTGAAACATGGCATGCTTAATTAGCATTCATTAATTAACATGCAGATAAGTAATTAATTAGACACAATATATAATACATGTACATATATTTCATGGTTGTTAATTTAATACATTAACACATGTTGTCAAATGATGTAACATATGTTTTCATTCATATAATTATGTAGACCTATGAGATATCAGTACATGTATGTTTTGAAATAAACAACTTTTTTCATTAAATGTAAATTATTCATCCCATACTTGAAATATTGGAAGATGTATTTTGAGCTTAAATTTTGTCTTGCTTTAGGTTTCTGTAGATAGCAGATACACATATCGTTCTTACACTTATAGTAGACACTTAGAAAGAATTTATTTGTTCTACATTAAGTAACTTGGAAGCACTGAGCTATAAGTGGTTCAGCTATGTAAGATTAAAGCTATTTTAAAGCATTTTAGTTTTATAGTGTTGTAAGTAGGGTTTTATGATACTGGTTTATTGAAGAATTTAGTAGTAATAATAGTATAGACTTTGATTATTATTGTTATAATATATGTTTGCTATGACTTGGTCTCCTGGATAATGTCAGTGAGATGTGGTGATATTCTCTATAACAAGCTTCATTCATGTCTGCACATTTATTGATTTTATGGAAATGAGAGTTAAATCGACATTTCCATCTTGGTTTAGTTTCATTTGGTTTTATATGAAGTACATGTACATGCAGGTATTTCTGATTAAATTATAACAGATTAAGAAAGGAGTGTGACTTAAGTTAAGATTAGGAAAATTCAACATTGTCAGATTAATGTTTATTAAAATTGTGAAATTACAGTACTGGTATTGAATGTTGAAAATATTTTATCTACTTCACAATTTTCAGTAATTCACCAAATATTTACAGTAAATTTTTTTGCACCAAAAATTTATTGCGGCCAAATACCTAACCCATTAAAAAGAGACACTGCCGAATTTTGTTGTTTTGAGATGTTTGACTATTTGTGCACTAGGATTTCATAATGACATGCCTTTTATTTTTAATGTGTATGTTTCCAATATGCCTGGGATTAATTTATAAGTTACACTGTACCTTTACCATCAACAAGACAGATTGTAACTTGAGGAGATTACCACTTTTTTTCCGAGCACCTTAATATTGATTAAAGCCAATATAGTGTGGATTTATGTCATTGTTGCAATAATGACAATTTCAATTTACACAGTGCTTTTGACATTGGAATTTAATGAAAAGATTTAAGATTTTCTTTAAATGTACATTTTCACTTAGTACATCCACTGTAGAAAAGGTGGCTTTAGTTTTCAAATCAGGTAGATATTGATTCTGGTATTAACACACTAAACCTAAATCTAGCATAAAATGAACGCCTGATCATATGCTTTAAATCATAACCCTAACACAATGTAATCTATGATCAATTCAACCATGACACCACAAATAATCAAAAATTTATTAGCCTTATACTGGGGATTAAATCAGGGTTTTTCTATTACCTTACTTTATTTCTGTAATCTTAAGATGACCTTTCTTTATAAGTTCAACAGATCTTGACTTAAGTTTTCCAGAATGTTTTATATAACTTTAACAAACCTAAAATAAGAATAGATATTTGTACATGTTCGTAAGAATCTTTATGAGAAGGTTTAATATAGACTGAATCAATTTATACAGATTTGTACAGACAGGTACATGTAAAACACAGTAGACCTGTTTTTACTATTGTTTAATATTCTTTATACATTGTACATTATACAGAGATAAAATAAACTTCAAACAATTGTCAGTGATAGTATAAACAGAGGTAATGTTATAAGCTAACATTGTACAGGATTATTTATTTAGTTATTTTTGTCATTCTTTTATACAAATTTTAATAATGACAAACATATTCATTGTGTTAATACTGTTTTATTCTAATCTCTTTTCAGATGATGCAATGAAGACAAAATCACACCATCACTTGACGCAGGAATGTCAGTTTGCCCAGAGTTTACGCAAAATGCCTGGAGGAAAGAGTTATGTGCTAATTGTCAAAGACCCAAAGGAGAACATTCTTCATCAATTGATCTTTCCTGTACAGCTAAATCATCACCCAAACCTACCAAACGCACATCTGTGATATTCAGACCTGGACAAAATGGAAGCTCAGATGATAAGCTAGCACTGACAGACATTGAAAACGGTAATAATCTGGAACATCAGTCAAGTAATGTAAATATACTTGATAATTCACCACCAAGAAAGAGAAATCTAAAAAGTGCTTTGTCCAATTCAAGTACCAAAAAACTGAAAAATGTGAGAACCTATAAAGTTTTATTTGCTGAAGCGTCAAGTGTGATAGGATTTGATGGAGGTTTGGACAATCTTTATGATGATGATGATGATGACGTTCAATTATCTGATTCAGATACAGCCATTGACTTTAGTTTCAATAAAGAGGAAAAGGAGTTTGCTATGTTAGCTTTAGAAAATACATTATGGAATGCCGAAATTAGCAACCTTCGTTCTGACTTAGACAAAAGAAAATCTAAGTCAACTTGTAAGGAATTTGAAGACATACGTGTAGAACTTCTGTCTTTGTGTGATCCAGCTCGTTTTCCTAATCTCAGAGACTGCGATGCCATTTCTTCTGATTCTGTAAATTATGGTACTTTTCCTGTTCGTAGAAAGAATATAAATACTAATAAAGTGCCAATAGACAATTTTTTTGTTTCTTCATCATGTAAAATGTCCTCGGACATTGAGTTCCTTAGAATAGCAGACAGTGTTGATAATGCTGATAGTGAATCATCGGGATCGGAACACTATAAAACTCTGTTGAGTGGGGTTGATAAAGTTAAATCGTTAACTCCATCAAGTAACTCTTCTTTTTCATCTGAGAGTGATCGATCATCCAACTCAGATTCCAATGTGAAAAAAACGTCCACTATCGATGAAATAGCTGTTCCTTATAAAATAGTTAGTGTGATAACTAGGAATTACAGTTTTTCAGAAATTAAACCAGACTCTAAAGATAAGGACGAATCATATACAATGGATGATATAACAGAGTGTTTGTATGGAACAGGCGATGGTGACACATTAACAGAAACACCCAAAAAAGAAAAACCAAACATTATGACTAAGTCTTTCTCTGAGGATAAAAGTGGGAAAAAACCTCCACCCAACCCGAAGTTAAAGAAAACTGTTTCAGAAAATGTTCCCCAAAATGAGAGTTTTGATGCTGCTGGAATGGAAGTGGTTGATATGTTAAATGATGTCTTATCTCATTATAGTGAAGGAGATGATTTTAAAGATTTGCGTGGATCAATGTCAAGAAAAGATAAAGCCAAGAAATCAGCTGCTTTCGAGGCCAGGATGGCATCTGTTGCTGCTAATCTGGACCTGCAGAAACCAAAAGGTAAAAGACCTGCTCCTCGACCTCCCAGTTCACCTCCACCTGAACCTCAGGTTTCACCCACCAAAAAATTGGCCAATAAAAATGAACAAGAGCCAATTTTTAAAATGGTTCCTTTAAATAAAGCTATATTAGCTACTCCCCCACCAGATTCACCCATTTCTAAATCCAGGAATGATTCTACATCTAGTATAGAAGAACATCTTTTCAATGATAATGGTGAAAATACTAGAACCTTGTCAAAGACAGAAAATGGAAAGTCTAAGCGTGGCATCACCTCTTTCTTTAGAAATATTTTACGAAGAGGTAAGGAATCCCCTGAAGCTATTGAAACATCAAATCCAGACATAACACTGATGAAAGCTGATCTGAGAGCCGAAACGTCATCATCGTCCATTACTGAAAGTGAAACGACATCGGAAGACTTTAAATCATCACCTTCACTGAAGAGAAGCTCTAAATTTTCACCTCAGCCAAAGTTCCGGGTTCTACCTCCTAGCTCTAGTCCTGGTACAGACAATCTACCTGATCATAATAAACAAAACAGTGGTACAGCTAGTCCTCCAGCTACACCTAAAACTAAAAGTTCCTCTAGTCCAAAATTAAAGCGAGATCGTGTACCATTTTCGTCTCCAGTACAGCATAAATCCTCTTTGGATCAAGTCAGTGAAGAAGCTCAAAAACCTGAACCAGTGAAACCAGTGGCAGCTCCCAAACCTGAAGTATCAGCTAAACCAGTTGTCAAATCTGGTGATGATGTGGTTGTCAGACGACGTGCCAAAAGTCCAAAAAGAACAGCGCCACCCATTCCCCCGCCTAAAAGAACCTCAATTCCTAATCCTAATAGAAGTTCGAATGCTAATAATCCTAATTTTGCTAAGGAGTTAGAAAGGCGCTTAAGTCGACCAGTGGATATGAATACAATTGTAGAGGCTCGTAGGTCTATCACTGTTGATAAAATGGGACCACCTCCTTCCCCACCTAAAATTTGTGCATCACCAGTTGAAGAAGAAACAGAATCAGAACCATCCTCTCCAACAACTACTGATATCCCTGAAGTTAATGAAGAAACATTTCCAGTAGAAAAGATAGAATTACCAACAGCTGATAAACAATCAAGAAAAACCTTCCTTGGAAAATTAAGTAAACCAAAAACACGGGCACCTCAACCTCCATCTGTGAAAAGGGCCAAATCCATCAATGACTCAACATTACCACGCATGGAACGAAAAAACAAAGGAAAGAAAATAAATGTAGCAGATATTTCTGGACCGGTGGTGAGTTTTTTTTATTTTTCTTTTGTTTACCTTAATAACAAGGTGAGTTTTACTATCCAGATTTGGTTGAAAATTGTGCTGTTGGCTGATTGACTTTTAACTAACAGTAAGCAGTTGCTAAAGGGAAAAGTCTCTTTTCACTAGTTTGAAACAGTAGGCTGAGTGATTACACTTGCAACTGTCTATCACTATGGCAAATTCTGTCTTAGATCTGACTTCTGCTCCAAGATATCCTGTACATTATGAGAAAACCAGTATTATACATATTCAAATGTTAATGGCAAAGTTCATGTTGACGAAAGGTGACATGAACCTAATGAATACTGAATAATGAGGTAGAAATGAATATTGATTTAATAATATAAAAAGAGCCAATCTCCGACTTAGGTATACCGTACACCTTTGGTAAATATGATGTATTAGGTCTTCATTAATTATTTAAGCCTCTACATAACTCTTTAGATAGTAATCGTCAACTTTATTTGTTCACATGTACTGATGATAATCCTTTAGCAATTGAGCACAATGCATATAAATTGTGTTGTGTTTTTATGTACATGTACTGATTAAATTAAAGAATTTAGGTCAATATCAGCTTTCTGAAAACCACTGAATTTTGTTTTATTTTGAACAAATAATTATTGAAACATGGGTATGTCAAACATCTTAAACAACAGTAAGCGACATGTACATGTTTATAAATAATAGTAATGATGAAAATATTTAATATTTTTATAGAAGAGCATACTGCATGCAGTGATCCATCTTCTTCATACTTCTCAGATCAGTAAAATTCTCTTGTATATATATATATAACTAGATTATGTAGATAATAAACTAACATAAAATGCATGTATGTTTATTTGTACATGTACATTGTATGGATTTTCCAAGCAATGTAAAATTGTGTTGCAATAATGATGTGAAGGTTTACACTTTGTAGCTTTATCTTGGATGCATGTGCACATTTGTACATTTCCATGATCATTATTAATGTCACAACACTTCTTATTTTGACATTTACCATATATTAATTTTACAGATGGTAACAGACATAGCAAATAATAGAATATTAGAGAACCGACGTAATACTATATCATTGGGCGATGAACCAGCTTTTACTACAGGTAAATATAGATTTTTTCATATATAATCATCGGCGGGAAAACATCTTTGACAATCTTTTTGCACATTTTAACGTAGCTGCCATTATGTTACACTTATAAGACAATCACTGGATGGAGGCTTAATTTCCCTTACACAACAGTAGTTTACGCTCTGTAATAATAATCTTGCTTAATTAATTAATAGTTACATGTATGCTAGTATGTATTATGTCAAATTCATTAAAAATACAATAAATTTATTATTGTGAAAAGTTTCAATTAGATGAATACAGTATGGCAAATCCTCAATAATGATATTGAAGTGTTAAATTCCTCTAAAACCCACAACCAAATACATGTACCAGAATATTTTGAACATGATCTTGAATTTAGTATGGTTGGCTTTTTGTTACTGTATTTTAATCAATTAATTTAAAAGGATATCCTTTATATTGATATTCACACTTACATGTAGTAAGAATGATTGACCTATAATAAATATTAAACAAAGCTATTGTAAACATATTCCACTTGCCTTACTAGTACATGTTTATTGTAAAAAGGTCAGATATTGGAGTGGATTATAAAACACTTATGACATTTAACTCATATATTTATATTATAACCATACATTGTATAAATATACATATTAAACAGCCGATATTATAATTACATTATAGTTGATTATACAGGTCTGGTATTGTTATATAATAAATGCTAACATAATTAATTTGTACACATTGTGCTGTGTTTTTTACCTCTAGAACATCAATTACATGATAAGATGGTTAATAAGCCAAAGTTTCGTAGTTTTTGATTAACAATATATTCTCACATTACACATAATGTATTTGAAAATTGTTTAAAAACTGGTGATATCACTATGAAATCCATAGTTAGTAAATGTAATTAAGATACATGTTATAATCACCGTTAGTTGGTCTATAGGCTATATTTCTATGTGGACATTCTAGAAACTAAAGTTATCATCTGATTGATAAAGTTTTACTCAGTATTTATACTGACAAGAATAAGGCTATTTTCAATAGTTTCTGATAATTATTTGCATACATGTAGTTATTCATTATTGACCTCAAACACTTCGAAAAGTCTTGTGGATGCCCTGACAACTACCGTTTTCATTTCTGGAAATGTCATGCAAAATGATCATTCTAATTATCTGAGTTTGACAGCCTGTTTTGACTGTTCAAACAACTTATATATTAGCTGCTATGGGTGTATATTTTGTTCCCTGATACCCAGTCTTTTAATTTCGTGGTTTCCCCTTGACAGTGGTGCAGGACGGAGGCCTAATCATTCGAATGGGACACAAAACCAAGGTCCTGTGTACAAATTGGCATGCACGTAAAAGATCCCTTGGCTGTTGGAATTCGATATACATGTAAGAGTAGGCTGTAGCGCCAATGTCCGGGCAAAATTTCCCCATAGCACACTGTAGCCCGTCTTCATTAGTCCAGTTGGAGCAGAACAGTAGGACATTAAACCCCATTCCATTTATCTTTTAACTTACTTGTGTAATGAAAAATCATATGTAATGATCATTGATTTTAATAGATAGCCACATAAAAAGATTAATTACAATAAATTTGTATATTTTAGGTATATCTCTGGAATCGGAAGCCGGTGCCGACAACTCATGTAGTTTTGAAGATCTTCCAATCATCTCTCCTCTAGGCTCATTGGAAAACCTTTACGAGTCCATTTTGCCCAAATTTGGTGGACGTCCTCACTGGTACGATCCTGTTAAAGATGACAAAGATAAGAAACCAGTAAAAACAATTCCTGTCGAGGGATACCTCGAACCAGTGGCTTCCCCAAATCCTATCAGTACTGCTGCGTCATCAAATACGCTTACCCTTAGTCAAACATCAGTTAATACATTACATACGAGTACAGTCAGTTTTAACTTGATGACAACAAGTATGATAGATCATCAAAATATACCCAATTTAAACAGTGCTTGCATGTCCTCCAGCTTCTGTTCTAGTTCTACACTCCCCCGAGCTTCCAAAACCAAATCGAACAAGAAAATGTCGAGTAGCATGTTAGGTAACAATGCTATGACTATGAGCACCATTGGTTCTCTTAGCTCCAGTTCTAATCCTTTAACAGTTATTGAACATGTTGAACCAGACCCAGCACCTACAAAACATGATGAATCTCCTAAAAGTGATGAAGAGAGACGTATTCTGTTAGCATCCCAACCTATTTATGAAGAAATTAATGGGTATTATAAATTAGAAGAAGACGACGATGAATCCACTATTTCTCAAGCTTCATCACAAGTGACGCATGTCACTGAAACAGATACATTGACTGTCAATGATGCAACAACACGATCTCAATCTAAAGAAACATTATCATCAGAATCTGACACCCAATCAACATGTAGCACTCTGTCACGGCCACGCCCTGTGCCCAGGCGTCGACCCAAAAGACCAGACACTATGGGATCAGACCAGTATGTTTCTATGAATAGACCCAATACATCTGTTACTTTAGGTGAAGAGCGTCTGAGGGAAGTTTATAATAAAGTGACAGGTATAAATTTAAAGGCTTTACAAGATGTGTATGCACAGACCGAAGGAATACTCTCCGCTGAAAAACTGACATTATTAAGCCCCCAAATGTTGAAGTGGCAAGATTTTGATGTTTATGGACAACCTCTACATTCATCCGAAAGATGTATAGTATATAATGCTAAATATAAAGCCACCAGTGCCCCTTGTCAACTTATGGTAGGTGCTTTTAATCTCTATTACCGTGACTTAAAAACTCAACTTGTAAATAAATTATTACAAATTGATAAAGAAACTTGCATGTATATTCTCACAATTGGAATACATCTAAAGGTTTATAGAATTAATTGATTTAAAGCAATATCTAGTTAAGGGAGCTAAATCTCTAATTCAATATTTTCCATTCTATTCTAAATTAAAAACACAAATTATAATTCAATATTGGTCAATTTTAATCAATATTGATGTTGTTATCTAGCCATGAAAACATGGGATCCTAATATCCAATATTTAAGACACAATTGACATTTTATAATCAGTACACGAGTCCTGTGTTCTAAGGTTTTGAGTGCCATTTTGTAATGAACAAATAAAAACATATCCGTAAAGGCTGATTCACAAATGACAAATAATAATAAAAAGAAAAAGTTGTAGAATGCACTTAGCAGGCATAAACGACTGCCCTTAAATTTGAACTGTTCAAGTATTTCACCGAACATAATTGATTAAAAATTGAATATAAATCACGAATAATTTCAAGGTTAAAAAAACATAGAGCCATACTGCCTTTAATTGTCCCCGGTCTTTCGAAGAAAGCAGGGGACTATTAAAATGAGTTCGTCTGTCTGTCCGTCCGTCTGTCTGTCCGTCACACTTTTTGGGACACAATAACTCTTTCTAATTGAGCTAGAATGTTCTAACTTGGTGTAGGTGTTTATTAGGTCAGTGCCTTGATGGAGTTGAAGATGAGCATTTTCTGCTTAGGGTAAGCAGAGATAAGCAATTTGATTGGTTGATGCTTTGGGACACAATAACTTTAGTTCTATAATCTATTTAAGTGAGAGTGATGAAACTTGGTGTATAGTTTCATTACATCAATACCTTGACTAAGTTTGATAATGAACATTTTCTGCTCAGGGTAAGCAGAGCGATAAGCAATTTTATTGGCCGAGATTGTGGAACACAATAACTCTCCTTCTAATTGAGCTAGAATGTTCAAACTTGGTGTAGGTGTTTATTAGGTCAATGCCTTGATGGAGTTCGAAGATGGGCATTTTCTGCTTAGGGTAAGCAGAGATAAGCAATTTGATTGGTTGATGCTTTGGGACACGATAACTTTAGTTCTAATTAAGTGAGAGTGAAGACACTTGGTGTATGGTTTTATTACATCAATATCTTGACTAAATTCGATAATGAACATTATCTGCTGAGGGTAAGCAGAGCGATAAGCAATTTGATTGGTCAAGACTTTGGAACACAATAATAACTCTCCTTCTAATTGAGGTAGAATGTTCAAACTTGGTGTAGGCGTTCATTAGGTGAATGCCTTGATGGAGTTCGATGATGAACATTGTTTGCTTATGGTAAGCAGAGATAAGCAATCTGATTGGTTGATGCTTTAGGGCACGATAACTTTGGTTATAATGAAGTGAGAGCGATGAAACTCTTAAGATAGATTTATTATATCATTACCTTGACTAAGTTCGATGGTGTGAATTTTCTGCTTAGGCTAAGGAGCGATAAGCAATTTGATTGGTCAAGACTTTGGAACATAACAACTCTGCTTTTAATTGAGATAGAATGTTTAAATTTGATGTAGATGTTCATTAGGTGAATGTCTTGACTGAGTTCAATGATTAACATTTCAAGCTAAAGCTAAGCAGAGCTAAGCAATTTCTTTGGTCGATACTTTGGGACAAGATAATCTTGATTCTATCTGATAGAGAGTGATGGAACTTAGTGTATAGTTTGATTGCTCGATACTATTGAAAAAAATAAATGTGCGATTAATTGATATGTGTCATCTATTTATTTTGGGATTTCGGCGGGGGACATCAGCCTCACTGTTGGCTTGTTGACTATTATTATAAATGTTCAATTCTTATCAGGGATGAATATGTGACATGGCTTATTACTCTCATTAAGAATCCTTCCAATGACTTTGTATATGGACTAACTGCACTTGACCTTTTATGAAATGAGAGCTCAGTCATATAAAATTATTCAGGGCTTAAATAGAGGATGCAACCCACTGGTAGTAGAAATATATATCAGTTGTAAGTGTTATACTGAGAGGATTGCTCCAAATAATGGGGTGTTAAATATACATAGAATCTTTTGAATAAGTCAAATTCTTGTTTAATTAACAAGATTTGAGATTAGCCTCTTATTGTAGTTAGATCTGCTAGTAATTATGTATACAATTATTTTATGAATGTTTTAACTTGATTATATGCAGATGTGAGTTATATAAATTTAACATGTTTTGTGTGTTCTATTGTTACAGTTGTTGCATTCCCGACCAGCTACAGAGATGAGTACCAATAGTCATCCGAGTTTATTAAAACCTGTTGCAGTTTTCGCTGACACCATTCCCTTCACCAGCTTATCTGAAGAATTTATCAAAACCAGTCAAGTTGCCCAAAATTCCATCTATGATACAAATCTTGCTAAATGTTTTGTAGCTGTGGGAAGCTTTGAGATCATAGAAACTCTAGACAGCCATATTGCACTATTAAAAGAGACCCTGTCTCATAATTTGGATGCATTAATGCATATCGTATTAACACTAGCTCTACAATTATTAAGCGCTATGTCTCATTGTCTAGATCAAGGTTACACAGTAACCGAACGTGATTTCCGCGATGTGTTTTTATTGTCTCGTGCCGACCTTAGAGGAAAGGTTATTGCATTTTTACCACACCAAAGGTCACATGATGCACATCAAGGGGAAGCTATGTGCTCATTTATTGATCATTTATTTAAAGATGTGACAGCTGATTATTTAGAATTTGAAGAAGACAATGAAACTCTGGCTACTATTGAAAATATGCGTTTGATGTTAGAACCACGCAGAGTTGACTGTTTAGCTCAAGTTCGTTCCGTTGTTGAGTATTTGTTATGGGGACCAAATAAAATGGATTTAATTAATAAGGAGGAAGGTGAAAACAGTATCGAACAAGAGCTAAGTATTTGGTTAGAAATGGAACGAGCACATGGATTAGTGCGATTCGCTAAAAATGTGTCTGGTATCTCAAGTGGTGTAACGCTAGATGAATATTATCGATTAAAATTCCTGCTGAAATCTAGTGCTGTTGGATTAGCTGAAAGTATCAGACGTTTACCTAGTTAATTTATGTTGTTTACCTATCAAGATTTCTTTGTTTACGTTTATGATTCAAAAATGGTGTGTTTCTGAATATTTAAAGTGATCTACTTCACGATTAATGTTTTAAGTAAAGAATCAATGTGTTGTAAATGAACTGTTTGTTATTATACCTGTATATAGTTCTGTAATTACTCTCATTTCTTCATGAAAAATATCTCAGACTTTTTAAAAAAGTAAGAGTATTTTTAAATATTAATATCATAATGGTGCTAGAATATTTAGATGGTTGTTGTCATGGTATTTATGTTTATGTTTTTTAAAGAATAGATTTCACAAGATTGTCATTTAAATGTGTGAATGATGAATAATATATTGGAATCACATGTATATATGATAGTCAGCTGTTTAATTTGTAGACTAATATTAATAGAAGCTGTTATCAACTTCTTCAGATTTTTATTTCATTTTTGCATACTTGTTGGTATAATGTGCAATCTAAACCAAGTGATCATTGGATCACTTTAGTCCTGTTTTCAGTTACCTCCTTGCATCTTTTTTGTCGATTCTGACTTCAAAACATCAGATTGTTGGTGTTGTTACCAAAATTTGTATATTGTTAGGGTGCCAAAAAACTTTTATAATTTTAAGGCATCATTTTAGTCAGTAAACATAACTTTTGTGGGATGTAGTAATTCTTATTTAAACCATGCGAAAAGTGTCAACAATTCCATCGCTGTGTTAAATTGAACAAGGGGAGATAATAATGCCTGGGAAAATTATGTAAAAAAAAAAGGTATAATGTTGAATAGATTTCTAGGTCTTGTTTCAAGGCATAGGCCAAATCTACTGAGTGTTGTATTTATATTTTTAATGAAACAAGATTTTTATGCTTTATGACATTTATGTTATAAATAGTTTAATAATTAAGGTATCAACAATGTGTGTATAAAATTTATACATGTAGTTTGTATTTTTACACCAATAATGTATGTATTACTATTATGTGCAAGCCCGCAAGGAATGATGTTGGATAAAAATAATAGAGGAATGAAGAAACTTATGATTATTACATTTTATACATCTAGATTGTTTTGTAGTGTCATAATATATGCGGTGAAAATGCTTAGTTGATCTTCTGTGTTTGTAATGATGCTTTGCTTAATGATAGTTAAGGCCAGCTTTTGGAGAAAAAGGAGTAAGGAGTTGGAAATTAATCAAAATGTTCTTTCACCAATATCGCTGCCAGAGAATTTAAATTTAACATAGACAAGACTTGAGACCTAGAGCATTTTTGCAATCAGTGTGCCAAAGTAATGTTTAAGAATTAAAAGCTGTTTCTTTAATTACATAGTGACCAACTGTTTATGTGATTTATTATGGAAAGTCAGAAAAATCCATGATAAACACATTAGTATGGGCTAATCTTTATAAAATCAGGTAACATTTTTTTTACCTTGAAAAATTTATCATGGTTAATAATACCATTTTAAGCTATATGTATGTAACACTTTATATCTTAACAGAATACATTGTTAACAAATCCAAGATTCTGTTCATTTTTTTATCTATTGACTTTTTCCTGTTAAGTTTCTTTGTTAGATGCATTGGCCATCAAAATAAGTTAATTTCAAAATCAAATGCTTAAATTTGACATACACAGAGTTCGGTGTTATTTGTATTTCTTGGTCACAACTACACATTTTACTGGTATGATATATGTATTGTATGATTCATTGTAATGACTGTATCAATGTTTGTCTATAGTTTCTGTGCAATATGATACATTTATATTTTTGTTATATTCAGATTTAACAAAATGTTATATCAATGAGTTGTGAGTTAAACATCCTTCCAAATATTTCATCAAAATAAAAGGTTTTTGTATTAACCATTGACTAAAAACTCAATGAACCGTAACTGATGTCTTGGCCTGTTCTTTCTTAAGGTTTCTCTTATTGATGACAAAGAGGCTGCTAATAGTTATTAGTTACACTATAAAAGATAAAAAAAAAGTGGTTTAAAAAATTAAAATTTTCACGGTCATCTTCTTAGTCATCATTGTTCATTTGCCATCTGTCATTGTTTATTTGGATTGAGTAAAACAAGATGTAAGGGTGATCTTACATGAACAAAAATCTCATAGAATTAAAATGGAGTTAATAAATTTTAGTTCATATGGTAGTAGATTTTGCATTTGTACTTTGTGTTTTTATACGCCCATGTGGAAATGTAGACGTATGACGTATATTGCCGTCGCCCCAGTCCGTCTGTCGGTCGGTCCGTCCGTCCATCGTCCACAATTTCGTGTGAATGCTCTAACACCAAAATTTATTATCCGATTGTTTTAAAATTGATATACATTAGTGAGATAAAGAAGCCTATTTAATTTCAATAATTTCCGTTTATTACGTCTAGAGTTAGGGCCCTTGTTTCACTTTGTTGAACCTTGTGAACGCTCTTACACCAAAAGTTATCATCCAATCTTTGTGAAAGTGATATGCATTATTTAAATTATTGAAACCATCAAGCCTATTGAATTTCAGCAATTTCCGTTCCTTATGTCTAGAGTTATGGTCCTTGTTTCACTTTATTAAACCTTGTGAACGCTCAAATGCCAAAGGTTATCATTCGATCTTTGTGAAATTTATGTGCATTATTTCCGTTTATTATATCTAGAGTTATGGTCCTTATTTCACTTTATTGAGCTTGTGAACGCTCAAACACCAAAGGTTATCATCCGATCTTTGTGAAATTTATATGCACTATTTAAATTAGTGAAACGAAGAAGCAATTTCCCTTAAATACTTTTAGAGTTATGGCCCTTGTTTCACTTTGTTGCACATTGTGAACGCTCTAACATCTAAAGTTATCTGCCGATCTGTATGAAATTTATATGCGTCATTTAAATTTGTAAAAGGAAGAATCCTATTGAATTTCAGCAATTTCAGTTTATTACTACTAGAGTTAAAGCCCTTGTTTCACTTTGTTGCACTTTGTGAACGCTCTAACATTTAAAGTTATCTGCTGATCTGTATGAAATTTATATGTGTCATTTAAATTAGTAAAAAGAAGAATCCTATTAAATTTCAGTAATTTTCAGTTATTTAGTTTAGAGTTATGGCTCTTGTTTCACTTTGTTGAACATTGTGAACGCTCTAACGCCAAAAGTTATTTATATACATCATTTAGATCAGTGAAAACCACAAAGCCTTTCGAATTTGAGCAATTAACAATAATTACTTCTAGAGTTATGGCCCTTGTTTCACTTTGTTCAACCTTGTTAATCCTCAATTGATGAAAGTTATCATACGATCTGTATGAAATTTATATGCATTATTTAAATTAGTAAAATGAAAAAGCCTGTCAAGTTTCAAAATTTTCTGTGCATTACTTCCAGAGTTAAGGCCCTTATTCCAGTTTGTAGAACCTTGTGAACCTTCAAACAACAAAAAATATAATCTGATCTGTATGATCCAATTACCTACAAAAGAATAAATATGCGGCAACCCTTGTCGACCGCTCGGACAATTTAGCTGCTGTGGGCGTATGTTTCGTTGCCTGGAAACCTATCCTGTGTACTTTACACAGGCCCATAATATGTTCAAGTTCAATTTTACATTTTCTTTTCAAAATCGAGTTTTCAATATTATTAAGAATCCTAAACAGTATGTACGACATATACCAGTACAAATTAAAAGCACATTGTTTGTAATAAGAATTTATATTAGTGCATTTAACACGTAATTGAAATATTATTAATTCTATATTGATAAGAGTGAAGATGGTTGAAGAAATGATTATGATATATGTATATAGATCTTCTGTTGTGTTAATATTCTCAGACAGTATGCATAGTCTTTCTCAGATTTATGTCATGTAATTCTTTTGCTGTTTGCATTGAAGCTTTATAATGGTGTATATCTTGTTAATTGTTACTGAAATATGATTTTAGGCTAGAAACACAACATTTGACAACATTTTGGTACAAAATCATGATTCTTAACCACAGTTTATTTTAATTGTAACTCTCCAGACCAATTAGCTAAACTGGGATACAACATTTCGACTCTGCAGTCCTGATATACATTTTAATGTGTACAATCATATTTTAAAGATCTACAATAAAAGAAATAAATATGAGAATATTGTGATGTACTATATTGACACTATTTGACAGATTGTGTATACCATATAGATATTATATAGTCATATTGATATACCTGTTTAAGTATGTATGGACCATTATACAGAAAGTCATAAAAATATGTATTAATATTTATTTATACACCATGGTTAGTAGTTAGATAATATCCAGTATCATTCGTGTCCTTAAATCCCATGTATTAACCACCAATTTTATTTATATGACAAGATGACAGATAGCCAATATTTAGTACATGTACATGTTGTGGATCCCAATGTTTAAGTACCCAACTTACAATTTATACACCTCTTCTATTTATTTGTAGTTTTTGACATGGTTTTTTTTTTGGTTTTTTTTTCTCGTTTTATTGTGTTAACTTGTAGTCTGATGTGTAAACATTTATTTTTACTCTGTGATATTCTGCATCTTTTTTTTTTACAAAAAAGTGTATCCACTTATAAGCTCACAATCTTCAATGATGCATGTATTAGCATTAAGCATATTCTAACCTTTTTTCAATAAAAAGAATTCTTCATAATCTCATATTGTAGTATTTTTATACGCCCACATTTTGTATCACTCTACAGTTCACAATTTTTATCCGATTTTGACGAAACTTGAAATATAGGTTTATATTAGACCAAGAGCCCAGTGGGTCGAACCTAGACCAATATCTAACCATGTAGCCATCTACATACTAACCTTGGATGTACACAAATCGGTGTCTGCCAGGGTTCATTCCCTGGGTGTGGCCCTGGTGATCCTAGAATATACCCCAAAATGGGTTAAACTCATACATTCGAGGTACTGGTCGAAACCAATTTTTAAATGGCCACATTGATTTGAGGTTGTATATTGTCGTCAGTCCGGAGTGCACAATTTGTACACTGTGTTTAAGGTCATAAGACAATGAATCCTATTGATTTTCAGCCAGAGTTATGGCCCTTGATCACTTTGAAAAATCTTGTAGATGGTCTAGAGGCTAAAGTAAATATCCAACTGACTTTAAATTTATACACAGTGTGTAAGGTCATCAGATGATGAAGCCTTTTGATTTTCAACAATTTCTGATATGGCCCTTGATCACTTTAAAAAATCTTGTGGACACTCAAGCAGCTAAAGTTAATCATCCGAATGACTTCATACCTTTTTCCTGTCAAATAAAAATTGGTAAATTTAAATCTGAGGAACTGATGAGGACTCAAATTCCCTTACGAACATCTGTCGCTAAAACTGCAATGATCCCAAGGCAACACTTTAGATGAAGTGGTTGTAGATTTTGATGGTCGGAAAATGACACATGTTCATTATGTTGGGCTTAGCAGAGTAAAGACATTAGAAGACTTGAATATTGCAAATCTGTGTGGGAAAAAAAATTAAAATTAGTACAGAAGTGAATTAGGAAGAAATGAAATCCTTATTGCGTGCAGAAAGAAAATGAGATTCGTGGCTTTTGAACCTCGTTTGAAACGAACGAACAATATATGTAATCATGTACTATAATGTTCGGTCCCTTCAGAAATACATAGAATAGTTAAATGTAACAGTAGCTTACAAAAGGCCTCTATAATCATTTTATCAGAAACTAGATTAAAAAAGGAAACTAATGATATATACGATATACCTGGATTTACATTGTTCAGAAATGATGCCGTCACTGAAAAGAACAAAATCATGGTATAGCTGTTTATATTAGAACTGAAAAGTTGAAAATAAAAAAAACCCATGAATTAAAGTCTGTAAATTTACCATCCCAAACTTAGGCTGCCTATCTACAGCTAGCTCCGGCTGAGAATAGGCCCTAATTATTAACCGACATTTAAATTCCTACATCGACGATTTTAGGCGAAAACACTGAGTATGCTTTTAGAAAATTTTAAAAGTATTTATTTCTCTTCTATTGTCATATTGAATGAAATTAAATATGTTTATTTAGCCGCTGTGTGTATGAAAGATGTCAAACTAATCAAAGCCGAATCACAAAATAGTCCTCTAATTATTCAATATGGCGGCGCCCATGAAACATAATTTCACAGAGGCGGTTTTGTTTGCGAAAACAAATTTAGGAGTATCTAACCTTGTTTTGAAAAATAAACAGATTGAAACTCTAAAGACAGTTTACAATGGTAAAGAGTTTATTGCAATATTACCCATAGCACATATTATATATCACTTTTACGCGAGTGTCAGCGACATGCCGTGTTTACATAAAACACACGTGCGTGGGTTATTTTTACTTTGTTGTCTAAACAAAGCGGTGTCGAATCGATATAAGTCCCGCCCCAAAATGATCACATGATCGTTTTAAATGGCGGATAATCAGTGCAGTGTCACATTCTGGGAAGTATGACGTAGATGGGTCGCTGCGTGCAGTATGTAAATTTACATGAAGTAGAAATTAGTTTGATTTTTCTATTGAACATGATGAATCTGTTCAAAAAATACATATTTTAGGCCTGTATAAACCCCACAAGATTTCTACAGTCGACTTGATAACAGCTATTAACAATGCACAATCAGGAATAGCTGAAAAAGAATGTGTTGTCATTTTAGGTGATTTTTATTTCAAGCAAACAGTGGAGACTACAGAAAACTGAATGAATTGCACCAGTTTATAGTTTAGCCCAACAACTGATGTCGGTACAATAATTATAGATTTAATTTATAGTAATGAACCTGATGAATATATTGAAACTGGAACACTAGAAAACTATTATTCACATCATAAAATAATTTATTCAAACCTGGTTCTCACTTGCCTGGGGAGGTACCTGCGGGGCTGACAAGAAAAGTATGCCTAAACGTTCGGATGGGACAAAAAAACGAGATTCACCTGTGTACACATTGGCATGCATGTTAAAGAACCCTGACAATTGCTCAGATAACCATGAAATTACCATGTTATTCGCAAAATAAAATATTCTGTGCTGTATATATTGATCAATATGTGTTATACAAGATGTTATAAACAAGATATGATTACTGATTATATCATGAATTTTATAGTTTAGGTGTTCTATGAATGAGTGTATTGTTACATTACATAATGGATATAGATTGATTGTTTGTTAAATTGTATTAGGAATTGTATTAAATCATCATTCAGTTTATTTTATAAAAGATTTAGTTTGATCAATTATAAACAGTTAGATCTCATAATAGAATTTTGGAACTTGGATCAAATGACAACAGATCAAATTAAACTACATGTTTCTTTATGCCATACATGAAAAAAATTTAAGTCTAACAATCTGAGCTGTAATGTCATTATCTGCTGACAAACAGGACCTCATTTAAACATACATTATGGAAGAGCTAAATCTGCCTATTGCAGGTCTTTCTTTAGGCCTGAAATGTTTTCTAAAGTATTAATTAGACATTAATTAACTGATCCAGGCCTTAATCAACTCTCGATGGCATTAGATTTCTCCGATATTAAATAGATTAGAATGGTTCAGCGATACTTTGATTTAATCAAATATGGAGGACCGAAACTTAGCTTCGATCAACCAGTACGGTGGTTGAAATTATTGCACACGTCTGTCAAACCGACTCAAACCTTCAAAGGCTAATATCTTCGCTTGCAATAGAGTAATTTGAATGAAATTTTCAAATTATTCATTTTACATCATCTATTTTCGAACTATTATAGGAAGAATGGCTAGTTCTTTATCTAAATCTTACATAATGTATCTTTAAGTTCTCATTATTTCTAACGATGCAATATGTAAGCTATAAATAAAGAATTGTCCTTTCAATAATAGTTTGAAAATAGATAATGAAAAATGAATATGTTGAAATTTCAGTGAAATTCTGTATTTTGGCATTTAATTTTATACTTTTAACAGGTTTTTCAAGACATTAAACATACACTATGCAAGAGCTAAATCTGCCTATTGTCGGTCTTTCTTTAGGCCTGAAATGTTTTCTAAATTATTAATTAGACATTAATTAACTTATCCAGACCATAATCAACTCCTGATGTCATCGTTAGCCTGTGATATTTACTGGATTATAACCCGATCTGCTGCTGCTGCTCATTAAATAAAAAAAAATGGATAATCAAGACTATGTTTTTATCGTATCTACTTTAGTAATGATGATCAGGGCTAGGCCCAAAATTCAATTGCTAAATTCTCGGTTCAGAGTGGATCAATTTGACTGAAATTTTCAGCAAATTCCCTTTACATCATCTAGTCTTTAACTATTATAGTGAAAACTGCCAGCTCTTTATCTAATCTCCTAGCTATAATGTATCTTCAAACAACTAATTCCTCAGACACGATATAAAACTCATTTTATCCACTTAAACATGCGTTATGCAAGAGCAAAATCTGCTTATTACAAGTCTTTCTTTAGGCCTGAAATGTTATCTAAATTATCAATTAGACATTAATAAACTTATCCAGACCATAATAAACTCTCGATGTCAAGGCTAGCCTTCGATGTTGGCTGGATTAGATTCCTATATGCCGCTATAATTAAATCAGAAAAAGTGGATAATCGAGACTATGCTGTTTATATAAATGATTTTAGTAATGATGACCGAGACTATGCAAAAAATTCACCCGCTTCTTTCTCGGCTCATAGTGGATCAATTTGACTGAAATTTTCAGCAAATTACCTTTACACTATCTAGTTTTTAACTATTATAGCGAGAACTGCCATCTCTTTATCTTATCTCCCATAATGAATCTTTAAGTAAAGAGAGCATTTTTTTAAAAATAAAGTGAAACTTCTTTTGTCATTTGATACTCTCAGTGTCTGTTTATAGTTGTGAAAGCTTATGTAATGGAGTGATTTATGTTGTATGTGACAAGAAGTGGAGTCCTGTCCAACCTCGTCGGTTTCTACCTGTCCTCCGGTTTCCTCCCACTGCTAAAAACTCTAAACCCCATTTCTTTTATTTTTGTACAACCAGGGGCCATAATCCAGGAAGTTATGGTCTGAAATGGGCAAATATAGAAATGGATTGAGATATTTGGGATATAAAAATATATTTTAAGTTTCATCAAAATCGGATAAAAATTGTGACTTCTACAGAGAGTCCACAACCTTGATATTACATACTTTTTACTATTTGCGTACAAGGAGCGGCCATTATTTTGTCAGACAGTTTCGATTCGATTTTCGAACTCAACTGTCATTAGGGTGTAACGGTGATACATTTAAAGTAGCTAAGTCTCTAACTCAATATCATCCAAAATCTTCAACATTGAAAACACAAATTATTTGTCAATTTAAATCAACATTGATGCTGTGATCTTACCAAAAAAAGATGGACTTCTGATATCCAATATTTAAGACAAAATAAACATTTTACCATTGGTACACGAATCGTGTACCATAATGCGTTTCAGCCCCAGTTCTAGCAAGAGACTCGAGGAACGAGGCTAGACATATTGCACCAAACCAAACGGAGTATGTAGACTGGAATAACCAGGCGTTAGAAATTTGCATTCGATTGAGACTGCTGGCTTATTTTGCGGAACATAACTGATTTGAAATTAGAGTTAAAACGGAAACCATTGAATGTATATTTGGATTTGTAACCATGAGGTGTACGCTCATGAATAAGACATTTTATCATTGTTTATTCCAAACTACCTGGCATTAACTGGGTGATGGAAGAATGGTGTATGTATTTATACAAATAACTGATGTGCCCATGTTAAAGAAGTATGGGCACTTTAAGGTTTTTTGGGTTTTTTTTCCAAAACATAATCAGATTATCAGAGTTAAACAGTTTTGCATCCATTCAACACAAACTAGGACATTGTGAGACTAACATTGTATAATTAAATAGTCCGCATTTGCACAGAGGTCTTGAGCCCAAGTAAACTGTATAAAACGCACATTGTTAGGCAGGCTGATATCAAAATGATTTGTCAGAATTCAAAAACAGAGATTATGAATAATTCCTATACTATTAATATTTTGGTCAAAAGTCAGATAATTGTGTTTGACTCTTAGCTCAGCAACTGATGATAAATGCCAGGTAAGAGAACTCGAGGAACAGACTTGGGGTATGAGCCTAGTCTTGTGACGGTCCCCCACGCAAGCTAATAAATGAATGTGACTTCACTTCAGTACCCACCTCCTTATTAGACAAATGAAAGATAAGAAGCAGATCCTTCATAACAAGTACCTGTTATATGCCAAGTATAATCAAAGAAACTAGAATACATTGTAAAATATAGTATAATGTTTATCTAAATAATTAGTACTTAATTCATAAAACATTAATCATAGGAAAACAGTAACAAAGAAGTAATAAAGACTGAATCACAGAATTAAACAGGAATAATAATTTGTTAAAATAAATCTATAATATAAACTTTTGATTTTTTCATATAAATTCCTAATAAAGTTTAAGTAAACAATTATTAATACCTGAAGATCCCATAACCACAAAAAAAGGGTAATAAAAGATTGGTTCCTAAGGAAGCTCTGGCCTCTTTTAAATAAAATAATAAATAACTAATATCCATAAATAATCAAACAAAATTATGTTATAAAAATTAAAATTAAGAGTTTAAAATATAATAATTGTAGTACAAATTAGAAATTTTCTTGATTCTGATTATCGAAAAGTGTGCTCGAATGGACATTAAAACCCATCTGAATTATCAAGGCGAATTACTTCAGTTCTAATTTAAGTTACAGTTTACTTAGTTTCTACTGAGTTCACACAACCATCTATTATACTATAGTCTCAATTTATAAAGGTAATAATAATTAGGTCATCTTTTCCAGTCAGTTCATTCTTTATGCATTTTTTTTTTTTTGGTGCTTGGATTCGCTTAAAACAGTCTTATTAAAAGTTCATTTATGAGCAATCTGCTTTGCTGTAACATTAATATTCTATAAGGAAGACATTTTATTATCTATGGAAACAAGAATAATTTATGCATAGAAAAATGTATATTATGTATACAGAATTATATTGACTAAAATCAGACCAGGCACAACTCTAATATCTATTCTCAATATATACTGGTAATTAAATTAATACTATAAAAATATAATATATGTCACATGTATAGCTAAAATACTATGACAAAATTTACCTCAAACAGTAATTGCATATAGTTCATTTATGATCAACATTGAAACATAGAAAAATAAATACCCTAGCATTTTACACAAACTAACTCTTCTTCTAAATACCCTATCTAGCTGTATCACACAAACATATCATTTTTTCTAAATACATTTAATGAATAACCCAAACTTTATTATATATTTATCCAACTAACTGAATTTCTGAACATACTTAGAGCAAAAGTCTAAGAGTCTAATACTACCTACTATTTTTAACATTAGGAACATCACATTCTGCAGAATTATACTTGTGTATATAAAGCCCAACATGTCATGCACAATCAAAATTGATTAATTCTAATTTAAATTATGCTAAGTTTAAAGTTTACATTGATTTATATCACATCATCTTTATCTCTCTTAGAAAAACACAGTAATAATAATTGTGTTATATTTTTTGTACTGGGGAGACCAGTCTTCATGAAGCTCTTTTTTTGTTATCAGATGTTCTTAATTATATAATAACACATCTTTACATTAATATAGTACATGTACACATAATTGACTTTTAAAATATGTGAGTGTTTTGTCTTTAAGCAAACACAAAATAATATCAAAATCAATAACTTCAACCCATTTCAACATACATTGGGGATTGTTTGTCCCACAATATGCCCACCAGCAGTAAAGTTGTCTGTGCTAGTATAACCAGCGGCTGCCAGGCAGGATACGCCCACATTTTCGAGAGATGGCTAGAGAACAAGCTAACAAGAAAGTGATTTTTCCTACTATCAAGGGCCATAATTCAGGAAATTACAATTCAATATGCGCATATATCGAAAGCAACTGAACGAACAGCAGCCATTTTGTCTGTCAATTTTGGGCCGATTTTCACGAAATTCGAACTCAATCGTCCTCAGGGTGTAACGGTGATATAATAATACGTTTTTTTAAATCGGATAAAAATTATGACCTCTATAGGATCCACTAGCTAAAAACGCAATTTTTCGTACAATCAGGGGCCATAATTCAGGAAGTTACGGTCCGATATGTGCGAATATCGAAAGGAACCAAGATCTTTGGGTTATAAACTTACATTTCAAGTTTCAACAAAATCGGATAAAAATTGTGACCTCTATAGGGTCCACAAACTTGATATAACATATTCTTATGCTATTCCAGAACGAACGGCGGCCATTTTGGGCCGATTTTCACGAAATTCAAACTCAGTCGTCCTTAGGGTGTAACGGTGATATAATAATACGTTTTTTTTAAATCGGATAAAAATTATGACCTCTATAGGGTCCACAAGCTAAAAATGCGATTTTTCGTACAATCAGGGGCCATAATTCAGGAAATTACGGTCCGATATGCGCGAATATCGAAAAGAACCGAGATCTTTGGGTTATAGACTTACATTTCAAGTTTCAACAAAATCGGATAAAAATTGTGACAGCAGCTAAATTGTACGGGCAGTCAACAAGAGTTGTTGCATATTTTTACTTTTGTCGGTAATGAAACATTTATAATACACTAAAATCTGATTAAGAGAAACAAGTCAATCGGATATAACTTTAGTCTCTAGAGCGTCCACAAGATTTTTCAAAGTGATCAAGGGTCATAACTCTGGCAGTAATTATCAGAAAACGGTGAAAATCAATAGGCTTCTTTGTCTCATGACCTTAAACACTGTGTGTATAAATTTAAAGTCAATCGGATATTAACTTTAGCCTCTAGAGCGTCCAGGACGCTGCACAGATGGGGGCGACGACAATATACGACCACATTTCAATGTGGGCGTATAAAAATTACTTAACATAAACTATAATTTATACATCAACATTAAAAGTATAAGGTGATTAACTTCATACAGTCAGGAGTTTGTTTCTCCTTCAAGCAAATAAAGATAAACTTTACAGAACATAGCTTTAATATATTAAAAATTACATAACATAAATTTAATATAATCAGTAACAAAGAAAAAATAATTTTTAAAAATCGCAATATTCTGCATGTAGGAAGAAATGTAATAATTTACAAGTGGATAATAAAGAGTAATAAGAAAATAAAAGAATCTCTATTTTACTTACTGCATTTCATAAAATAAAGTACCATAGTCAACGAATACTCAACCCACAGTCAATGAAATTAAAGAAATAAAGTAGAGGCAATAAAATTTTGGCAACCGTCTCGGATTGGTAAAATAATATATTAAAAATTTTCTATATTATTATCAATAAGAGAACTGGACAGAAACAGTTAAAGAGATTGAAAGACACATTATTCTCCATCACAGATATATATAATATATAGTTATCTATAGTCTCCATCACATTAAATACAAATCATCATTTTTCTTGTGCGTTTTACATCATAAATTATACAGGTTATACTATCAATGATTGTATTTATTTTTTCTTCAACCAGCACAATGGGTCAAAATTTCTCTCAGATTTTCTATACATTTATGAGCTACAAATACTAAAATGCTTTATTTTCACAATTTTTTAAAACTCCAATACCTGATGTATTCCCAAACAATTCCCATTGTTTATCACTCAATTACGTTGTCTGATCTAAACAAATATATATATGTTACTGAGGTTCAATAGATGGCAATAATATAGGATGTTTTAGCTCTGTACAAAGACTGAACGCCAGTTGCTTTTATAAAATAATAACAGTATCCCTTACATTAGATGTTTTATTTTGAGAAATTGAAGAAATTAAAAATACAGACTGTCAGATCTGTAATTGGAGATAAGCAAAATCATGATTTGTAAATCAACTTGTGAAGACATAGTTGGGACCTAGTTGGGACCTATATAATTGTTATATATGATTTTTTAAATGTATTTGACAGAGAGCATGTGAAAACTCCACCACAGCTCTATCTAACCATGTTATAGTATTAGGCGTTAATATTCCTCCTTCAAAATATCCAAGATGGCCACCATGATCCGTTGTCAAAAATATACAATTATCTCTTGATTCTGAAACAAGAGAGAGAGAGAATTGGGGTTTAATGTCGTCTCAACACAAACTTGTTACAGGGTCTTTAGCAGTGAGAGAAAATCAGAGAAAACCAAAAACCCCACTTCTTGTAATGCACAAGCCTGTAATTGAAAGCATGACGCTTGGCAACTGACTTGGATGATAATATTGACATTAAAAAATATTATATCACATCTGTTCCTTACCAACATATTTCTTTGCCGTCTCATATAATACTGGTGGAACAATAGGGTCATCTTTAGCATTTAAAATAATTAATGGTATCTCAATCTGAAAATACATGAATCAGTTTAAAATACTATCATGAATAAAGTTTGAAAATGTTGCTTGTTTTTGTCTCAATGAACTAGACATGATACTTCTTTTCTTTTAGTTGTGGCCAAACCCATCTGACCTAACAATTATATTACCAGTCACTTTATTGCATATAATTTTCTATGATAACAACCCATTTTTAAAAAAATAAACCATAGAGAGAGAGTTTAATGTCCACTCAACACAAACTAGGTCATTTCGGGACTAACACATGGTTCAATTTTATTTCAATAATTTTCTTGAGCATAGGGATTTTTAGCAGTGGGAGGAAACCGGGGGACCCGGAGAAAACTCACAAGGTGGGAGAGAGAGATGGGTTTAACATCCACTCGACACAAACTAGGTCATTTCGGGACTAACATATGGTTTAATTTTATTTCAATAATTCGCTGGCGCATAGGGATCTTTAGCAGTGGGAGGAAACCAGAGGACCCGGAGAAAACCAACGAGGTTGGACAGGCGACCCTACTCCTTGTCACGTACAACCGGGGATTCGAAACCCTGCCAGTTGCTCAATGACAGGCCTTATGAAACAGCGCACACATGCTAACCATTCCGCCATCCAACCCCCCTCACAAGGTGGGGCAGGCAACCCTACTCCTTGTCATGTACCACCGGGGAAATGAAACCAAGCCAACTGACTCAATGACAGACCTTATGATACAGCGCGCACTTGCTAACCATTCTGCCATTCAACCCCCCATGTAATAAATAATCTAATGCTATAGACTTACTCCTTTCAGATATTGTTTACAACTTGCCCAATGATAATATTCTTGATAGTTTCTAAATTCAGCTGTTTTTCTGCAAAAAATACATTAAACATTTTATTGTTTATAAATTAACAAAACAATTATCAATATATTATTGTTTAAATTGCTCCCTGAAAATAATTCTACTTAATTAAACTAGTAAAAATTTACATTTTATGGATTTTCTATACCAACTTAAAGAATAAGTGTGAAAATATAATTACTGGTTACCATTAAATAATAGGTGTATTGATTTATTACTCAAGTCAATGATACTTTCGATTCATATTCAGGGTCTGTACAACTCAGAACACTTAAAATTCCAGGGGTTTTCCAGGAGTTATTTAACATGGAGTCCCTGCATAGAATTCTACATCATAACGTATTTTTTTTTTACGCTTGAAGAACATTTACGGCGACGAACTTGTGAACTTATGAAGGAACATTTGATGACTATGTTCAGTTTTATATTTTAAAATATACCGGTATAGCGAAACCATTGGATAAATAATTAAAATAATATCATTACAGGCTATAAGATACATCAATATCTAAGAGAGATGAAGAGGCATAGATAGCATCTTCATCAAATGGCCCATATCTAGCTATAGCTTCTTTTCCTAGTAGAATATCTTTGTGGTGTTTAATAAGATTCCTGAGATTAACTGCCATAAAATAACTGTACATTCTTCTTCCTGATTCCCAACTCAGTAATAAAGGCTTGGCACTGTCAATAACAAAAAAAAAATTCATCATAAGGACAAGTACTTCCAACTAAATGACACAGTGAGGTAACATTAATATTCTAGGGTTTTTATATGCCCACAATCTACATGTCAATAAGTTCTACAAAGTTAAGTATATAGTTATATTTGTACTTTGCTGAATATGCAACTCTTTGAGTCTTTGCATTGTTTGTTGAATATTATTTTATAATTTACTTGCATTATCTTTTGATCAGTGTAATACAATATCATTTGGGATCTAAATTCATATTTTAATTTATATTTTTTATTTGTATCTCATTTTGGGCATATACTTAAAAGTGGCAGATTAATTGTAAAATTTAATCTGCATCAGATGTGGGGGGGTTGACATAATATTATGTAAGATGTAATGGGTTTGTCAAACTTGTATACTCGGAGTGTCTATATGATATAAGATTTAGGTGCCTATCTGACGCGACAGATATTGCTGCACCTTATAAAAAGCCTAGTTGAGAATCAGACCGAGGCAGACCGAGAGAGACGGGAGAGACCTGTAGAGACCTAGAGGGAATTCGGCCCGGACCTCGGCAGAGGGTCTGCCCTCGACCCGGAGAAAAGGGGTCCTGTGAGGCCTAGGGGAAGAGCTATAGATAGACGTTACTATACCCAACCAAATGATGTTCATATGTACAATTTTACCTGTAAATATGTTATCCAGTATTAAAATATCTTTTTAATAAATAAGAGTTACGTATTGTATCACATCAGTAAAGAACAATAAGTTAAAAATGACTGATTAGCCTTAGGGATTATAGAGAATGAACTTAATACGGGGTACAATTTAATGGATACACAATTGTACCTTGTGTTAATATGTTCAATTACTAAATGCCAATGGAAGAGAATGAACTTACTCGTTAGCATCATATCCCTGACATAAAGACAAAGCACCGATTACTTTTTTCTCATGACTTTTATCTTCTCCAAGATATTTTAATACAATATTAGCTCCCATACTACAGCCCACAGCTATTATAGTCGTATTAGGATATAATCTAATTATCTCATCTATCATACTATTATATTCACCGGTTTCTCCTTGAAAAATAAATTACAAATCATTTTAAATTCAAAGGGGAATTATAGGAAATTAGATAAAGATTTGACAGTTCTCGCTATAATAGTTAAAAAAATAGATAACGTAAATAGAATATGCTGAAAATTTCAGTCAAAATGCTCCACTTTGAACCGAGATATTAGCTTTGGGCTAGCCTCGATCATCATTACTAAAGTTGGTACAATAATCGAGAGTTGATAATGGTCTGGATAATGAATAATTTAGATAACATTTCAGGCCTAAATAAAGACCTGCAATAGGCAGATTTAGCTCTTGCATAATGTATATAATATTATGTTTAAGTATTGTCTCCTATCACAGTATCATGAGAGCCTTAAAAATTTTATACAATAATTTTCTTTAAAATACAAATAAAATAATAAATCTCAGTTATCATGAACTTTCATATTACATTAATAATTTATTCACTATCACCAAGTCATAATGTGTATGTATAGTATACAAAGGGTGGGTGATCGAGTGGTCTCACATGTGCCATTCAGATCAAAGGGTGTGTCATTGAGTAAAATGGCTTGTATGTGACAAGGAGTAGGGTCGTATGCCCAATTTATTATATGTGTTTTCTTTGGATCCTCGGATTTCCATCTACTACTAAAGACCACTAATTGCAAGCGAAATATTGAAATAAAATTTAACATAAGTTAGTCCTGAAATGACCAAGTTTGTGTTGAGTACACATTATACCCGGGCATTTCCCTTTCTTGCATGAAACAACAAGCTACTATGTGAAGAAGTTTTACAGGACAACAATATAACTCTCAAATAGAATTGACTTACCATAATTAAATATTCTAGGTGCTGTCAACCGAACATATCTCAAGGCACCAAGATGGTTCAATACAGCCACCCTGTAGCCATTTTTCTGTGCATGGTCTACCAATGTACGAATGTATAAACTTTCACTACTGTTAGCTATACCTGGACATACAGCAAGGGTAAAATCTTCTGCAAAAACAAGTATGATTATTATGTATTTTACCATCATTCAATTTTAAACAATACAAGCCATGCAAGATACACCAACATTTTGCAAGAATTGAACAGAGAACAAGCTGTGACCTCTTAAGGATCCACAAGCTAAAAATGTGATTTTTCGTACAATCAGGGGTCATAATCAAGAAAGTTACACTGTATGTGCGATAATTGGATAATAATTCTGACCCCTGGCGGAACCACTCTCTAAAAACGTGATTTCTTTGTTCAAAACGTGATTTCTTCATTCAATCAGGGGTCATAATCCAGGCAGTTACAGTCCGATATGCGCGAATATCGAAAAGAACTGAGATTGTTGGAATATAAACATATACCTTAAGTTTCACCAAAATCGGACGAAAATTGTGACCTCTAGCGGGTCCAGAACCTAGGTATTATTACATACTTTTACTTACACTATTTGTGTTCTAGTAGTGGCCATTTTGTTGGGCAGTTTCGGTCCGATTTTTACTAAATTCGAACTCAATCATCATCAGGGTGTAACGGTAATATAATCAAACGATTTTTAAAATAGGATAAAAATTGTGACCTGTAGACAGTCCACAAGCTAAAATCGTGATGTTTTTGTACAATCAGGAGCCATAATCCAGGAAGTTACGGTCTGTTATGTGCGAATATTGAAAGGAATAAGGCTCTTTGGGATATTACAACATTTTTTTAAGTGTCATCAAAATCGGATAAAAATTGTGACCAAATGGGGGTCCACAACCTTGATATTACATACTTTAACACTATTTGCGTCCAGGAAGCATTTAACACTATTTGCTTACAGGGAGCTGCCGTTTTGTCCGGCAGTTTCGGTCCGATTTTAATGAAAATCGAACTCAACCATCATTATGGTGTAATGGTGATGTATTCAAATGTTTTTTAAATTGGATAATAATTCTGACCCCTGGCGGAACCACACGCTAAAAACACAATTTCTTCATTCAATTAGGGGTCATATTACAGGAAGTTACGGTCCAATATACGAGAATATCGAAAGGAACTGAGATTGTTGGGAAATAACAATATATTTCAAGTTTCATCAAAATCGGATAAAAATTGTGACCTTTAGAGTGTATAAAAAAATGTATCATTTGTACTTACTTTCTGTAGGATGAACACTCTGTGGTTGAAATACATCAAATGACATGGTAGCTTGATCAGCCATGATCTTTTCTATTCTTTCTCCTTGGGGTAGAGGCGATTTTACTCGTCCCATTTTAGCATAGATAATGGTTTGGAGATGACCACTCTTACCCCATAATAGAGGAGGCATATACCTGAACAAAAAAGAGATATAATTGTAAGTGAGATGTGCATCTAAATTCCAAATTTTGAAAATAAGAGGCATTGCCAAGAGAGACCAAATAAATTGCATCCTTTAATCTAACAGTTCGAATTTTAGAGAGAGAGAGAGAGAAATGGGGTGTAACACTCAACACAAACTATGTCATTTTGGGAGTAACACATGCTTCAATTTATTTCGATAATTCACTTTTGCATAGGGGTCTTTTTAGCAGTGGGAAGAAACTGGAAGACTCGGAGAAAACCCACGAATTGGGGAATCAAAACCACGCCAGTTGACTCAATGAAATTTTAGTCTGTCTATAATAAATATTATGTTAAGTGGAATAAAGCAAAATACATCCTATGGTAATCCTTTTCACATCTTTTTCACATGCATGTAAAATAAATGGTATTCCAAAGGTGGGGGGGTCAAGCTATTTACAACACAAAACCCCATGATAGTTTATTTTGTCAATACAATGTACAACATTTAAATAAGGACTGAATTTGGGGTGTTCTTATCACAGTTAAAAGCAACTATTTATTATTGAAGTAAAAGACAACAGTGAATTGTACATTTTAAGTGAATTCAATTTGAAAGCTAATTTTGACATCATTTGAAGTCAAACATAAAATAATTCATGATTTAGAAATTGTTGAAAAAGTTGAAAAAAGTAAACAATATAATAGTCCCTGCCATGTATTATAAGTCTACATTAAAGAAAGGGTATTATATAGTCCTTTAACTCAATATCATCCATAATGTTCGACATTAAAAACACAAATTAGAAAGGAATTCAATATTGGTCCATTTCAATCAATATTGATGTCATTATCTTACAGTGAACATATGGGCTCCTGATATCCAATATTTTGATACACAATGAACATTATAAAATCAGTTCCTGGCGTCGGATTCTTATGGTCTTAAGTGTCAATGGCATTACAAAAAGGCTTAGTGAACAAATTGCACAGAAAATCATCACACAACTTGGCACGTAAGTCAATGCAGACAAATTTAAAAATGGCTGATCCGCAAATGACTAAAAGATAAATTTATAGCTTTGACTAATTGGGTGCAAATGGCTGCGATTGAATTTGGACTGCTCATATATTTCACAAAACATATAACAGATTAGAAATTACAATAAAAGTATAAAAATCTAAAATATTGAATGTACATGCATTATATGTATGTAATCAGATATTCATTAATATTACATATAAGTGTACGATCGTCGAAACAATGCACGTTAAAGATACATTATGTAAGATTTAGATAAAGAGCTATTCATTCTTGCTTTAATAGTTCAAAAATAGATAATGTAAAATGAATAATTTGAAAATTTCATTCAAATTACTCTATTGCGAGCGAAGATATTAGCCTTTGAAGGTTTCACAAGACTGGTTGTTCAAAGCTAAGTCTCGCTCCTCCATTTTTAGCTTAAATCAAAATATGGCTGAACTGTTCTAATCTATGAAATATCGAAGAAATCTGATGCCATCGAGAGTTGATTATGGCCTGGATAAGTTAATTAATGTCTAATTAATAATTTAGAAAACATTTCAGGCCTAAAGAACGACCTGCAATAGGTAAATTTAGCTCTTGCATAATGTATCTTTAATAAACCAATAATGTAATTGTTTTTTCATAATAGTTTTTACTGTGTTACTGTTTACTTACTAAGACTAAATGCCATTCAAAGAAGTTCATCTTAAATTAATGAATAGAGAGAGCTAGGCCTTGAAGTGTGGGCATATTAAAATTAAATTTCATTCAAAATTTACACATGCTTTACAGTGTACTTACGCTTCCATTAGTATGGGACATGATGCCAATATCGTGCTTACAAATGTTGAGGTTTTATCTTTTGCATACAGATCAGGGAGTGAGCAGGTACTAGCTAGATTTAAAAATTTCACAATTCCATAGAAACAAATACAGACAAAGCCTGTCAGAGCCACTGTTAAAGACATTGTTATGATTTTAAAATGTTAATTATTATTACACACTTTTTAAGATATTAATTATCTTGTGTTTTATCATAAAATTTTATGTGTGTCCAATTTAATTACGGGGTCACTGTGATGGGTAAACTTGCCAAGGCAGAATTTTATCTTATTAGTCAAACAGGAAAAAATCAATTATTAATACAGCATGATGATGATATCAGACTATTTCATGCGATGGTTTAAAGTATTTGGATTTGGGATTTGATGATGATTTCAGTTCACTTCAGGTTCAGCATGGTGATCATCATGGTCCAGTAAAGGTAAAAAAAAAACTTCATGAACGTAAATTGCCTACGTTAATTCATGTTTCCTAAAGTCTTAACGACATTGCACATGTTCTCGTGAAAATGAAAATCGATAATATTGAACTGGTTTCTTGAATATTGCAGACGATTCTTAAAACTATCACTTCTCCGTCATCGGCATCATCAGTTGAGACTTGAGTTCAGAGTTCAGTGTCGGACTGACCCAAAGCAACTGGCCGGTTTGTACGATACTATTTTCTATATATTGGCACGTAAGTCTTTAGAAGATGAATTATAACTCGTTGTCACATTCTTCTCGCAGTTCACAAAAATAGTATCCTTTTCTTCAATAAACGCCTGCCAACATAACATTCATCGTACTCTAAAATTTGTCAAAATTTGATTACAGAGTAACGTCCCTTACTACAATTTTATCCAATCATCGCTTAGAACTATCAAACTCTTTTCATAAACCGAATTGAGAATGTATAAAACTGCAAATTCGTATCTCAAACACGGGATTGGTGAGTCGTTTCGTTGGGATATTCGAACATGGGTTTTAATTTTTGAAAACTATGGCCTATTCCAGGATTCCGGGGTTAGTGAATCGTTTCGTTGGGATATTCGAACATGGTTTTAATTTTTGAAAACTATGGCCTATTCCAAGATTCCGAATCCGGATCGTACGGGAAATCATAATAATTCTTAGGTTCATTTCAATTGGTTTTCTGAGACATATAACCATTAGCCGATCCTCGGTATCCCCAGTGGTTTCATTCCGTTCTACTCCACTAACCCCTGGGTTAATCTAAGGGGGAGACACGTTTTCAAATTATTCTCCCTTGATGATTGTGCTATTTTTATCGACCAATCCCATGCATCGTTAATTGAAAAGGAAGTTATTAAAGGAAAGTAACTCTCATCGGACAAGTTTAGGAGTTAGCCTAAATGAGAGAAGTTCAAATTATTCTAAATGCTAACTTACTAACAGTAACAAGTTATATAGTATGAAATTAATGACGATCAGACCAAATTTATAATAATAAACATAACAGAATGAAACATTTCAGATAATAAAGGACGAATGTAATAATAATAACGAAAGTCAAACATATAGATGTTATATATATTTGAAATAAGCCAAACATACTACATATTTTGATAATACAATTAATTATAAAGGAATTAGAAATATATACATTATTTACATAAATCATTCAGTAAATGGACATGAATTTGGTTAATTACCCTTATAAAAACGAAGACGAAACGACTGGTTTGTAAACTGTTTCTTGATTGGTTCGTAGACCGTATCTACAATCAAGGCCAGGGCACATAATTTGAAATCGTGGAAACCCTATGAACCCAGGGTATAGTGGAGTAGAACGGAATGAAAACACTGGAGATACCGAGAATGCCATTAGCCGTGAACGACATAAACAATACCTGTGGACGATTTAACTAGTGGCTGTGGACGAGTAAACTGGCACACGGCTTGACGATTGTGCATAATTTAATCGAAATATCCGTTATGATTTTAGATTTTAGGTCAGTTCACCGATGTTTCTGTAGTAAAGTATATTTGTATTGTTAGTTAATTGCCGTTATGATTTTAGATTAGTTCACCGATGTTTTTATACGGCGCGTCGAATTACCCAATAACACCCAAAAACTGCCCAATAACACCCAATAACGCCCCAGTAACACCCAATAACTCCAAAATAACAACCAATAACTACAACATGTTGACTTTGGAAACACAAAATAACAATTTAGTTGAATTTAAGAAGCATCGCTGCTTTGTGTCCAAATCGGAGTTTCACGCTCACTCGCCTGAAGGGAGATAACTCGTATATGTGATTTTTGTTGACAAGAAATTAATAACACCCTATAACTGCTCAATAACACCAAATTGTTGACTTTTTAAATACAAAATAACAATTTAGTTGAATTTAAATACCTCGCAACGTTGAGCCCAAATCAGAGTTTTACGCTCACTCGCCCTGAAGGGAGATAACTCGTGTATGTGAGTTCCAATTTCGTGAAAATCGGCCCAAAATTGACAGACAAAATGGCCGCCGTTCGTTCTCAAATAGCGTAAAAATATGGTATATCAAGGTTGTGGACCGTATAGAGGTCACAATTTTTATCCGATTTTGTTGAAACTTGAAATGTAACTTTATAACACAAAGATCTCGGTTCCTTTCGATATTCGCGCATATCGGACGGTAACTTCCTGAATTATGGCCCCTGATTGTACGAAAAATCGCGTTTTTAGCTTGTGTACCCTATAGAGGTCATAATTTTTATTCGATTTAAAAAAAAAAACGTATTGTTATATAACAGTTACACCCTAAGGACGACTGAGTTCCAATTTCGTGAAAATCGGCCCAAAATTGACAGACAAAATGGCCGCCGTTCGTTCTCAAATAGCGTAAAAATAATATAGTATATCAAGGTTGTGGACCGTATAGAGGTCACAATTTTTATCCGATTTTGTTGAAACTTGAAATGTAAGTTTATAACCCAAAGATCTCGGTTCCTTTCGATATTCGCGCAAATCGGACCGTAACTTCCGGAATTATTGTCTCTGATTGTACGAAAAATCGCGTTTTTAGCTTGTGGACTCTATAGAGGTCATAATTTTTATCAGATTTAAAAAAACGTATTATTATATCACCGTTGCACCCTAGGGACGGCCGAGTCTGAATTTCGTGAAAATCGGCCCAAAAGTGACAGACAAAATGGCCGCCCTTCGTTCTCAAATAGCCTAAAAATATGGTATATCAAGGTTGTGGATCCTATAGAGGTCACAATTTTTATCCGATTTTGTTGAAACTTGAAATGTAACTTTATAACACAAAATCTCGGTTCCTTTTATTATTTGCGCATATCGAATTGTAATTTCCTGAATTATGGCCCTTGATTGTAGGAAGAATTACTTCCTTTTTAGCTTGTTCTCTAGCCATCTCTCGAAAATGTGGGCGTATCCTGCCTGGCAGCCGCTGATTGTAATAAAGTATACTCGTATTGTTTGTTAGTTTATGATGTCTAACATCTTCTTTATGAAAAAGTATTTTATAATTACATATTGACAGCTCAATCACTCGCCAAAATACATCATGGACTCTTCGTATCACCCATAATCAACCAGATTGCGCAGAAACCCCTTTTTAAATAAGACAAATTATTAGATTGATATTATTTCGAAACCATAATTAATTTTAAAACTAATCGTTGATTTAATTTCCGTACACGAAATGGAACTAAACAATTCCAAAAATAAGAATTCTGAATAAGAATTAATTTAGAATACCAAAATGCGAATCGTAACACATTGTGGTCCAAACTGTGTGATAAATTATAAAATAAATCGTAAATCAATGGAGCCTGTAAGGTGGACACTGCATGCTTTCTTTCAACGTTGGGTTATTTGAGGCGCCAGGTAGTCTGAACATCTGAAGATAACAGTGTCGAAATAGTGGCTACATGCAATTTTATTCTTTGATCTGTTCTATCACGGGCAATCCTGTTATAGTGAAACCAACATGCATGAAAATGACTATATTACAAGTTGAATGTTTTGCTATGAGCACCACTCGATTGTAAGCGATGTAATTTTAGTGAAATTGGTGTCGAGAATAATTGGTGTGGATTCGGGAAATAAGCTAAAGCATATACAAAGGAAGAAGTTGGACACTATTCATGTTAAAATTGCATTGACATATTGTATAAATAAAATATTCGGAAAATAAGCTAAAGCGTATGGAAAGGAAGAAGTTGGACACTATTCATAATAAAATTGCATTGACATATTTTTATTGGCATTAGATCTAATGTATAAATGAAATATTAAAAATTCATGAAACGACCCGATATATAAGTGGGATGAAAGGACCCGTGTAGATTTGGGATGAAACAGTCTGATATGAACCGGTAGTGGGATGAAACGACCATCTCCCAATATTTACGACTGGATACTCAAGACATATATTTCGGAACCGGAAATTGAATATTGCGGGAATATCGAATATTAATTGCCGCGTTTTATCTTGCATCTTGATGTCTGTTAACGTTGTTCTCAGTCCAGTAAAGATAAATATCGAGAGTGATTCAGCACCACCAGCAAAGAAATTCAAAATGCCAACTGACAACATTATCCTAAAATTTGCCAAACTGACCAAGAATGCGTTGACGCCAACACGAGGGTCGAAACTAGCTGCTGGTTATGATTTATACAGGTATTGTAAAATTGATTGAAATTTAAATGAATAAAAATGGAATGGAATGATCGGTACTATTGAATAACGTACCTCTACCAGTTCCCATGATCGTAGAGACTTGAAATTTTCATGGGGTATTCATGGGGCCTAGCCATGACCTCACACCAAATTTCAGTCGAATCTGTCAATGACTTTTTATTTTACCGTAAGTTAGCTTATAACGAGAAAGTTTATCCGATTTTGACGCCATTTTGTTTGTTGGCTATTTAGACTCGAATAACAAGACAGGGTTAGGGTTAGGGCTAGCCCTGTCTACATCTTGAGACTATGACGAAATCTACAGGTCCTAGCCCTTATCCTAACCCACAATCCACATATGACGCCATTCGAGCCTAAATAGTCAACAAACAAAATGGCGTCAAAATCGGATAAATTTATCTCTTATAGAAGCTAAACTACGGTCAAATTAAAAAGTTATTGACCGATTCGGCTGAAATTTCGTGTGAGGTCATGGCTAGTCCCTGTGAACACCCCCTGAAAATTTCAAGTCTCTACGATCACAGGAACTGGTAGAGGTACGTTACTGAAATAGTACCGAATGATCAGCAGTCCTAACCAGAAATTATCATTACCAAATGGTTTGTTAACCCGTTTAGACCGTTCCTGTTCATCCCTATATATCAGACCTATGGCCATTCTATTCTGCAATGAAAATACTGCTCTACCCCCACCTCTGTAAGTAAGGCTATTTTGTAATCCTTACATTTAATTTTTCTCTGTGACTTTGTTTGCCAAAAGGAAACATTTCTCACCACATCGGACACAAATCTATAATAATAATTCAACATAACATTTGAGTTTCTTAATGGCAGACCAATTCAAACGTATTTTGTTCCTGTTTTTGAATCGCAAAATTCTACTTGCAAATAGTGTTTGAATTATTATAAAATTGTGTCAAATGTGGCAGGAAATGATTACTTTTGGCGAAAAAGAAAAATCCCAGTGAAAAATAAAGGGTAAGGATTAAAGTATCCTGTGCTTTTATGTCATCATGAAGCATACAAAATCAATTAACAAAACATTGACTAGTAAATTGATTCTTATGACAAGTTGTGTACTTACCACTGTTATAAAGTAATCAAATTGATGAAGTGCATCAAATAAAAACAATTATTTTTTAATTTGAGTGGTCTTACTTACAATATAAAATAATTTGGTCTGAGTGGTCTTCTGTCTTGGTCCAATAAGTCTTTTTGTTGGTCCACAAGCGGTCTTTGGTCCATGTTGTCTGGATACTGTCTAATCTGTTACAAGACAGTTGTAACAGTAATTACAGTGACTTCATCAGTTACAAGGTATTTACAAATATATGATGCATTGATAATTTGTTGACATACCACTAATTATTTATCTTTGAATTTTGCAGTGCATATAATGTTACTGTTCCATCGAAAGGAAAAGCGGTTGTAAAAACAGACATACAAATAGCCTTACCAGATGGATGTTATGGACGGGTCGGTAAGTAATAGTACATGTGTAAATGCAATATCTAATGGGACCTAAATTATATGAAGTGTGATTTCTTTTGTATATGTACATCCAAATTAAATTGTGTTACTATTTTTTGTATTCTTTTGTTTGCTATGAACTGTCTAGGCTGTGCAAATTAATTTGTGTGCAACATATTCTTTAACCTATTTAAAGTATATCAATCAAAATGTATTTTTGGGAAAGAGGAACAGGATAGACTCTAAATTGATTTAAACCATAGGATGAAGAGCATTTGTAAATTCAGATATGGGAAAAACATGTTTTTTTAGCAATCAGCATTTATTTCCCTTGTTTTTCCTAGCACCAAGATCTGGTTTAGCAGTCAAACATTTCATAGATGTAGGTGGTGAGTATATTTTTACAAACTGAACTCTGATCATAATTTGGGGGATTTATAATCTCTGACAACGAAAATATTGTCAGGGTTGAATCTCTTAATGGATATCAGTCTAAATATGGTTCGTTATAGTATATTACATTCAGTATTTACAAAGATATTATGAATCGTATATTTGTCAACATTCTTCAGACAATTTAAACTGGACATGGCCAAAACAAGCCAACACAACCTATAATCTTGGTGCCTCTGTTTAATCTGATTGAATCCAAGATGGAGATTATGTCTACCATTGATATTTTGACTGGTGTTTTCTTAATTAAATGTTAATCAGTGTAGCAATGGAAAGAATTTGTGCATAATAATCTTGCATTATCTATTAATCTCTCTTTTTTTTCAGCTGGTGTAATAGATCAGGACTATAGAGGAAATGTTGGTGTTGTCATGTTTAATTTTTCTGATACAGATTTTCAAGGTTAAATTTTTTTAATCCTCACACAAAGCATTCAAAATATTTTAACACAAATTAATCTATTGATATTTTGGCTTTTTGGTCTAAGGGGAGATAATATGACTCTAAGGACTAAATGCAGAGTTATTTTCCTTGGTTTGCTATTCCTTTTACTCACTTATATAAACTATTAATTAGACATTTATTAACGAAACAAGCCGATAATCAACTCTCGATGGCATCAGATACTCAAGATTTTAACTAGATTAGAACGGTTTACCATTTAAAAATTTAATTTAAAAATGTGAAAGCGAGGCTAAGTCTCGAATATACTATTGCCCTGTTTACCACTATGCACACATCTTGTTAAAACTTCAAGCATCTATTTTTGAATTATTATAGCAAGAATGAACAAATCTATATTAAGCTCTTAACTAATGTATCTTTAAAGAGTTAGCTATGTTTTCATTAATAACTTCTAGAAATTTATGAACACTATAGTGAAAGTCATGATTTACTTCAGTTCATATTCTTTGTTGCCATTTTTGATAATTACCTGCCTGACACACTATGCTTAATTTTAATAAATCGGTTTAGATTTTGGTATACATGTATATTAACAATATATTCTTTTGTCATTTGTTGTAGTAAATGAAGGTGATAGAATAGCACAATTAATCTGTGAAAGAATTTATATTCCTGAGTTACAAGAACAAACGGTAAGTTGTACTTGCATTACTTTCTTCTAAGAATGTAATAGCAGAAGAGCTTCTTTTTACCCCCAGTGGCACATAAATAAGATTTGAGTTTGAAAATGCAATTAGAATTAGATCATTTGGATTTTGAATCTAAACATTGGCTAAATGAATGGCCAAGTCTGGTAGGTTAGACAATACTGTATAACTGTAGTGCAAATATAGATGATACAAAAATAAACAAAAGTATGGCCTATTTTTAATTTGCCAACATATTCTAAATAATTAAAACGGCATTATCAACCTAAAACATATATGTTGAATTATTCAACATCAACTGCTATGGATCTGTCAGTCGTCCATAATTTCTTACGAATCTACGGACCACATTTATCATCCAATATTGGCGCATAACGGACCGTAACTGCCTGGATTATAGCTCCTGATAGTAGTACAAATAAAATAAAACCAAGTACGAACAATCCAAACCATAAGACAGAATTCGAAGTCCTAAAAAACGTTATAGGCAAAATAGTGTATTAAAGCAAAATAGTGTAATCAGCAAATGGACTGCTCCTCGTGTACAAAATACACGACAAACAGTGGTAACAGGTGTCTGGAAGAGTAAGCTTACAATATCACGTTTTTAGCTTGTGGATCCTCTAGAGGTCACAATTTTTATCCGATTTGGATGAAACTTAAAATATATGTTTATATTTCAAAGATCTTGGTTCCTTGTAATATTGATGCATGTCAGACCGTAATGTTATGGACCCTTATTTTATGAAAATTGTTCTTTAGCGTGTTCTCTGTCCATCTCTTGCAAAATGTAGATGTGTCTTGCATGGCAACCGCTCGTTATTTATTTGCTGGACAGCTTATTTTTATTAATTTGTGATCCTTTTGAAATTTATGTTTAAAATTTAAATTTGATCTTATTTGATATGTTGCAGAGTTTAGATGACACAGACCGAGGTTCTGGTGGATTTGGATCTACAGGAAAAAAATGAAATTTTATTAAAAGTCAACAAGTCGATGTTTGATATTGACAGAAACATTTTACCGAGGGCTTTATAAACTTCATCAAATCATGGGTCATTTATATTGTATTGCGGTTTTACAAATTCTTCTGCCGCGCAAATGGTAATTGGGTTGAAACCGAATGTGATAGGATCGAAACTGGAGATTATTTGAAATATAATTTAAACACAATAAAATGTCACAAAAGTGTGTACACAAAGAGTAATCTTTAATTTGTTCAATATCAGCCATTGCTATTGACTATGCTGTGAGTTGGTCACAGGCTAAAATACTTTCCAGGGAAGGCTATTGAAGTTATCTGGTGACAATTTCCATTAGCTTAGATGAGATTTAGATCCTTATATGAACATTAAGTACAGTAACTTAAAGCTGAACTCCGATTACAAAACTACAGAAATAATTAAATTAAAAAAAGGTAAAGCCCTAAACGACCACCATACTTGTTTTCAATTTGTAGAAGAAACCTGGCGATCACTTAGGGGTAACAAAAACACGGGCAGGCCACGTCCACGTCCAGTATATGCCGTGTCAAGCAAACTGTCCACATCCGGTTAGCTAGCGAACTACCAATTACCTCCTGAGTGATCGAAGTTCTTTTACTATCACTACTATCAGCTAACTAAAAATATTACTGCTACACAATTATTATGTCTGATCAGGTACATATTATTTTACTAATTAGACCCCAAAAAATAGAGAAAAACTGTCTTACCCCAAACAATAACTGTGCTAATGCCATTCAATTCTTATTTCGTGTAATGTTTTGGACAACAACGTAGAAACACTAAATAATGTTCTGCATCATAATGCCCAGTATTCAAAATGTATCCAACCAGCAATAAAACTGTTCTTCTCTCCATCAAATAGATATATTTTCACTTCAAAATAATGGCGATATATTTTTCGTGGACATTATTTATGTCCCTTGAGTTCATGTTAACAACATGGAATTTTATACCCCTTTGAAGTGAAAACATACCTATTTGATCGAGGGAACAATAGTTTTATTGCTGCCCTTTTTTTTTTGAACGATAATACTAGACTTTATGATGCAGAAAATTCTTGGTGTTTCTCCATTGTTGTGCAAAACATTTCACGAAATAAGAAAACAATTGGTTGGTGTTCGTTGATAGATTTTTTATTGTTTGGGGTAAGGCAGTTTTTCTGTTATTTTTAGAGCAAAAGGAGATCGTGGTTGACTTATTTCATCTAATTAGTAAAATAATATGTACCTGGTCAGACATAATAATTGTGTAGCAATAATATTTTCAGTTAGCTGATAGTAGTGATAGTAAAAGAACTTAGATCAGTCAGGAGGTAATTGGTAGTTGGCTAGCTAACCGGATGTGAACAGTTTGCTTGACACGGCATGTACTGGACGTGGGCGTGGCCTGTCTGTGTTTTTGTTACCCCTCATCGATCGCCATGTTTCTTCTATAAATTGAAATGAAATGGGGTTTAACGTCCTACTGTTCTGCTCCTAACCTGGGCTAATGAAGACGGGATATAAATTGAAAACAAGTATGGCGGTCATTTAGGGTGTTACCTTTTTTTTTTTTTTAATTATTTCTGTAGTTTTGTAATCAGAGTTCAGCCTTAAGTTCAGGAAATGCAACAGGAAACATTCCCTTAGTGATATTACACCCTCAACTGAAATGCTGCTATAACCCTTTAAATAGCTTGTTCAAGATTAAAGTGCCAGTCTGTGGTTGAGTGTCTATTTGCATGTATCTCCGGATTCAGATACTAGAGATACAGTTCATTCATGTTTGGTGGTGTTCTTTCATTACAGAGCAACATAAAAAGTAATTTCTAGACAACAAACGAGTTATTGTCCTTGTTCACTTTTTATACACCAACATTTAAATGTGGTTGTATATTGCTGTCTGCCCTGTCTGTTCACATTTCTTGTTGCTTAAAAAATCAAAATTTGTTGTTTTAACTCATTCAAAGGAAGAAGACTCTTAAATTGTACAATAAACATACCTGTACTCTAAATATAAAATTTTATTCAATAAATATTTTTTTTACATTAATATAACTAAAACATTTACATATATACTCTCATTCCATTTAAACATTGCATCCAACACTTATTTGTTAGTCTAATATATAAAAATTTTATATAAAGTCATTCTGTTCATTTGTATCATCTCCGCATATATAATGTCTTAATTCAACATAGAAAATGTACTTGACACCAATATATTTCGATCAACAAATACAAAAGAAAAACCAAACGTACATTTATAATGAACTACTAAATAGCAAAGTTTTAAAAAGCACATTATAAACTACTTATACATGTGCATTGTATACATCTATATAAATAAGTATGGATTTCTAAAAGCACTGGTTGATCAACAATCAATTAGTCATCTGATATTAATATCGTACTAAAACTAAATGTCTTCTCAAAATTAGAAAAATATTTAGATCAAGCTCATAAATCACAATTTGCATGGCAATACAAGCATGCGAATTCCGAATAGAATTGAAGCTGTAATTGAACTCATATAACCTCAGATTTCTCATTCATAAGTCAATCCACAGGAGTTTACCTATCCAACAAAAAAAACCCAGGAATATGCAATGCCTGTTGAAGCCTTGATTTTATCTGGTGTATGCATATACGGATAGAAGATCAGAATCCTGTGGTCAATCACTACTGGACCAAGAATTATTCGCTTGATAATCACAAGTGATTGATTAATTCAATGATAATATGTAGCTGGATTTCTATTATTCCAGGATAAAATGGACTGATGAAATGTGCAACAAAAAGAGATAAAATAACTATTGCTTACAAAGATGATTACTTCCTAAGCATAACAAAAGAAAGTTTCTGCACTTGTTTCTTTTAAATGATTATTATTAATTTTGGTCTTTGGGCCCCTTAATTAGTTGATCTGATCTAATTAAAATGTAGAATGATGGAGTTCAACATTTCATTAATAGGATCAAGTCTACTGTTTGGGTGACAAGTGTCACAATATGTCTGTTTAATTTTAATGTTTTGAATTTTAAGGCTTGCATGTTATATAATTCACAGATTATTATAACAATGAGTTAGATCACAGGTTTCACAGCTGATTCAACAGTTTATAATGTTCTATATCTCATATATTATTATGACTAGATCTAAAAAAATTATGATCTCGAAACATAATGGCTGACGGCTCATCTAATTTATCTTTGGCTTCAGATATATCAGATTCTATTGCTTGTATTAATTCATCTGAAATTAAAAAAAAAAGGTTTCTTCTGTAAAAAGATTAATTTTAGATCACTATGATTTATATATGTTATGTTAGTCTGCTGCCTTAAACCTTTTCACCGGTTAGATGGAAACGGTCCCATTACATTTGCATTTGACCGACTTTTTTGCAAGCAAAAACGCCACGAAAAAATGTGCATCGAAAACAATGTCAATCATTAAAGGGGCATTATGTAAGGTTTAGATAAAGAGCTGGCTGTTCTCGCTATTATATTTAAAAATTAGATAACGCAAAGTTATATATTGAAAATTTAATTGAAATTATTGGTCATTTGAGTCTTGGCCTCGCTTCTCCATTTTTAAATTAAATCATTAAATGGCCGAATCGTTCTAATCTACTTAAAATCGGAGCCAACCCATGGCATCAAAGTTGTTATGGTTTTGTCATGTTAATAAATGTAATTAATAATTTATATAACATTTGATACCCAAAGAAAGACCCACAATATGAAGATTTAGCTCGTACATAATGCCTGTTTAATACTGGCCGATGTAGTTCCTGTTATAAGACAGTAACTTTGGGCAAATTTATCAATTGATTTTCCACAATTAACTACATTCATGTGCATATGGCATACAGCCAATGTAAACATGATAGTAAATCTTCTGCTCAACCAGACCTATGACTTTTGACTATGTATAGATAGACAATTGACGCTTTTCTGTCTCGGCCAATATAGCAGATATATGAACTAGGGTGATCGAGACGACATGTTGACTAAACCTCAACAGCAACTGAAAGGGGTTCCTCAAGCTTTAGGTATGACATTTCAAGATTTTATATAAAATAAATTGGATGAAGTAGCTTACCCAAAGATGAAAAGTCCTTCATGTTTCTTATATATCCCAACATAACAACTTTTAAATTTGATCCATAAAAATCATCAACAAAAGCATGAATAATATGTGTTTCCTATTTTAAAAAAAATGCACATATGGATAATCAAGATACATGTAGATGTTAAAGAACTGATATAAAAATTGAGTTACTTTGCTACATCAGATATTTGAAAGAAAAAAGTATTTCTGGGAAACCTAAGACTAAATGCATTCCAAGAAAGCAGTTGTATGGTCACTATTATTACTGTAACCTTAAAAAAAAGAGAAACCAATGATTTAGAAATGTGAACAGTATTGTTTGACAAAAGAAACGGTGGTTCATTAATCTGATTTTAAAAAAAAAAGAACCCGTGATAAAAAATAAATAGAATCTTAATAATAATACTAACCATAGTTTTCTTTTTATTTTGATAATATGGATTCCAGCCAATGCTCATAACCATTTTAAAAACTGATCCATCATCAACTTGTGCCCAACCATAGTAAACACCACAACCTATGGATTCTGGTAAATGGTCTACAACACTATCAGGAAAATTAGCTGAATGGGGGAAAAATAGTATATTGTTACCGGTACTGTAGTTAACACAAGACCAACAGGTCATATACATGTAGGCCTTTTTATTTTGACCTTAGAAATGAAAGCAGTTTCATACCTTTCATTTCTAAGGTCAAAAGGATAGGTAGAAGTCGATTCTTTCTCAACTGAACGGTAGAAATTGTATAATTCTAACTATGAAGACTAGTTAGTACGGCTGTAGTGTAGTACTAGACACTAGTTAGTAGGGTTGGGTCTAAAATTGCATCAGGTGAATTTAGCAATGACAGACGCGTAGGCCTACAATTAATTTCATAAGCTTTTTAAAACTCAATTTTGAGATAATATGATTTTACTATGAATGTAAGGCTGTACATAAGGTTTAGATCAGCATAAAAAGAATTTTCTAGAACACGACATAGATGACAAGTCGGTTTCATGGTAACATGGTTTCATTCACTTCAGAATTCGATCATTCAGTTCGCGGCCTTTTGGGTATTTAGAACAAATTCTTGAATGAAACTACAGTCATTCTCACCTGTTGGTATCCCCAATTCTTTACTCCCTCTTCCGAACCCTTTAACAACTTCCCCTTGAGCAAAATGTGGTAGAACCTGTTCCATAACTGTTTCTATTCAATACTTCACCGCTGTTGTGATGTTGTAACAGTACTTTAGTTTAGAGAAATCCTGTTACAGAGGTCAAGGTTAACTTGTAGTCTTGTCTAACAGGACTAGAAAAAAGACGTTTTGTGTATGTAAATGTTGGTGTATGTTACCACAGTCATTGGAGGGGCGGGAATAAGTATTTTGTACTATTAATGATATGAATCAAGATAAATGCATAATTAGGCGATAATTTCACGCCAACACGAAATCGCTCTGCACGGGAGGATGACTTTGGTGGGGTCATAACTCTAACGGGAATAATAGATTTAACATCCAGCCATTCCATTATTTCGATCAGCTGTTTGGTGAACATGATGAATAATATAGCAAAATACAGACAAATAATTTCTCATTCCAATGTATATAAGAATTTGGATAAGGATGGGAGGGATTTGTTCCGCTTTCAAAGAAATGTCCATCAGAAAATTGTGAATCATAAAAATGGGTTGAAGCCATGTTCCTCGGAAAGCAATCGTGATAATGATTATGATTATCATTATAATTATACACACGAAAGACATGGCAGTGGCTTAAACTTAAAGATACTTTACTCGGCTGTTTTGGGGTTTGCTGGATTCAATTTATGGAAAAATTCAAATTGTGAAGAAAACCGGGAAAATGCAATCAACAATTTGTTACCAAAGAAAACATTAAATGAAGCAATAAATATTGCAAGAGACCTAACAATAAAAGTGAAGGTGTGTATTGATTGTCCAGTGTAATGGAGCAGATCAGAGAGTGTGAAATTAAACGACCATATGGCATATAAAAGTGGTAGCCTACTGACTTAGTGACTATGCACCAGGCAGTTTGCATTTTTTTTCAAAAATATCAAATTTCTAACAGCTCAATCCACACTAATATGTACTCTGGACTGCAGTGAGTTTATCAATAGATCAGGGGTGTGAAAAGAGTTCGCTGTGTGACACCTACAACTCTTAAGATTAGAACATGTCAGATGATGTTAACTAAAAGAGCTAATCCTCTAACTCTGTGTTCCATAATATTCGAAATTAAAAACACAAATTAGAATTCCCCATTGGTCTTTTTTAATCAATAATGATGTTGTTATCTTGCCCTGAAAATAATATTTAAGACACGATGAGCATTTTATATTCAATACACGGGTCGTGTATTCTATGGTTTCGGGCACCATTTGCAATGAACAAAGAAAATCATATCCTAGACACTGCGGAAGTCATTAGTAATGGCTGATCCATATTAAAAGACAAAATAATAATAATAAGAACATGTAGAATGGACGAAGTATGTGTAAATGACCGCGGTTCAATTTTCACTGTTCGTGTATTTCACCGAACATAATTGATGAGAAATTACAATAATTGAATATAAATCACTTTGATACATTCATATTACATGAAAATATGCTTTTACACCCATTTTCGTCTATTTTAAGGTTCCAAAGAATAGAGCCATACACGCTTTAAGTAAAATTGAGTCTAGTAAAATAAAAGTACAGAGCAAAAGACGAATAATAAAAATAACTGAATACAGTCAGATTTTGATAAGTTTATTACTGAGCTTACTAAAAATTGTTATTTTCATGAATATAGAGTAAGAATGAAACAATTTTTTATTGAACTTCATAATTTTGTTTTTATTAGGATGAAAGTGGTTGTCCTGGTATTGTTGTAGCTGTTAGTATTGATGGCAAACAGGTTTGGTCTGAAGGTATCTCATTTCATTTATGTGATCATCCATAAAGCCCATATTTTCAAATTTACATATTTAAACATTTCCCTTTCGACGTCATACAATATATTCATACAAGTCTGGAAATAATGGTTTTAGTTATACCTGACAAATATCAGGCACTACTGAACTAGTTTTTATACGACCACATGGAAATGTGGTTGTATATCGGTGTAGCCTCCATCCGTCTGTCATCCACACTTTCTTGTGAACACTCTACAGACTACATTTATGATCTGATTGTTTTGAAATTGATATATGTTATGACCCTTCTTTCACTGTATTGCACCTTGTGAACGACAAAAATTATCATCCAATCTGTGTAAAATATATATATGCATCCTTTAAATTTGTGAAACGAAGAAGCCTATTGAATTTCAGCAATTTCTGTTAATTACTTTTAGAGTGATGGCTCTTGTTTCACTTTGTCGAACCCTGTGAATGCTCTAATGACAAAAGTTATCATGTTGATCTGTATGAAATTTATATGCATTATTTAAATTAGTGAAATGAAGGAGTCTAATGAATTTCAAAAATTTCTGTTATTTCTAGAGTTATGGCCCTTGTCTCACTTTGTCGAACCCTGTGAACGCTCTGACAATAAAAGTTATCGTTTGATCTGTATGAAATTTATATGCATTATTTAAATTAGTGAAATGAAGAAGTTTATTGAATTTCAACAATTTCCTTTAATTGCTGCTAGAGTTATGGCCTTTGTTTCAGTTTGTTGAACCTTGTGAATGCTCTAATGACAAAAGTTATTATCTTACCTCTATGAATTTATATGCATTATTTAAATTAATGAAACAAATTTAGAGGACTATTGATCGAATTTCAGCAATTTCCGTTAATTACATCTAGAGTTATGGCCCTTGTTTCACTTTGTTGAATCTTGTGAGTGCTCGAACGACAAAAGTCGTCATCCGACCTGTGTGAAATTTATATGCATTATTTAGATTAGTAAAATGATAAAGGCTGTCAAACTTCATATTACTTAAAGAGTTAAGGCCCTTGTTTCAGTTGATAGCACCTTGTGAACCCTCAAAGGACAAAATTATAATCTTATCTGTATGAAATTGTCTTGTAAATTCCCCCATTACCTTCAAAAGATTAAATATGCAACAACCCTTGTTGACTGCTCAGACGATTTAGCTGCTGTGGGCATATGTTTCATTGCCTGGCAACCTGTATTAAACTTTATTCCGGACATGTACCGGTATTAATAATATCAATAGAAAAAGACAAATCAATGGTGGACAAAATGACAGACACCAGACTTTGTGCCTGACAAATCCCGAATTTGTGCCTTATACCGTAATATGACAAGTGCCTTATTTCCAGGCTTGCTCTTATGACTACCGGTATACCACTGATTCTCTTCCTTTTGTTTATAGTGGACATGTTCATCTGGATTAGCAAATGTTAGACCACCAAATATGCCCAATTAAACATCAAGATGGTAACTCAAACTTGATTGCCCTTGATAATTTTGAAAAATCATGTGGACACAATATAGGTGTAAATTATACACAGTGTTAATGTTCATGAGATGGAGAATCCTATTGATTTTCAATGATTTTCGTTAAATAGTAGGGGTTATGGCTCTTGATCAATTTGTAAAATCTTATTGAAGCCCTAGAGGCTAAAGTTAATATCTGATTAATTAGAAATTTATACAAAGAAACAACTAAACACCAATCTTCGAAAAGCAGGGACTATTAAAATGGGTTCATCTGTCTATCCATCACACTATTTTGGACACAGTAACTCATCTTCTAATTAATGTAGAATGTTCAATCAAACTTGGTATAACTGTTTCTTAGGTGAAAGCCTTGACTGAGTTTGATGATGAGCATTTTCTGCTTAGCCACTATTAGAAGAGATAAGCAATTTTATGGGTGAGGCTTTGGGATACGATAACTGTTTCTTATGTGAATGCCTTGTGACACAATAACACAGCTTCTATAATTGAGCTAGAATCCTCAAACTTTGTGTGCGTGTTTATTCGATGAATTCATTGACTGATTTCAATGATCCACATTTTCTGCTTAGGCTAAGTATAGATAAGTAGTCTGATTGCTTGATGCATTACAAAAAGATAAAAGTGGAATTTATGGGTTGTAACTCTTGATCCATTTTTATATGCCACATAGAAATGTGGTTGTATTTCCATTGCATCTGTCCATCCATCGTCCACAATTTCTAGTGAACACACTACAGACTACAGTTATTATCTGATCTTTTGAAAATTGATATGTTCTTTACATAGTGAGATGAAGACACCTATGTAATTTCAAATATTTCCTTTAATTACTTCTGAATTTAGGGTCCTTGTTTCACTTTGTAGAAACATGTGAACGCTCTTAACAACAAAAGTTATTGTCCTACCTGTATTAAATTTATATGCATTATTTATATAGTGTCTTGTGAATGCTCCCACTATTATTATCTTTTTACAGGATTTGGTTATTCTGATATAGAGAATCGTATTGCCTGTACACCAGATACTGTTATGCGTATTGCTAGTATCAGTAAACCTATTACTATGGCTGTTGTGGGTAAACTGTGGGAAGATGGTAAACTGAACATTGATAAACCTATTCAACAGTATCTTCCTGATTTTCCACAAAAAGAAGTGGATGGAAAAAAGGTATAATGATTCATCGTATTCAGGTTAATTTATGGCATTGTAAGGGACTTAAGTCATTAACCATGACTTACTATTGTAAGTGTTATATTCGTGTGTTTCATTCGCTGGGCAGTTAGACTTCTTGTATCATTGATTCAGGTGTTCTTATAATTGATTATAGATTTTAATAAATATTAAGGAGGCATAAGAACTTCAGAGGTCTTTGCCAATATCAGTCCCAAAATATTCTGTAATCTGTCATGATATGACTAATACAGTTACATTGGGTATCTCTTTATAAAGATCCTGATCAGGAACTATAATAAGACAATGGGCTGTGGTTTAAGGTTTTGCAAAAGCATAGCAGATTTCAGGGTGTGCAGAGGCAGTCCAGCATGGAAAGCACCCCCACCAGTCACCAGAAATGATTACAGTCTATGTCCTCATTAACTGTGGTATTCAATTGTCCAGGGAACTGTCCTGGGTTCAAATCTTAGTGTTGGCCAAGAAGAATCATCACAATTTATGTATTAGTCCGCACGACAGTAGGGAGCCTCAATGGCTCAGTGAGTAACACGTTAGCTGACTAACAAAAAGGTTCTGTGTTTGATTCATGCGTTTGCCACAAAAGTTCATCTGGATTTTCAGCTGTGGTTCTACCTTGTCAGTAATGTAGGACAGTTGACCCGGCAAAGGACATCTAGTTGTTGGAATGAGACGAATACCTGAGGTCCTGTGTACACATTGGAGTGCACATAAAAGATCTCTTGGCAGTTGGAATTTTATATAAGAGTAGGTCATAGCACGACTGTGCGGCAAAAATGTCCCTCATAGCACACAGTATGGCGTATGCCCTTTCTCTTTAGTCCAGTAGGAGCAGAACAGCAGAACGTTAAACCCCATTTCATTTCATTTATGTCTCAAAATAAATGAAGTATTGTTTTGATCCGACGTTAGACGTTATTCCATCCATTTGATTCTACTTTGACTTTCTACTGCATGCTCATCTTTTTCCTCAATACCCCCTTACCTTTATTTTGAAAAGGCCTTTGTCCATATTTGATAGTTATTTAAATCGGTGTAAATTATTGACTATTTTTCTTGGTGTTATTTTAGGTTCAGATAACAACAAGACAACTTGTTTCACATTTAAGTGGTATAAGACATTATGATAAGAAATACCTTGATAAAAACAAAGAAAAGGTAGATATTCATCCACATATAGACCCTAGGTATCTCGTATAATGTGCAGCTATTCAAGACACCTGTGAAATTATTCAGTTATTCATTTCTTTAGAATTCCGATTAAACCATTTAGGGATGAATTAAAGAATTGCTGAGTTGAAGGCCGAACAATGGACTATTCAACCCTAATCAGAATTTTGTAAGTCAGATTTAAAAAAGAAAAGTGAAATTTGACCCTTGGTGACACATGATACATTGTGATGTGGTCAGGCAAATATTTTTATTATTGTATATAATTTAGGCCAACTGTCCTCGACTTTTATCACAATTCTTTATCTTTATGTCAGACATTGTACATTACGATATCACTGTAGATAACATACATATAACCTATTTATGCAAATCATATGTATAATATTAAAAATTATAAATGCAGTATGCAATATCATGACGATATTGTGAGATAAAATAAATTTGTTGAATTCTGGGGGTTTTTTTTATAAATTTGTTGAATATGTTGGGGTTTTTTTAATATAAATTTTAGTATGACGATATTGTGAGATAGAATCAATTTGTTGAATATGTTGTTTTTGTGGGGTTTTTTTTATAAATTTTAAGATTACGATATTGTGAGATAAAGTTGAAGTTGTTGAATATATTGTTTTTATTTATAAATTTTAGAATGATAAAAAGAACGATACCAACATACCAACAGAATTTGAATTGAAAGAATATTATCTAAAGAAATACTTTAAAAATGTCACTGAATCACTGAATTTGTTCCAAGATGATCCTTTGGTGCATAAACCAGGTAAGCTATAATAAAAACATTAGTATAGTTTTCATGAGTTTAGAAGATTCATTGAGCTGTTATTGTAATTTGTAGGTGATTCAGTTACTTGTCCTATTGCAAGATCTCTGCACATGTTCACAATAAATCAAGGTCAATGAGAGTTATACTTACCATGTTTATTTATTAATGCCATTTGGACTAAATCTTAAGAGAAACAAGTGTGGTATAACTATGTGGATCATTAACCGAGTCAAGTGTCGCCATCCTGGTATTGTGAGGTAACATAAAATATCGAAGCACATTTGTCCAAGAAACAAGCATGCTATGTTTCATGTCGATCATACTGGAATTAGCTGAGTCGTCGTCTTTTTTCGAAGAGCGCAACGCCCAAAATGAGTAGTGTCTGGGGCCCTGATCCTGGTAAAAAAAAACACCGACTAATAAGCAATAAGCAATAACAATAAGCAATAACATGAATTCACCAGGATATAATTATCTAATATATGCCTGGCATTTCATCCACTGTAATTGTTTTCAAGGTAGTAAATTCTTGTACACATCACATGGATGGACTGTAGTCAGCGCTGTCATTGAAGCAGTCACTAAAAAACAGTTCACAGATGTGATTAAAGATGTTTTTAAACAGTTTGGAATGGAGAAGACATATCTAGATGAAAATGAACCCCTAATTTATAATCGTTCCAGGTACACAAATCTTTAAATATTAAAAATGCAAATGTTTAATGCAGCTGTGCAAAATTTGTAGGTTCTGGGTTAAAATGTTATACTTTCAAGTTATGTATTTAATACAATGGCATGTAAATTGTCTGTCAAGCACTTTCACTTAGTTGATTTTTTTGTCCCATGCCGTCAATTCTACACCACTAACACAGGGAAACCAGGCTGGAATATTAGGAAAAAACCTACAACTCTTGGTCATTTATATACCACTTTTGTTTTACTTTCAGAAATTACATCAAAAATAAGAAGGGAAAGCTTGTAAATGCTCAATATGTTGATAATTCTTACAAATGGGCTGGTGGTGGTTTTCTCTCCACTGTTGGAGATCTTTTAAAATTTGCTCACATTATGTTGTACAGTCTTCAGACTAACCAATCAAACTCTAAAAAATCAGGCTATCTCAAAGCAGACACAATGAAAACAATATGGACGCTAGTTGATAATACAAAATTAAACTGGGATAAAGATGGTGGTTATGGGATGGGATGGGGTGTGGTTCCAGAAAAACAGGAATACGGTTGCGGTCGGCAACAAAGATTCTATGTCACACATACAGGTGGAGCTGTCGGAGCCAGTAGTGTTCTGGTTATTCTACCGCCAAGTGAAGATAACTCTAAAACATTTGATAGCTTACCTAAAGGTGTTTGTGTTACAATGATCACCAACATGATATCTGTATCACTCAATAAAACAGCTTTAGAAATTGCTAAAATATTTGAACAGTGTGATAATAAATGATGTTTATGTTAATTAGAAAATTTTTATATATGCAACAATCAAAACTTTAGTCTAAACACCAAAGATCCTGTCATAATTTTTATTTCATAAATCAATTTCTTTAACTGTAAAGAAATGTTCTTAAAAAATAATTATGTTTCAATTGTTGATTTTATGAATGATTTTTATTCTGTATAAAGATTTTACAGTAAAATTAATTTGTTGAATGTAGTGATGTAATCTGTATTAATTTGCATGTAAACCCCTACATATACCCTTATGACACCCCTGCAGTGTACACTAGGCCTATCATATGGATGATAAACCTTGATAAGAGTACTTTATCAGAGATAACATGTAAATAAAAGAAATGTTCATGCTCTTGAATTTGAATGAAAATGTGAAAAGAATAATATATTTAAAAAGTAAATGGTGTAGTTAGAGTTAGGACTACCTATAACTTTTCACTAAAGTCCTTAAAACAAAGTGGGGTTATTTTTTTTTGGGGGGGGGGGGGCTTTCATACCTACAAACGAACACCAGCGGCTCCGGACGGTGTTGGGGGGGGGGGGGGTGCAAAACGTTTGGCTATATCCAAAAACACTAAACTGGCTGGGGGATGTGCTACACACCTGAAACAATGTTCTGAACCCATTGCAGGTCTGAAAGCTCCCTCTGCCAGGCCTGTCGAACAATAGATCTTGACTTCCGACTGTACAAAAATTAAAGGGCTATAAAAGTAGTGTGACTATACGGCAAAAAGATTTCACTTTATCCGTGTATAAGGAGTAAGTCGAGAAAAAGGAATGAACGGGAATCTAAACACCTGGGAAAGGAGAACGATTTGCAGAAAGCATGTCAGACTAAACGCAATCCCCAAATAAACAACCCCGTGCTTCCCATCTAGCTGCAATATTTGTAGCCGAGATAATTCTTATTCACGGCTACAATTGATACACTATTCGAGGCTTTGAGCAAGTAAAATTAGATTCAGTTACAAAATTTTCAACACATCATCAGTTTCCACGTAAATAAGTAATTATGTTACAAATAGTGAAGAGTGGAACACTGAAATCTTAATCTTATACCGAACAGTTTTTCTGTATTTTCGGGTGACATAAAATCACGCGAATCTGGTTTTAAATTGAACAGAAATTTCGCATAGCAGTTGGGTTTAATCAAATCAAATAATTATGCGGTAAAGTTTCACCCTTATTTCAATGGGAATTGGTTTATATGTTAGTTTGGGGTCAATGTAATTGGAAATTATGGGAGTTACAGGCCAGTAACTTTTTTGTAGTCAAATGACTACAAAACTTTCGCAAATGAAGGCCTTATAGGACCGTCCACTACTGTGGCTTGAGCAAGACGGAAGACATCAGTAATGGAACCATTTCTAGTTCCCAGTGAGCTTCGTCAAGTTGTGGTCATGAAGGAACTGTCAAGGAGAGACCGCGAGCGACGAATAGCTCCGTATGATTCTAGTACCACGGTTAAAAAGAAATAGACAGAAATACTCACTGTGAGACATGTATGATAGGTTTAAATCTATTGATGATACCAGAACACTTGTTCTGTTTGAACGCCAGTGTCGTACTAGCGTGGTTACCGCTGAATTTGCATGAACCAGATCCCATGGGAGCACAAATCCCAATATTTGTTAACGTTACGGAGGGTTGCCTTGTGTAATACATGCATGATTCAATTTGTAGCGTGCGTGAGTCTTTTTAGAGGAAGCGCAAATATTCTTGACCCATGACACAAAGTGACCCACTGCGCCCCATCCCTTTAGACCCTGTGCGGTTGGGTGGAACAATTTGTCCTGTAATGGCGTCGCCCGTGCCCCTGCTTGCCAGGAAGCCACCGAGGTGGGCTATAATTATAAGATTTTGAAAATTGTTGACCCACAAGGAATGTATTTTACCAAGTGCCTGAAAACCTATATGCAAAGCAAGCTGACCGAATATCCATGTCACAAATATCTGCTGATTGGCATGTGATATTTCTGAATTTCTTTTATATTTTTAATAATTGAAAAAGAAAAAAAAAATGATTTGCAACACGACCTACACATAGACAGATGTCCACATGTCTGTTATCTACACATTACCACCAATATCTGCTGTGGCATGTGATATTTCATGAATTTTATTTATATTTAGTTTTAAAAAAATGATTTCCTAAACAGCCTATACATACACTACTGTCCGAATGTCCGTTATCTGCTATATCACCAATTTCTCGTGATTGGCATGTGATATGATTGTCTTATCAATTATTGTATATATAAATATCAGTACGTTATCCTGTTTTATTTCACAACAACCAAGATCATTAAGGTGAGTGGACAGGTTCATATTGATTATTATAATATGCCCAGTTGAAGTATTCTGAAAAGGAATGCGAAATCAAGGAACCATAAAGGCTACGCTACAGTAAGACGAAACGTATTAATGTGATCATGGGCTACAATAAAAACGGGTAATAGATCTAACACGGCGTTGACCCACTATTGATTTTATAACTACAGGATATGACGGAGGCTGTGCATGAGACAAGGTATGCTTACCTTTTTGGAACATCTGAATCTGATACCATCTTTCAGAATCCCAGCCTGCGGCTTATATATTTGTATTCAACTTGACATTGGTATATAATTTTGGAACTTTGTGCATAGGTTTTCCATAAGATAATATCCTTGAATAGGGCTTAGCCTAATTTGCTCCCTACTTTGGATAATACTTTCTAAAACTCTTTTACTTAATTCTGTAAATCCAACCAGTCCATCTGTGATTTCTAAAGTGGTATATTGTTTTATCATCGAGTCTGTATTTCTTTAAAGAAATCTGGGTGGGGGTGATAATATATGACCCATAAAACCCTTTCCTGGAAAGGGGATCACGGTGGCTAAGTGGGTAAGGCGCTGGCTCGCTAGCCTGCATTGGCCGAGAAAGTTCATCCAGATTTTCCGGCGTGGTTTCCCCTTGTCAGTGATGCAGGACGGAGGGCCTGACAAGGACAGCTGTCTAGTCATTCGGATGAGACGAAAAACCGAGGTCCCGTGTACACATTGGCGTGCACGTAAAAGATCCCTTGACAGTTGGAATTCGATATAAGAGTAGGTCGTAGTGCCGCTGTCCGGGCAAAATTTCCCTCATAGCACACTGTATGGCGTATGCCCGTCTTCATTAGCCCAGTTCGGAGCAAAATAGTAGGACGTTAAACCCCATTTCATTTCATTTCATTTCCTTTCCTGGAAGAATTTAAAAAAAGTAACATTAATAAAATTTAATCAGGTTCGGCTGGGAACCACTGGGGGCCAGTATAATGCCCTTCAATGTTTTACTTCATGCAGCCTATTTTGAAAGGCTATAGATATATTTATATAAACACTGATATAGAACGTGATAATCTAAACAACTAGGTCATAATATACAGGTTATCTTATCATGGATACTACCAACTTAAACTGGACATAGATCTGTAAAAAAAAGAAAAAGGGTTTTTTTATGTTCGGCTTTACTGACAGCTTTTATCAGCTGTAGTCAAGCCAAGAACCGTCGTGGCCCTTAAACAGGTAACATGAAATTAAGCCACGTTAGGACATTGGATCCATAAATATATATTATATACATAAAGTAGGCTACTATCTCTGCTATGAGAAATATAATTCACCTTTTAGCGAGTCTAATTCTGTTTAGATTTTGGGTTTCGCAATTTTGGCTGTTTGTCCTTGATTAGAACTTACGATTTATTACGTAGAATAATTATTTTCACCCCGCTTAACGAACTTAATACGCCCATGAACAGTCATCTGGTGCGTATGGCGCTGGCTATCTAACTAAGGGTCCAAGGTTCGATCGTGGTGTAGGCCAAGAAAGTATATATGGGGGGAAAGTTACACAATAAAAGTTAATTAAATACATACACAAATGTACGATTTAAATGCCGCTCTCTATTTAGTATACTCTTCTAGATTTCCTATATCATAAACACCATTCTTTTTATTTTTTTTAGACATCAGAATCGCTCACATTCTATTATCAAAATCTACAAATAAATGTAAAAATGAAATTATATGCGTAAATCTTTTCTTTGCAGATGTTGCGATTTTTGGCCGCCCTCGCTATTTTGTCTGTGGCATCCGCCCTGACACAGGTTTTATTGGATGAAGAATGGGAGTCATTCAAAACATCCTATGGTAAAGTTTACGCTGGAAAGGAAGACTTATACAGGTACGACGAAATTGAGTAGCCCTCCATTAATTACTGCATATTGCTGAAGCAATGGATACGAGCAATATCAACTTATTAACCATTGCTATGCTGAATATATTCAACTGTTATTTCAGATTAACTCTCTTCCCGATTCCGTTTCCAACGTCGTCTTGGGGGTATAGAATCTGGTTGATAATACTCGTTACCATTGCTTCGGGAATATGTATTTGTCAAAGCCAATACATTGTTCAACGCAAATGTCTGCTCGTCGGAATCCATCCGAGGTCATGTCAGAATTTCTTATATTTTCTGCACGGAGAGCCACATGTATACCATTGTTAAGAATTTTGATGTTTTGCTCATCACAATTCATAAAAACATTATACCTATATCTGTTTTTATTATGTATAAAATTTATAATTGAATATTTCAGACGAAAAATCTGGAATGACAACCTAGCTTACATCCAAAAACACAACTTGGAAGCCGATAGAAATCTTCACTCTTTCCGTGTTGGTATGAACGAATATGGTGACATGGTATGTATAATACAATATTGTTAATAATATGTATAATTTTGATAGTATTAATAACCTTTTAAAAATGTGATGAAATATATGGTTTCGTTTACCCTGTTAATTACTGTCTTATAAAATGATCTTGGAAAACTATTGCAATTTTGAACTTTATCTACTTCTTAATATTTTTTTTTATGCAGAAATATTTAGAATTGCATTATTTACATAATCATATATTATGTAGGCTATACAATGCGTTTCAAGAATGGTTATTTGTGTCAGCTTATGTATATGTTTTATAGTTTATGTTTTGTTATTTTAGACAAATGAAGAATTTGTTAAAACTATGAATGGTTACAGACAGAGAGAAAAAGAAGATATGACAGGTAGAACCGTCTTTATGGCACCATCAAACATTGGAGCTCTCCCCACAACTGTTGACTGGAGAAAAGAAGGATACGTCACTGAAGTTAAAAATCAGGTAAAAGAAATCCCCGAACTTTAATATAGAAAGTATAGACCCCCCCCCCCCCCCAACAAAATAACAGTCCTAATAATGGTATGTACCCTTTAAGAACGAATTATGTCATTTTTTAGACACCTAGTCTTGTAAGTAAGAGTACCCTTGGTTGCGTATGCTTCTTAGACTTTATATTTAACTTTTTTTATTCTGGTATTTTGTGACTTAAAGTAATATCGGGTCGTTACGATTTTACGATTGTTTTCTTTGCTTTCAGGGACAATGCGGATCATGCTGGGCTTTCTCTACAACTGGATCTCTAGAAGGTCAAACTTTCAAGAAAACCGGAAAATTGACCTCCCTCTCTGAACAGAATTTAGTTGATTGTTCAAGAAAACAAGGTAGGTGCATGTGTCACTGTCGGTATAGTGCAGACATATAGTGTGTATTGGGAGTAGGGGTGGAGTCCTAGAGGTGATTCGTAAAACAAAATCAGGGTTGCCAATGCCCTGTGTGGGATCGTGAAATTGGTGAAATAAATTTGAATATCGATTTCCAAGAAAAATGTGGATATTGATTAAAAGTTACAGCTCGGAAAAACTTATTTTAAGAAAATATTGAAAAGATATTAAACTGTTGTAATAGTTTGGTAATTTTTTTTTAAGGAAACATGGGCTGTGGTGGTGGTTTGATGGATCAAGGTTTCACATACATCAAGGTTAACGGTGGTATTGATACTGAAGTGTCTTACCCATACACCGCTAAAGACGGTACCTGTCATTTTAACCGTGCCAATATTGCCGCTAATGATACTGGTTTTGTTGATATTCCAACTGGCAGTGAAAGTGATTTGATGACCGCCGTCGCTACTGTTGGACCAATCTCAGTAGCCATCGATGCCAGTCACACCTCATTCCAACTCTACAAGACCGGTGTTTATCATGATTTCTTCTGTAGTTCTAAGAGATTAGATCATGGTGTATTGGCTGTTGGTTATGGAACTGATGGTGGAAAAGATTATTGGTTGGTCAAGAACAGGTGAGTCGGCTAAGCTAAATACTTATTCAATAACGCAAAACACAGCCCACTGTATTCAATCCCTTTCAGTGATATGGGGTTTAACGTCCCGCTGTTCTGCACCGGTTGGGCTAATGAAGACGGGCATACGCCCTGCGCCATTGACAAGGGAAAACCACGTCGGAAAATGCGGCTGCTTAGGTGATAGTACACCTGACCAGCTGCTTAGTAATCTTTCGTATCATCAGTGGTCCCGTTCTTCCCCACTTTGTGGAACGGAATGACACCGAGGATACCGAGGATGCTACTTAGTCAGCGCTGGACCTTCAGAACCACCTTGTCTCTCTACGAATTTAAGCCTCTGTGAAAATTTTGCAGATTTTGCCACACTGTTCTCTAAAAATTGCTTTTATTCTATTTTATCCGCGGAAAAAGGTGTTCCGTTTAACTATGAACACATCTGCATTGCAAGATTTTTAGAAATGTATATTTTCGTTTTTAGTTTGTATTTACGAGCGGGAATATTGTATCGGGTGATCTGTCTCTTTCTTTTTTTTTTTTTTTTGAACATTAGAATGACTTGTACTGACAATAATAATAGAAGAATATAACTGTGTATTTTTATATTATACGTACTTTTATATTGTTTCTTTTTTATTTCAGTTGGGGCGCAACCTGGGGTACTCAAGGATATATTATGATGTCCAGAAACAGGAAAAACAATTGTGGTATTGCTACATCGGCCAGCTATCCTACAGTATAAATATATAAATATATAGATACTATCTACATGTAGATACACACCTATATGTTTGTATTATATAACTGTAAATAAAAAATAAAAACACATTTATTTTCCATTATTATAACTGGTACAAAAGAAGTATTTGAGATGAATCTGATGTGATGGTTGGACTTGGTACAGGGTTTGGCTCGGGTCACTACATTTTTAAATCACAAAATTACCTGTATAACCCTAATTTCTTTGTGGGTAAAATGACATTGGTACAGCTGTATCAATCCCACCCAAGTCTGAACCGAAAGACAGGTGTAGGTACATCTTCAATCCGAAAATGTGCAAATTCAACATGGTTATGCATGACATGCAATGAAGAAATCCACTAAGTTTATAAAAATATTATATAAGAACACTCGATAGAGCTTATCTTTATGATCAAATGAACAGTCCCTGTGAACTGAAATCTGACGAAAGCAGTTGACAATTAATAGGCTATACATCCTTATTAAATCTCTATGTTTAAAAACTGTTGATAATCAAATAGTTTCTTCGTCTCCGAAACGTTAATAATGTATACAAATTTCAGAAAGATCCTATGTTCGTTCGTTCATTCGTGGTGGTGGTGGTGGTCTTAATCTATACTGTTGAGATTGGAGCTCCCCCACCGGAACAAAAATTATAATGGGGAAGGTGACCTTCAGCGTAATTGGCCTATATGGGGTCCAGAACACTATTTGCAAATTATTGTGTAGGGGTGTCCAAGAATAATGATAATATACCAGGCAGCTAAAGACGCCTGAGAAGTCCATAGTACGGTTATATTCTTTTGTGTTCCGGTGCACGTACAAAACACTATAAACTGGTCAGTTATCTGTCTTAATCCCATGAACAGAAGACGATAACTTTAACCTATAGAGCATCCACAAAATTGTTCCAAGTGATCCTTGGCAAAAACTCTGACAGAATTAACAGAAATCACCAGGCTTCTTCATCTTATGAAGATAACTATGTATGATAGTCAATCAGATAATAACCCCTACATCATGCACAAGTATGGTGGACAACAATATTCCACCGAAATACAAAACTCATAGATTAACTTACAATATATTTATTCTCAATGATACCAACACCTTTTGATGACAATGATAAACAATAATATGAAAACAATGTGATATAAAATACAATGAATGAAAGATGAGGAAGCACACAAAGATAATATTATATGACTCCACCCTAATTATTATAACTTATCATAAAGCGGAGCAGCAACTTACTACAAAATCTAATTTTTAACTTTCATATTTGAACTATGTATACACAGAAGTATTTGGAACATCTTTTGACAGAACAAAGTATTAATCAGTATGTACTTCTAAAGCCTACAATCAATAGTTAAAAATCTAATTGGTTTTAACACTAAAACTGAGTTAAATGATCCAAAAAAAATGTGTACAGCAGATTAATATTATAAAAAACAAAATTTTGCTTTCTAGTGACTAGCACACCAATTGGTTACTATGGTTTTGATAAAATTAACATTTTATCTGGTGGGTGTTAGTAGAATTATATAATGCCAAATGGTCATAAATATGAACATTCAAACATAAATGCTTTAGGTTTACAAAAACTTAGACTAGAGTGATAGACACTGCAGAAAATAACGTCCACTGATAAAATGTTTTAACTGAGACAAAGATAAAACAAAATTGGAAATCTATCGATGGTGGTTAGCTGTCCAAGATTTCTCTCGTGAGACAAAGAGAATCAAATTAATAGAGGTATAATTACCATAAAGTGCAAATATATCCATAAAGAAGCTTGTATAAAATACATATAATGAGACAAACTAATTAAGTGTATCAAACTACATGTATATACATGTATACTTCTGGAATATTTCTAACATAAACCATTTAAACAATTTCTTAATACCTGGAGGAATCCGTAAATTTATTTTGAATCTATAGTTTCTTATACAGGCAATGTTACACATTAATGTTTTAAATCTAGTAATGAAATACAATGGAATGTTATTTTCACAAACTTTAATCCCTACAGAATTATAACACACATTTTGAGTGGTTTGAATTCACTTAAATCTATTTAACTGTAAAATGGTTAAATATTGTACTTATGAGGCTGCAAGCAGTTAGAAGTCTCTAAAAGTAAAACAGACCTGAACTATTTTAATCTGAGATCAAAGCTTCAGATAATTATTACGAAACACGATGAAATAACCTCCATTTAGTTAACACAGAAGACATTATAGATTAACAGCAGAATTCAATTATAATATATATATATTTATGTATTCTAAAAAATATCTAAGTCTAACAATACCCATATAGTACAAATTACTATTGTGATAACTTTTAAGTTTTATACACTATTTCAACAACCGAATAAAATTTCTAGAGTAACAGTTCTATGCCATAAAGTGTGTGTATATATATCTAATATATCTCTAATAATATATATAATAATAAACAACAGGCACCAATTACATGTTATTATTACACAGAGTTCTTTTAATAAAGGCACCAAAATTCTTCAAAACAACCTTTTCATTATTCCATGCATGCATGATTTATAATGAATTTAAAATACATCCACAATTACAATTTGTATATTCACAAGAAAGTTTACATTATTCATCAAAGGAAGACAATTAAGATTAGCATTACCAGGAAAAAAAGGTTGAGTCATAAAGAAAAATAATTTTTGGAAGTACAGCTTAATTTAAAAAGTTTTGTAATGGAATGATCAAATAAGTTTTTGTAGAATAAACTCTTGTATACAGTGTAAATCACCACATAAACATATATAGTATTTATCAACAATACATTTTGAACAATACTATCTAATAAGAATCAATACGCTAAATAATTCTTAAAATGCTTTCTTTGTATATAAAAATGAACTTCAAAAATTTTCGGCTATGGAATTGTTCAAATCTAAAAGCAATAGACAAATATATACAGTTATGGACTGTTTAACAAATTTAAATTACAATTCTTTTTCTAATAAATCCTAAACCACAAAATTTAAAAAAATGATTCTGACTGATAAAACTGCCAAATGTATGACACAATAAATATAACTGCATTGATATATAAGTGAAAGTTTAAGTCATTTTAAGTTATTTTAAGCTAAAATTACAGAAATAAGCAAAATTGGTCATCAAATGCCAAAAGGGAGGACAAACTATATATAGAGGTTGACTAATTTTGATTACTATATAGTAGTATCTGAAACTACAGCAAGTTTTGATTTTCCTAATCCATCCCTTCACAAAGCAAAGCAGTAATATACACAGATCTCCCTAATAATAAGACAATTTTGGCAAAAGAAATGTTAACCTTGAGAAATCCAATCTATTATTCCAATATATGTGTGTTTATATGTATATTAAATAAGGGTAATATGTCAAAATATACATTGTACAAGGTTTACATGCATGTAATGTAATTTGAAAATAACAAACATTTTTAAAATGTCCTAAAAGCAATCATAAATTTGGTTTCAAATTCGTATTAAAAAAAGTCCAGAAAAACTGAATGATTTATGCTTCTACATGTCAACAAAAAAATTCTATATCAAAAAATTTGACCCTGTATAATAGATCATTAAAACATGCAATTTATGGCAATTAATTTTATAAATACATTTACTTTGGTAGATGCAGAAAAACTTTGGACCAGGAACTGAGTCCCAAGTTCCACCAATTCTAGTACAATCAACAGGAAACTTGTTTTTTGGATGAATGACGGAATTCAAGTTTGGATATGACGCTACAATTCCAAAATGCCATACTCAATTCCTGATCCATAGAATACTCATACTTGTTTTTCACCAAGATGCTTCTCGTTGCTATGATTGTAAAGCTCAACAGCGACAAAAATCTTATTTTATTTGAGTGGATATCATACTCAATTCAATCAATATTTTATATAAAATACTGTAATAAATATATCATGATAAGATTAATATTACTTCAACACTTTCCCATGTGGTGAAGTTGACAAATGGTTTGCCATGGTGACAATTACTAGTCCTCTTATTTACCAAAACATCAAATGACTCAAATAATGGTTTCATGGATTTTTAAATGACTACTGTAAAAAAAAAAAAGAAAACTGGGGTACGACCTCTTATTTCAAATTTCAAGTGTTCAGTTTTCTCTGTACATGTCAGCGTGTACAAGCGGCCATGAATTTTTTGTCCAATCCGAATGACTAGACACTCTTCCTTGCCAGACCCTTCTTTCTGCACCACTGACAAGGGGAAACCAGACTGGAAAATATGGGGGATCTTTCTTGTCAAACACTGGGATCAATCCAGGTTAGCGAGCCAGCGTTTTACTCACTCAGCCACCGATGCTCCCAATGATTAAATAACTGGGTGATCAATATAGTTGATATCATAACAATGGTGTAATTATCTCATATCTAAACTGGTGGATTACTTTGTAGAGAGAACCTATCCAGTCGTAATTTTAGAAAAGGAAATGCACATGTTCATATTAATTTAAACACGTTTACATCAACCAAGTTCAGATTACCTTCATTTCACAACACATTAATTTCTTGTTTTCCTGACTTTATATACACCATTATTACAGAGATCTGATGTTTTGTTAAAGTGTAAATATAAATGAGTATGGAATATTTACACAAGAAAAACTGACAGAATGTTGAATAGATGATAATTAAAATAAACATGACCTAGTAGAATTTTTTGGCTTGAGCTTCTTTGTTTTGCCTGAAAAATAAAGAGAACAAAAGATGTACATTTGTAATTGTAAAACACCTTTTATCTAATATGTAAAATAGAGCTGGTAATTAAAATGTACGACTGAGAAATCTATCATCAGTTGTTTTTGTATGCTAGGTAATTCAAATAACTTTAATTACAAATTAGAAATTTTCTCCTTTTCCCGTTAATAACTTTAGGTACTTAATTACACTATTTAGAAAGTTGTATCTTACATAAGTAAGATCCTATTCCACCTTCCCAAATAATCAACCGTAGATTACACTTACAGAAGTCTAACATCTGGTCAAACCTCTGTTCACACTGAGAGTAACATATACACTTACAGAAGTCTAACATCTCGTCAATACTCTGTTCACACTGAGACTAACAGATTATTATATTTATTATGGAGCAATAGGAAACGAAATGGGGTTTAACATCCTACTGTTCTGCTCCGAACTGGGCTAATGAAGACAGGCATACGGCAAACAGTGTGCTATGAGGGAAATTTTGCCCGGACAGCGGCACTACGGCCTACTCTTATATCGAATTCCAACTGTCAAGGGATCTTTTACGTGCACGCCAATGTGTACACGGGACCTTGGTTTTTCGTACCATCCGAATGACTAGACAGCTGTCCTTGTCAGGCCCTCCGTCTTGCATCACTGACAAGGGGGAACCACGCCGGAAGGAGCAATAGGAGTGAGAAGATAAAATGATACATTTCACATATCATTCTGCTACCCCCTAAGCTCCCCGACAAAAATCTGGACCAAACAATAAGATGCTCTCTGGTCCAGGCGAGTGACCATAATACTTTGTAAAAACTGGATTAAACTAAGAGAAGAGATTTTGCTTACCTATACACCATATAACCTATGATAAATATTAACTGAGCACCTATTGCTATAAAGAATATAACTGGAGATAAACAGTTTATATTTGGACACATTGGAGGAGGACAACCAGCAGCACCAACCTAAAATAAAATATGGATTTGAATTTATATCTTTTTATTTATTGACTACTGATCTGTTTCCATGTAAACAGAAAAATGATGAAATCCAGAAAAATTTCTAATTACCAAAAGGTGGAATTAGATAAAATGAGGTTTAGTGTTCTACTGTTCTGCACCGACAAGGAGATGGGCATATGGTCTGCTCTGATTTCATATTCCAGCTGTTAAGGTTTTACGTGCACGAACCACACCGAAACACAACCACGATGAACTTTCTCTGCCAATGCCAGAATTGAACATGGGACTGAGTCACCTTGGCTACCTAGCGAAAGGCATAAGCGCTATAAACCAGCGGCTGCCAGGCAAGATACGTCCACATTTTGCAATGATGGATAGAGAACAAGCTAAACAGTTACGATCCGATATGTGTCAATACTGACAGAAACCAAGATCTTTAGGATATAAAAAAATATTTCAAGTTTCATGAAAAACAGATCAAAATTGTGACTTCTAGGGGGCCCACAACCTTGATATACCATATATTTACACTATTTGCGTATGAGGGGCGGCCATGTTTTCAGGCAGTTTTGGTCCGATTTTCATGAAATTCGCCCTCAACCATCATTACGGTGTAACGATGATATGTTCAAACGGTTTTTCAAATCGGATAAAAATTGTTACCACAAGCTAAAAACTCATGAATATGAAAAGGAACTAAGATCTTTGGGTTATAAACATGTATTTCAAGTTTTATCAAAATCAGATGAAAATTGTATCATCTAGAGGGTTCAACACCTTAATATACCATATATTAACACTATTTGCGTACGAGGGGCGGCCATTCTGTCCGGCAGTTTTCGTCCAATTTTCATGAAATTCGAACTCAGCCATCAATAGGGTTTAACTGTGATATATTCAAATTAAATCAGATAAAAATTGTTACCTCTAGAGGGACCACAAAGTTAAAAAGGTGACTTTTCGAACAATCAAGGGCCATAATTCAGGAAGTTACGAATTTATATGTGCGAATATCAAAAGGAACCATGGGTTATAAACATGTATTTCAAGTTTCATCAAAATCATGACCTCTAGAGGGTCCACAACCTTGATATACCATATTTTTTACACTATTTGCGTACGAGGGGTCGGCCATTTTGTCCCACAATTTTAGTCTGATCACCACGAAAATCTAACTCAAGTAGCTGTGTAACGGTGATATATTTGAACGATTATAATTGTGACCTCTAGAAGGATCACAAGCTAAAAACGTGATTTTTTGTAAAATCTAGGACCATAATTCAGGAAGTTACGATAAGATATGCAATTATCGAAAGGAACCATGATCTTTGAGTTATAAACATGCATTTCAAGTTTCATCAAAATCAGATAAAAATTGTGACCTCTAGAGTGTCCACAAGCTAAAAACATGATTTTTCGTACAATAAGGGGCCATAATCCATGAAGTTATGGTGCGATATATGCCAATATCGAAAGGAACCGAGATCTTTAGGAGATAGACCTATATTTTAAGTTTCGTCAAAATCAAATAAAAATGGTGTCCTACAGAGTAGCCACAAACTAATTGCTGACGGACGGACGTCCTGATGGAAATGGGCGAGGGCAATATACGTCCACATGAAAATGTGGGCGTATAAAAATTGCTCTGGAAACAAACTGATAGAGATAGATGAACATGGTAAAATTTCAAAATCCCACCCTTAAAGAAATAATCATAACAGCACATTTAAAAATTAGTTGAAAAAAAAACTTATGCAGTAAAACAAAATTTCTATATATATGCTTACCTGTGGTCTAGATAATATTTGTGCCATATCTTGTCTAACACCCTGTAAACCATCTTTAAGTTCATGGAAAGCCATCTGATTACCCATAGCTTGTCCCCCACCCCCTCCACCACTACCACCCTGCATACCAGCTGCCTTTACTTGTATATCATTGATTATTTTTCTACAATAAATATATAGGAATTATTAATAATAAATATATACTATAGTCTACTTAACTCATATAATCAAAATTAAGATCAGGGATAAACTTCACATTTTCAAAATTTCAAATGTTGTCAGATGATCTTGACAGTCCTAACTGAATGAACATAAAGACATTTGCATAAATGGCTTTATTCTCTTAGTCTTTAGTTTTTTACTTCTATAGAAGAAGGAAAATCACAAAAATTTGATCAATATTTCCTCTATGCAGACTTGTTTAATCAAATCCAAGCTATTCAAAAGTTCTGGCTGGATATTCTGTGTATCTGACATGATTTTGATACAATTAATTTCAAACTCTAACTTGAAATCCATGTTTTCATTTTCATAGGCTTCATGAAAACCCCTAAATGGTATTCTCACAAAAATATATTAAAGACCATCAACAGATAAGCATGCATCCTAAAGCTTTAAATTTATAGAGAGAAAGAGAAATGGGATTTAACGTCCACTCGACACAAACTAGGTCATTTCGGGATTAACATAGGAGGAAACCGGAGGACCTGAAGAAAACCCACGAGGTTGGACAGGCGACCCTACTCCTTGTCACGTACAACCAGGGATTTGAAACCACGCCAGTTGACTCAATGACAGGCCTTATGATACAGCGCGCACGTGCTAATCATTCGGCCATCCAACCCTCCTTAAATTTATAGTAAATTTAAGTAATATAATATAACCTCTCTACCTTAGAGATTAAATACTATGAAAGTATTACAGGGTACAATGGCTTGATTTGTTAGGATATAAGAGTGAGCTTTCGTCATACAAATTCAAACAATTATATCATTAAGTAATTTTAAGGGCTGAAATTTGCACAGTAGTAGTTTTAAAAATATTCAATTGATTTTTACATGTATTATAACGGCTTACCTCATATCTCTAATCTGATTAATAACATCATTCTGATTATTGAGTACTTGATTCACTTCATGTCTTTGAATAGTGTCGATCATTAATGGTTGTTGGGCTTGACCCTAAAAATCAATGTAGCATATGATAATTCAAATAATACATTTTATAATAATAACATTGATGGTAGGTAGGGGTGTTTGTCAGACTTAATATATGCAATGTGTACATGTGGACCTTGTTTTTTGTACCTTCCCAACAACTAGACACAGCCTCTTTGTCACAAAGCCATGATGGCTCAGTGAGTAAGGCACTCACTCACTATCTGGGCAGAATTTTTCTCATAGAACACTGCATGCCATGCTCGTCTTCATTAGCACGGTTGTTACAGAAAAGTAGGACGATTCGGCTTCAAAATCACAAAGATTCTGTTTTGTAACATGAAGGGAATGCTCGATTGTCAGTCCGGATTGTTCTGTATTGATATTATTGCAATCCAGAACGTTCAATCAAGTATCCCCTAAATTACATTTACAGCTGCAAAAGTGAGAAATGGGAAATAACTTTGAATAATAAGGTTTTCAATCTTTTGTTTAAACTACATTATTTAAAGTTTTATGTTAAGACAGGTTGCCAGGAAATGGAACATACGCCCACAGTAGTTAAGTCATGTGAGAAGTCTGTAATGGTTGTTACATTTCAATGTGGGTGTATAAAAACACAGACTTACCTGTTGTCCACCTTGAACTTGTACTGGTTGACCTGCACTGACTCGAGATAAAACCAATTCTTGTCTACCTATTAATTCATCTAATTTACGATTTAAATCTTTTAATGTACCATGGATATTACTCTGTCCATCAAATATCATTTTTAATTCTCTTTCATTCTGACTCTCAAACTGAAAAAAAAAATATGAAAAATATAAAGCATTTTTGTTGCTATATTTAAAAGTATTAAAAGGAAAAGAATACCAAAAATAGAGAAAAATAAAGCCATATTGTTAGGAAGAAGAAAATACCTCTTAGGAATTGAAAGCAGGGTAAAATGTGGGAGGGGGTGATCATGGAAGAACCCTTGACATTACGGATTTAAGATCCTAGTGATCTTAAAAAGACAAAGAAATAGAAAATCTCTCTTTTTTTTTTATCAAGTTTTGTCTATTTTATATTAATTTCAAAGAGTGGAGTGTTAGTAATATTAAAATCCATATTAATAGTACACAATATATAATATCAGAAGCATTAATGTATTGTCATATGAGAATTAAAATACTGATGATACAAGCTATACAGATTTCAAGAAATAAATACACTCATTTGTCTACTTCTACATCTAGGTTAGCACATACAAATTCATAAAAACAAATGGTGTTATTGAGTCATTTGGAAATACATAGCCCATGGAAAATAATAATGCTAAGATTATTTGGATATTGGGGTAAAAGCTGAATTATTAAATAAAATCATCCTAAAATCATCGCTAAATAAGATATCTAAAACTGGTACCGTGATCAATATTAATGTGATTTATAGCAGTAAAACATATAAATTACAGTATTATTACAACATGTAAACTGTTTCTATCTTATACACCCTACAGAACAATTACTTACATAATCCTCCTATATTGGCCATAGATTTTGGATGAAAAAAATTCAGAAGAAAATGATAAATTAATATAGGAACTTTAATGACATACTATCAATAATACTATCAAAATCATCAAATATTTAAGCGTTCATCTTCTATTTTCTGTTCTTATCCTTTTTTTTTTAACTTTGATGAATATAAATTCATAATAATAATGAAAAGCAAATTAAATCTAAACTTACATATTTATCATCATCATATTCATCTTGTCGAACTTTATCTGGATGTTGTTTCTGAAAACTAATCACAAAAAAAAACCTTGTATAGCAATGATAGGGCGAGTCTAATTAAAAATAGGTCTTTATTTTTTTTTTTTTTTTTTACAGTGGTAAATATATATATTGTTAGTTTACATTAAAATGAAGATTCAATAGGTTTCTTGGGAAGTCTTACCCAAGATAAAACATCTTTCCATTAGCAATGATAGGGCGAGTCTAATTAAACATAGGTCTTTATTTTTTTTTTTTACAGTGGTAAATATATATATTGTTAGTTTACATTAAAATGAAGATTCGATAGGTTTCTTGGGATGTCTTACCCAAGATAAAACATCTTTCCATTGGCATCTGACCTTCAGTATACAGCAGCATGCCCAACATGGTAAGTGCCACTGAAATTGTGTTTGCTGGCCAAGAAATCCAGTAATAGTTGTGTAAGTAATGCTGTGATTTTTCCATTGAACACAAACACCTTACGATTTTGTGAGACTACAGTGATATTCTAACATAACTAGGAAATATAACTCACTCTTGTTTAGCTTTTTCCAATTCTTTATAATAATCATCAAATTCTTTTTCAAACTTAACACGCTCATCATCTGGTACACCCTAAAATATAATACATCAAATATCACACTAATTAAAGCAAGACAGTAACAGACAAGGGAGTTTGACATCCAATTACAAGAGAGTTTGACATCCAATTAACACGGACTAGATTATTTAAGAATTAATATATTGTACATATCTATTTAAAAAATTCATTTCCTCCATGTTGAGGTCTTTAGAAGGAGGAAATCAGAGTACACAGAGAAAACCTGTGACACTTGCAACACCAGAGGTAATTTAAGGTAGGCCCTCCAACTCCCATGTCTATTGGAGCACACAATGCAATGAAAGCAACTGCTTAGAGTTTGGCCACCCAATGTGCAGTGAATATCTTACAATACCTCATTCTATCAAATATCAAAAACTATAAGACAAAAAGTCTTTGAGAATCCTACCTGACCAACGACACCCTGGGTTGGGACTTGTAGAGAATGGGTTAAAAACGACAAAACATCATGATCATCTGGAATACAATAACATGATTTATGAAATCTTCCATTATCTCAGAACAAAGAAAATATATAACAACAGTAGATTCCATACTATAATGATAAAATCTGAGCATATCATGTCAGTTCAAACCAAATGGAAATTTCTATTTAAAATCTGAAAGTCCAATAGAATATGATATTTTACGGATTATTTTATTGAATAGGGACATTTATAGATGACATACACTGCTCGATCCAAATATACACATCTCAAAATAGGACTTGACAAGGACTTGATAATAAGTGTTAAATGATATCATAGGGAGTTTACAGTGTTTAGACCATCAAAATAACTTACCAGCAAGACCACCAGTAGCAGCACTCACTCCAAAATGTCCCATTGCTGGTAAAGTAACGTCTATTGCTCTTAAACACAGTTCATATTCATTTGGGTTTTGTGTCATACCATTATTAAAATAAACCTAAGAAATACATAAATTAATACACTATGGAGTTTGTGAATTGAACATTAAACAAATTACCATTGAAGGAGGTATTATTACTATCACCAACAGCCTTGGATACCAAGTAAAAACTATTCAAAAATTGGGATGATTCAGAAGTTCAAAGTTATGGCCAATATCTTTAACATTAATGCAAAAGAAAAATGAGATGACATTTCATCAATATGATTATTTATAGCTATATCATTAATATCAATGTTTAATCAAAGAATCCAAATGAAATAAATCTAAAAATTCAGTAAAACTTACAGTCAATGCCTTTTGATAATATTCAACTTTTACTCGGATTGGATATGGTTTATTTCTAAAATCTCGTAAACATCCACCAACTTGTTGACTAAATCCATCACTGTCAAAATAAAATGAAATAAATGGTTTGTTGTTACTGTTAGATTAGGCCCCATAGTACTTCAATAAAAACATTGTATATTATGTAGTTATACTGTTGACAGATAATGCTATCTGATTTTAATCAAACTGACTAAAAAGTAAAACAGAGTGAACCCAGGAAATGAGTCCAATTCTAACTTTATTCTAACTGACCCAAGAACAAATGCAAGAACAGCTTTTCGGTTATTAGTAGTTGTAGTTGCATCAATTATCCCCAATAGAAATAATGTGCAGAAATCAAAAGATAATAAAAACTGTAACTTACTTTTGATGATCAAACATTTTAGTACCATCATTTACAACCGCCATAACATACGGGTTGTTTTGCTAAAGTAAATATAGATACATTTGTACATTAATAACAATAGAATAAACCAATGTTTTAAAAATGCCCCCTTGTGTCTTATCATACCAGACCCAGAACTGTACAGTGTACAACACAATGGCTGAGTGACCCTATACTTTCTTGATGGATAGTATATAGTACTACTATTATTTACAATATTCTGGGATGTTCCTTGTGATGTTGTCAGTGGTTTTGTCCTCTGGGTATCTATTTGGTGGTTCATGTGTGATGCAGTTCTCTTATATTTACTTCAAATATGCAAACATGCAATAGTAAGGGTTTTAAGTCAGGGGGCATCATGTAACTTATTTAGCTACATTTTAAAGTCATAAATTATTAAACCACTATTCATTTCAACATGGGTAATTAAGATGTCTGTGTGTAATCAATTTTAGTAAAGACTGATTGTATTAAATTTACAAAACATAAAATAAAAAACATATTTATGGATTAATGCATAAATAATGACTGTAAAATCTGTTGATAATATGTGTTTATTAGATACGGAGAGAAAACCTAATAATTTATATAGAAAACAATAATATATACCTGTTGATCATTATCAAAAGAATCAAGGAAGACACCAAGACCATTCCATTTATCATTACTACCAAAAACAGGTCCCTCTATACCTGGTTGTGCTGTAAACCATATAGCCTAAAAAAACAAACAACAAGAGTCAAACTATATATAATGTCATTATCAATTTCATACTAATGTAAATTTTGCTGTTTTGTACAAGCCAGTTCATTCTTCATGAAAGTTTACTTGGTGTGCTTTATACAACACACATTTTTCCCTTTTGAATTAAACTGGTAAGGTTTTTCTTTTTAAAAATATAATCAATAGAGGTTAATTACCATGCCATCAGCTCCAACTCTTCCTCTACCAGCTACTCTAATAGTCACTTCAATTTGCCAATTCTGAGCATTTAGTAAATTCTTAGTCCATATCCAACCTGATAAAAATTCAAAATATCAATTTAGTTTTTATTGAAGGAGCAGTCCAGTATTGAAATAGTTTCTACAACAAATAATTTCGCCCTTTATTAACAAGGTACCATAAAACGAAGGCTTGTCTTCATCAGGATAACTATAATCAGTCACTGTTTATAAAAGACACCTATATGCCTCTGATATAATAGTGTACTTTTCATATTCAGTAAACATGTGACTTTGGGTAAAATACACCACAAAAGTTATTGAATTGAAATAGGTGTAATAAAAGAAGAAACAGAACCGTTACTTAAAGATTTTTGGTATTTGAATGAATTGAAACTATCAGGAAATCATAGTACCAGTATATTATCGATGTATCATTTCCCTTACAGTTGGCTTGTGGATAAACTATGCTTATAAGCTAACTATACATGCTTAATAGCTCATATAATAATAAACTAACATTCAGCTGTTACAGCAATTATTGACAACACATCATAAAGTTCTCATCAAAATATATAGTATATTGATTAGTAAAACATAGACTAACCATCTACTTAACTTAAAAAGGATCTTTTCTTTAACACTGGTAGACCTAGTAGTTGTTCTCATATATATTACATTTTATCGAATTGCAACCTTTTAAAGTCAAAGTCCACATTGGCATTCTTTTAGACAATATTTAATTCTTGGATTCAATTGGACTAGAAGATGCCAAATGTGACAAATTTTAATATCGGTGGAAATACTGAGCAGAAATGAACTGTTTTTTGACTGATATTATTTTTAGTTAAGAGTTAACTTTCATATTAATGCAGTTTGCAAGAGGTTTAAAAATCCCTTTAATGATGGACAGAGACAATAAAATCTTTTCTGTTGAATGATGTTATTATTGAAAATGAATTGCTTCCTCTTCTCATGCCCTCCAGCATATTCTAATTAGTGTCTAGATGAAGGAATTTATTACAAACAAGTAGAATTGCTGTTACATAACAATGATATAATAAGCCTTTATTGAATGAGAGAAGAAATAGCAACTTATTTATTACTTATTTGTCACATCATTCATCAATATAGATTGACATGATATCTACTGTATTTATGATACTTCTTTAGGCAAAATATTAATCTGAACCCCTTCAGCACCATGTCAAAACCTTCCTCATTAATCAAAGATTTTTACACAATGAATTATTGTCCTGATACAGATGGATTTTAGATACAAACTGCTAACAGAATGTAACAGGTCGATTGAAGTAACATGTTTTTTTAAATAAAAGAATTCAGGAATGGCAATATTTGTATGTTTTGATTGACTGAAAGGGTCTTTAGCTGTGGTTGGAAAACTGATAATTAAGAGAAGTCTCACATTCATTAAGTTATATTTCTCTCTGAATTTCAAATTCAATTTAGATATTTCAGTGTTTCAGCATTGTAACTAGTAAAACAATTTTGGGGTTCGAGTTCAAATGACACTCAAAGTATTTGATATATGATCTAATTTGCATGAATAAGGTTTTCATCCATTTTGTCCATCAGCATTTTAAATACCGGTAATGACTTGTAATTTACATTAATTTTTCACTTACCCTTTTTACTACGTAGTGATGGTGTGATACGAATTCCTTCATCACTTGGGAATGCATCTGTAAAAAAATTATTTGAATATATGGTTGAGATTCAATTAAACACAAGGGCGTAAAAAGATTTGAATCCACTAGCCCAGGGCTAGTGGTCTACTGTCAGACACTAGCCCGTCATTAATTTCCACTAGTCCATAGTTGGATACGGTAAAAGCTTTAATATTAGCCTGCATGTAAAATAAAACTTGATAAATGGAATAATTGAAGAAGAGTAGGTGGGAATGCTTAAGTCTGCACAAAAGTCTTATCCCTTGCACACAGTCATAGTACATGAACATCAGGGATGCTATAAATTTGCCTGTCGGACATTTTTAGTTGGGGTTAATAGAGGCAAGAATTAGGTTGCAAGAAGTCATTTGTCAGCTTCGTGAAATAAAGTCAATATAAGCTTCCATTCCCTTTAATCACCTTCAACTACAAATATTCTGAAACGAAAAAAGTATGTGCACCTCGCTATTTTTCATATTTAATTCCCGTACGGTATTCAAATGTATGTCAATAACATTCCTGAAGATTTACGCATTTTTGTAACACGATAGTATGTAAACAACTGACCGGTACCTGCTTCAAATCCAAGTCAGTAATATTCCTCCAAATTAATTACGTGTCTTCGTTTATACGGCAGAAAATGAAAGCATAGTTCATGATGTCAAAATGTTGTTCGTTTATACAGCAGAAAATGAAAGAATAGTTTGTGATGTCAAAACATTGTTTGTCTTCTTTATAAAACAGTATTTTAAAATTATATCGGTGTAGCATCGACACCTGTATATACAGGTAGTCTCAATTTTATTGTTATTTGTCCACAGGACTCGTTTTTTCACACCAAAAGGAACGACCCTCTTCACACCAAAAGGAACGACCCTCTCTCTCTCTATATATATATATAATATATATATATATAGAGAGAGAGAGGGTCGTTCATATATATATATAGAGAGAGAGAGGGTCGTTCCTTTTGGTGTGAAAAAACGAGTCCTGTGGACAAATAACAATATATATATATATATAAAAATATACGTAAAAAATAAAGTAAATGCCTCCATTCTAGATGATTATGACAGCAATGAAATCTGTTCAGTTGACCAAGAAAACACAACATTTAAAGTAAATCATAAACATAGGCCTTTGAATTTTCATCCTCACAGTGAAAAACTTTCAATTTTTAACAACATTTTTAAAATTTACTTCCTACATGTATATCGCGATATTAATCGCATCGTGGCCTGGCGTATCGTTGCAGCCCTACGAGACCATAAGTTATTTTTGGTAGCCCCGGGCGTCGTGCTGGTGGATTTTTTACTACCCTGGTGAATAGGAAATAGTACTTTTCTGCACCAACTGAGCTTGTGATATACTATGCAGTGTGCTACCAGATAAATTTTGCAAGGACAGCAGCATTTCCGCATGTTTCGGCGAATTCCACCTGCCGAGGGATTTTTAATGGGCATGCTAAAGTGTACAGGAGACCAAATTTTTTTTGCCCAATCGAACGGCTAGGCACTTTTCCTTTCTACGCCTCGCCCTTCTTCTACACCACTGACAATGGCAAACACTGCTGGAAAATCCAAATGAACTTTCTCTGCCAATGCTGGGATCTCATATGACTTCCTGTTTAGTGAGCCAGAGCCTTACTCATCTTTTTGTTGAAAGTACACCAGGGCCTTACTCGCTGAGCAGCCGTGGCTCCCAAAATGAATAGGCTTTCCAAATGAATATGTACAGGTACATGTACCAATTTAAGAGGGCAGACTATTTGAGAATGTACTAATACTTAAATTTTGTTTTTAAAAATATGATTGTCTTTTTATTTGTTGGCTTTTAAGTTTGAGAATTAAATTCACTTGCCACCTGTCAATTAAACTCTAGCACTAACAGTAACATTGTCATTGTATTGCACATATAACCTCATAAAAAATATATTGCTACATATTAATCTAAATATAACCTATGGTGTTTTATAAATAAATCTATTAATATTATAATATTTCATTTACAATGTACTGGCGGTAGGCCTCATTATTAACTATAAAGCTTGAAATGTTTTATCAATACCGTAACAAAAACGATCTGACATGGATTTATTACAAAAGATGGGCTCCAGATGGTAAGAAGATCATTTGCTAGCAAATCGAAATATTACAGATTATTAACAGATGAATACAAAAATCAATTTCAAAGCTAAAGTAAACGAAAAGACAGGTGTATCATTGACCATATGGAGCAATCAAATAGATACACGTGTACAAGAACTGAACTATTTCCCACATAATTATATTCTTTTAATGCTCACCTCCACCATACGTCCAAAATGGCACTGATTTATCTCTCTGTACAAGGTGTGGACCTTTAAAACTCAGTTTATATTCAAATTTAGCTTTTGGTAATTCACATTGTACAGAATAAACAAAAATAACAGCAACAAATACATTTAACACCTTCACAGCAGCCATGTTGATGTTTGTACACTCTCCGTGCAGACGAGCGGAAATGATGTCAATGACATCTTCGCTTCCCGTTTTATATCCAATTATCACTCTGCGCACGCGCCAAATTTCATACCGATTATCGATTATCGTTTGCCGTTATGTCGGCTACTATACTACGAAAGCCCAGAAGGCTCATTCCAAATTCCAAATTCCAAAATTCAAAATTCATGTCTTGCCAATAAAATAGCAAATTGCCCCCCCCCACTCAATTAAACCAATTAGGATTTAAATAAATTGTAATTTTACACAACTAATCGCTAAAATCTCGATTTTAGAGTGGATCAATTTGACTGAAATTTTCAGCAAATTCACTTTAAACATTATCTAGTTTTTAACTATTATAGTGAGAACTGCTAGCTCTTCTAATCTCCCGAATGTATCTTTAATTAAACATACATTATGCAAGAGCTAAATCTGCCTATTGCAGGTCTTTCTTTAGGCCTGAAATGTTATCTAAATTATTAATTAGACATTAAAGTAGCTAACTCAATATCATCAAAAATCTTCGACATTGGAAACACGAATTATTTGTCAATTCAAATCAAGATTTAGCTCCTTTAATTAACTTATCCAGACCATAACCAACCAATTGGTCTTGTGATCTTACGGGGAAAAGATGGGCTTCTGATATCCGATATTCAAGACAAAATAAACATTTTACCATTGGTACACGAATCGACCCATTTGTGTCAATTTCTAGATCCCAAATACTAGCGATTTAGCTCCTTTAATTAACTTATCCAGACCATAACCAACTCTCGATGTCAACGCTAGACTGCGATATTTACTGGATTACGACCAGATTTGCTGCTCAACTTTCATTCATGATTTAATCATGAAATGGATAATCGAGACTATGTTTTTATCGTACCAACTTTAGTAATGACGATCGAGGCTATTTTGACCCATGGGTCATAATGAACATTTTAAAATTGACATGGCGATTTATGGTAAAAACCTTTTCACCCCATTTTATTTTGATTTGAAGGGTTTATACAAATCTGAGATATAACTATATAAAAAAATGTTATTATTCGAACCCTATAGTGTTTTTAAATTAATTAATCGTTTATGTACTGAAATCTGAACTTGTAAACCTTGGTAGATTTTTATATTTTTCTAAGAGATTAAATGAAATAGTAACACTGTCCATATTATGATTCTTGTTTGTAATATCGTGTTTATATTGATTTGTATTGTTTATATATATATTGTAAATACTTTTGTTTTCCACGATTGGTCTGGGACTTAAGGGTAATAAAAACTTGAAACTTGAACAGTTTAAAATCACTTCAATTTAGTTAATAGATCAATCTGTATTTGATGAGTACTAATAAAACAGTTAAAATAAACTCCGTTCATAGTTAATAGATTAATCTGTATTCAGTTTTCAAAATTTTCCAGCCCCCCCCCCCTCCACTATGATTTATTCAATGATCAAATAGTCTTGTTGGTTTGTTTGAACCCAGCTGATCTTTCCTTTTCAGGCCGAATGGTTAACACGTACGAGCAGTATCATATGGCCTGTCATTAGTCAACTGGCGTGGTTTCGACTCCCCGGTTATACGTGACAAGGATTGAACCATGTGTTAGTCCCGAAATGACCTAGTTTGTGTCGATTGGACGTTAACCCCCTCCCTCCCCCTCTCTCTCTCTCTCTCTCTCTCTCACACACACACACCCACCTTTTTAGGCTTAGAAACAAGTTAAAACAATGGAATAGATGGGTTTTACTGAGTAAAACTAAGTTGGAAATTTACCAACTGATCAAGTAATTCGCACCTTAAACGAACTGTTATAATTAGTGACTACATTTTAAAGGGACAATAACACTCTTGCTGGCTTGAAAGCTCCAGAAAATAAATAATATCTCTATCTAAGTACTAGATGTTTAAGTGTCCTACCTGTTGTGTAAATTATCCATTACATCCTATTTTACTTGTCCAGAGGGTTCGAAAATATTTTTAAATCGAAGTTTCATTTGAAAGGGTTTACGTTAGACGTTTCAAACCATTATGTTGAATTTTTCAAAATTTTGAAATAAGGTGTGTCAAGATGAAATTTGTATCATCAATTAATTGAAATATTCTAAAATAGTACAATTTGTTGACCAGAATAAAGATTGGGACATATTATTCAGTTACAACAAGGGTGGTAATGAGCCTTTAAAGGATATGAAAAGAAATGGGATTAAACGTCCTATTTTTCTACACTGACTGGGCTAATAATAGAAGACGGACATTTTAAAACCTTTAAATCTAGAAAGCGATTTATGCTTTAAAATAACTTCTGAAAATAATATGTTTTCATTGTTTATATAAACCATAAAAAATACTTGTATTAGATTTATTACATTTTCAAAATTATATGAATCATTGCAATTAATTTACGTATATGGTAACTTCTTATCTCAACGCTTTCGTGATCTGAAGAGATCGAAGATAATTTGATATTTTGAGGTAACAAAACAGCGCTCTAAATACAATATTTGACAGCTTTATACATTGAAATTATTTATAACATCTATAGTCATTGCCCAGAAATTTTTATATGATGACTCCTCCGATTAAGCCCAGGGAGCTCCGCCTAACTTTTCTTTAGTTTATGGCGTTAATCGAAATAGCAATCACAATATCGAAATAAGAGTAGGCCGCAACACTGTCTTAGGAGAATTACCCACACAGCACACTGCTTTGGTATTTACCCCTCTTCATGAAGCCCCCTTCTCACAGTCCTAATACTTCACACCAAATTCGAAAAAAAAACCTTTAGAAACCGTAACCTCTATAAGGTCTGTCATTGAGTCAACCACCGTGGTTTCGATTCTCCGGTTGTACGTGACAAGGAGTAGGGTTGTCTGTCCAACCTTGAGGGTTTTCTCCGGGTCCTCCGGTTTCCTCCCCTTGCTAAAGATTCATACACGCAAGCGAATTATTGAAATAAAATTGAACCAAGTGTTAGTCCAGAAATGACCTAATTTGTGTCGAGTGGACGTTAAACCTCATTTCTCTCTCTTGCTGAAAAGTTATAGGTTTCGTCCACTCATGACCATAATTATTCACAACAAATTGGAACACAATCCTTTCAAAAGTATAGCCTCTATTATAGCGCGTTTAGAAAATGGGGCGTCACTTTGGAATGTTGAAAATCGCCCAAAATGCCAATCTAGATCCCAGAAAACTCGTCGGCTATACGTCGCCCATTTGGTATATCACGTGGTGTATCTTTCCGTCGGTCGCGTCACAAAATATCCAAGATTGCGGCTCAAACTCACGGTTCTTCAGAAATTTCACGTATTTAGCCGAATCACTCACATTGTGCGCTAAAAATAGTTCTCGTTGAATCAAATCGGATGTGGAAAATGTTCGAAGGATCATTAATATGTAACTCATGCAACGAACCGATGCCCAATTGTCGAGAACTAGGCAGCATTTCATTCTAACAAATCCTGCCAATCAGTAGCACCGTGGGCGGAGCTTATGCACCGATTTCACGCTGATTAATGGTCGGCGAGTTTTACCAGAGATAAACGATTGCTCAAATGCTTCACGCCAAATTTTAAAAATATCCATTTAAAACTGTAGCCTTTTCGCGTTGACATAGTTTTCAGAATAAATGGAGGCGGATGGTGTGCTGGGTTAACTACGGAATGGAAGGTCAAGAAAAACGGAAAATTCGTCCGCTCATGGTTCGTACGAAATTTGAAAATAATCCATTCAAAACTGTAACCTCTATCACGTTCAAAATCGAATTGTTGACGGATCGATAGGGGACAGAAGACAATACGCCCGCAGTTCTGTGATATAAAAAACGAATTGTTATTTTCTTGGTCGGAGCGTCGCTATCTCTTTAAATGTGAAAATTATTCTATAATTCACCCTTTAAAATTTATAACCTATCAGATCACGTGATTCGACATGGAACTATAAATTCCAAATTCCTAAATTCAACACATTGTACACCATGCTGATCGTATTGCTAGCTTGTATCTCTGTAGCAGTAGCTGCACCAGCTTCTGAATACAGTGGACGAAAACGATACGACAAGTAAGTGCCTTATTATTTTAACATTTGCCCATTAACAGGTTAATATGTGAAAAAGAAAGAACGTAGTGTGAGGGGTTCCTCCGGGTCGGGCGTTAATTTTGATAATAAGTATATTATTCCCGCCCCCTGTCCCCCGCGCCAAAGAAGAAAATGTTCTTATGATCAAACATTCTATACAATTTTTCTTCCGTTTCAACTATGTAATACTCGTATATACTGGGGCACAATGAAAACGCACAACTTTCATAAATGGATGATTGAAATTCTGCACGTAACATCAGATCACGACGGTAAAGCTTGAGAATGATGTTTCCACTGTCGCAGATTAATTCTCTCAAACATGAAAAAACGAAAAATGAATTTGACAAGGGAATGTGAAAAATCACGATTTTATGGTGCTGATATGGCGTACAGTCCCTCGTCTATATTATATATTAAATAGTTTGGAAATTTAATAATACCTAATCTTATTTATTTAATTGCTTATCGGGAACTGTTTGTTGTTGGTAAATTATATGAGTTCATGTCTTTCTTAGTTACCGACTAATATCAGTCCAACCCGAGAATGAACAGCAGCTTAAAGTTTTGAGCGACTTTCAGACCAAAGGATATGATTCGGTAAATATTAATTTTTTTATTCATTTTTCGTTTTAACAATATATTTATTCAGCATATGTTAGACATAAATTATGCAACAGCTAAATCTGCCTATTACAGGTCTTACTTTAGGCCTGAAATGTTATCTAAATTATTAATTAGAACCTATCCAGACCATAATCAACTCTCGATGCCATCACTGGCCTGCGATGGTTATTGGATTATAAAAGGTTCCGATTTGCTGTTCGACTTCCATTCATGACTTAATTATGAAATAGATTATCGAGACATTGTTTTTTTTTTATCGTACCGACTTTAGTAATGATGATCCAGGGAAGGCCAAAACTTCAATCGCTAAAATCTCGGTTCAGAGTGGATCAATTTGACTGAAATTTTCAGCAAATTCCCTTTACATTATTTAGTTTTTAACTATATAGTGCACTGCCAGCTCTTTATCTAATCTCCCATAATGTTTCTTTAATTGGATTGGGGAAATCTTCCCCTCTCATTTAAGATCAAATATTAAAAATGCCTAGAGATTTTGCTTTATTTTAAGGATTAATATTATTTACGCATCAGGTGGCTAGTTGGTTAAGACGCTGGCTCGCTAGCCTGGAGGTCGGGTGTTCGATCCCTGCATTGGCCGAGAAAGTTCATCTGGATTTTCCGACGTGGTTTCCCGTTGTCAGTGGTGCAGAACGGAGGGCCTGACAAGGACAGCTGTCTAGTCCTTCGGATGAGACGAAAACCGAGGTACCGTGTATACATTGGAATGCACGTAAAAGATCCCTTGGCAGTTGGAATTCGATATAAGAGTAGGCGATAGTGCCGCTGCCCGGGCAAAATTTCCCTCATAGCACACTGTATGGCGTATGCCCGTCTTCATTAGCCCAGTATAGGAGCAGAACAGTAGGACGTTAAACCCCATTTCATTTCATTTCATTATTTACGCATCAATGTTTATTATAGCATTCATGTTACAATATTCCCCAAAATACAATATTATGCTACACAGAAGATAGTTCATTTTATTAACGCTATTAGGCCAAAAAGCGAAAAACTACACATTCTAAAATAAGGCCCATAGAACAGAAGCATACGCAGATATAAACTGCATTTCTTTTTTAAAGGTATTTTTCGATTTCTGGGCTGGCCCAACTTCAAAACGTCCAGCGGAATTCACTGTATCACCATCCCACTATAAAAAAGTTATGCAGCACCTTCAAGACAATAATATGACAGCAACTGTAGAGGTAGACGACATCCAAATGTAAGTATTACCTTTGGTAAATTAAAGGACAATATTGGTGCCAGTCATTATCACATATGTGATAGAGCTGGTTAAACACATTCCAAATATAATTTTAACACAGAGATCATTGCTACGATAGCTGAGTAATACAGGTTTCCTGAGTCTGCTCACTAATAATTCCTTCGAATACCAAAAGTTGTTATATAGGACTGTAAGAGGATACCTGACAATACAATAAAGTAATTGAATGTCATTAGATAAGAGAACACGAGAAAAATAGAAATAGTCGTACATTCCCTTGTTTAAATTCATTCTATATATCTTATAAAAACATGGTAATGCACGGACTTTTTCTGTTTTTCTTTCGTGTTCACTTATTTAGTGGCAGTCAATTCTTTTTATGAATTGTCAGATATCCTCTCACAATCTCATACAACTACTTTTGGTCTTGGAATGAATTATTAGTGAGCAGAAATTCGCCCGTATATCCGTTATCACTCGTCACATCAGTCAGTTATATAGAGAGATGACTCGTGTTTTCCTTTGGCGTTCGTCACTTCCTATTCTGGAAAACTGTATTTCTCAGCTATCGTAGCAATGATCTGTGTTTTAAAATTATATTTGGAATGTGTTTAACCAGCTCTATCACCTATGTGATAATGACTGGCACCATTATTGTCCTTTAACCAATGTCGTTATTAAGAGAGTAAGGAAACGAAAGACTATGGTAATTATTAAGATAACTCTGTTGAAAACCGCATTTAAAAGTTCGAAAACTTGATGAGTAACGCTGTTTGATACTGTTTAAAGATGTACTGTGTAAGAGTTAAATCTTCTCATTACATGTCTCTTACTGAATTCAAATGTTATATATATTATTATTTGAACATTTATTAACATGAGAAGCCCACAATCGTATCTCTGAACTATCGGATGGCTTCGATTTTTTAAAAGTAGATTAGAATACCGCGGCCACAATAGTTACAATAATAAACAATCTAAACGCTATATTTTGTGAAAACTTCAAACACTCATAATTTCGCACAGAAAAAAAGTTATTAATTTGACTAAAATTTTCAATATATTGATTATCTATTTGTAAACTGTTATTAGTACAGCAAGACCGTCGGGCCGCTCTTTATCCAAATCTTACATAGTGCATCTTTAAACTGCTATAGTAATTGAACAGATGAAAATAATCACAACAGATATAACGTTCGTTGGTTATGTTGGATCTGTCGTTTCCACCAAAATTATACTGTATGTCTTGAACGACTTTAATGGCCCCTTCTAAGAATGCCGTCACATTTTTGACGCAATACCATCCTGACGGGCAGTAACAAACAAACTGAAATGAAATGGGATTGAACGTCCTACTGTTATGCCCCAACGCAATTCAGTGTGCTATGAGGGGAAATTTTGCCCGGGCCTGCTCTTATATCGAATTTCAACTGTCAGGTTAGAGAGTCAACGCCTTAATCACTGAGCTAATTAAACTATGACTTGAATAATTTTGTTTATATCCCAAAAATCTCGGATGGGTTCGATTTTGGCACATATCGGATCATCGGATCGTAACGCCCTGGGTCATTGCTGCTGATTGTACGAAATAACCTACATAGCTTGTGGACTCTATAGAAGTCACAAATTTGCATCAATTCTGATGAACGTTATTTAGACGGTGGCCTGCCTTCAAATGGTCTCAGACTAGCAATTATTTGTCCATTGACTTCAATGTTAAATGGCTGTAACATCACAGGCTGTAGCTTTTTGCTCAACATTCCGTTGGTTCCAATCTTTATAGGCACAATGGGGACCACATTTGGCAATCTCCTCATCATAATTTTGTAGGGGGTTGACCGTTTAGATTTTTTGCTACGGGGATTTGAAGTTCAAATCCCCGTAGCAAAAAATTTGAAGTTGACTGGGGTGAAAATCTCACTTCCGACACAATGATTACTCTGCAGAAAGACACTTTACACCCCCTATCCCTCCGCTGTAATATCATCAGTATTACCCAAAACTGCTATGAAATTGCAAATTTGATCCCTTTTCTCCAATTTTAGACCAAAAAGTCAACCAAAAAATGCAGGAAGAGGGGAGAAAAAAATTAAGGAAAAAATTGTCTATTTATAACTCGCACTACATTCGAAATAATTACTAGTCTGAGACCAAATGATGATTCGAGTTATCTCCCATTATATAATAATACATAATTATATAGACACTGGCAACTTACAAAACCGCGGATGGATTCGAATTAGGTACGCATAGGACCGTAGCTTCTTGAATTTGGGCCACTATCTTTTACGCAAAATGTGTAGGCTCTCTAGTAAGTGTGATGAATTAGGAACATGAGAGATTTTCATCGTTCTCCTTTGGTTCCGCTACCTTCCGTTCCAGATTTACCCCACCTTATGACGAGGAAGGAGGCTACAGTTTTTAAAAAGTCTTTTTCAAATTTGTTCTGAAGAATTGGGACCATGGACAAACCAAATCGATATTTAGCGTCCAGCGACCTACCGTAACTGATATTTTCCAAAATGTGACGAGAAGCGATGAGGCGATGAGAGGCCGAATATTCATTGACCCTTTCCGAAAACCTGGTGAACGTAACAGAGGCCACAGTTTTTCACTGTGTGTAATAAACATATTATTTGAATGGGTTTTTTTTCAAAACCGAAGACAAATTTTGACCTTTAGCTTTGTTTTTGTAAAATCATGGGCAATAGAGTACCCATAAACAAATGTGAACGGACGCCAGGGGCGTACAGGGGCGCCGCGTATAAAACTCTTGTCGGAGCAGCCTTTGATTTGTTCTGTACATACTTAATTTTATTATAGGTTCGAGAATATTGCCGAATTTGAAGCCAAAGTCCAACCGGAGTTATTCTTTCACAACATAGTAGATCATTCACAATACCATCGATATGACCAAGTAAGTCTATACTGACATAATTATCTATATCATAAAAATGATTGCATACGTAATTATTTAAGTTTAGCGATCGCAAACGTACAACTGTCTCATTTACTCTAGATTTCAGAATACTTGACAGGCTTCGCTAATAATTTTGGTTCGATTGCTCGCAAGAGAAGCATGTCTCAGACTACATATGATGGAAGAACTATGGACTATCTAGAGGTTTGTATATTTTGATAGAAATGAATGGAATCAAATTAACAAATATCTTAGTTGTTATGCACTGGCGGATTTAAACGTAAAAATTGGGAGGTAACAACAGAGTAATTGGCCAACATAATTCGGCCCAAAACGGATCCTTGAGGAACCCCAAACCTCCTGAGTTCAGGCTGTTTGGACAATAAACGTAAACATAACAAAGCAAAGAAGAAGTTCTCAAAATAAATGAAATTGAGCAGAAAATGTCTAAAACATAATATAATCTGTGAACTGGTCGTTGCATCATTAAGTCCATGATCAGTCCAGCCTTTAACTCACGCAAGAATATGTAATCATATGTAATCATGTATAATCTGTAGACCATATCATATTTTAAAGATATCTACATTTGGATTTTCTGGAACTAGAAAAATATTTTAATTGAAGTTATGAATCCATACATGAGTGGATTCCATGTAATCATTTGTTTCTGCAGACAATATTCCTGTTATTCTATTTTAAAGATATCTACAAATGGATTTGCTGGAACTAGAAGAGCTATTTTAATTGAAGCTGGTATCCATGCTCGTGAGTGGATTTCACCAGCTGCCATATTGTATATTACTGACAGGGTAAGTATAATAAGTTTCTATTTTTCTTTCCGTGACATACCAAAAGATACAAACGCTCCTCGCCCCCCCCCCCCTGCTCGATAATGTATAATATATTATGTCTCTCCTTTTCAGTTATTGGCTACATATACTACGGATAGCCAGGCTGCATATATGTTGAACAACTTTGATTGGATTATTATACCAGTAACCAATCCTGATGGTTATGAATATTCACACACAAATGTAAGGTTGTTTTATAATATCTATATTAAACACCATTAATCATGTCCGTTATATTTCTATACACTCCATAATATTAATTTCAAACACCTAAATACATTAAGTTCATATCTTTCAGATTTTGAATTAAAACTGGTTAACCGTTTATCATTCCGCAGATTGCCCTCTTTAACCGTATGTTTATTTAGAGACCCAGAAGTTGTTATATGTCTAGAACTGTCATTGGCAGGCCATTGTCATTGACAGTGGCTTTGTATGTATTTGTAGAGTTGTCCGGTCCGAGAACTTAGAATATGAATCAAGCGGAAACAAACCATAATTTAACCAATCACAAATCAGTTATTTCTTATGCTAAATAAAGTCTTGAATTTCAACCCTGTACACCACAATTCTTCATGGCAAATTGAAAAACAGACCGACTTTCAAAAATCATTGCCCATCGTGCCAGTCCCGTAAAATCAAAACCCACCATGTATAAATAGATGTTGGTTAATACAATTCTTATAAATACAACATAAGTACACAGAAGATATAACATCCCCAAGAAGTGCCAAGGAAACTTATGATATCGCTCTACTTGCCGAATTATCTCTATATTGAAAGGGGGTGGGGCGAATGGTTAACGCGTGCGCATTGCTTCATAAGTTCTGTCATTGAGTCAAGTGGCGTGGTTTCGTTTCCCGGTTTGGGGGTGAAAGATGCGCCCAACATGTACACTTATGATAGCTTCTTGGGGAACACAGAAACATCTAAATTGCAGCGACAAAGCTATAGCTATCTGAACTTGCATTTAAGTAACTTTATCGTAGTCACCAAGATAGCAAACCTTACCTCTCAACCCCCCCCCCCCCCCCGTGTTTCGAGATAAGAAATGGTTCCATTAGCTTCAATCAAAACAACGATTGATTATTGTTATTTATAATATTTCTGCCACACTCAACTACAATTAAGCATATAATCCTACCTGAAACGGATACAAATCCCCTCTTTTTAAATCAAAGCGACAGTAGATTGCTATTTCCGACATTTTAAATTTACGTCTGTAACACATAAAGGCGGGGCCTCGTGTGCAATAGCCAATCAAAGTACTAATCTGATCAGAGTTGCGCAGTAGTAATACGCCGTAATTATAAACGTCCGAATCAATTTTGATAAAAACAACGCTTGATTTACTTTATTGTCAATATTTGCTGATAAATGAATGTTGTTTCAGAAGATTGGACTGCGTATGTGTAATAAGTACTAATAGTTTAAAATTAACTTATTTTTAAGATGGTACATGCATTAATAAAGAAATTGAGTTAGCCACTTGGAACTAAAGGCATCCAATCGTAGCTAAAAACAAGCACATCAGTATATCTCAGCGTTTTAGTTACGTTCTCGTAGGTACAATCATCGTAGATCATTTTAATTGACACAAGGTCAATTTTTATCTTCTGTGACGCACATGGGCCGGAGAAGGCTTTCTCCTTCCGGAATACCCGATAAACTATTGGTTATTATTATATCGATAATTTCTCATTTACAAACTTACAAATACTCGAATTAGCCTTCCGTTTGGTGGATTAACTATTCCTTACATAAGTTGTATTTACTACTGTTTCTATGTATTCAGAATGTATTTGCTTGTCATTTTATATATTTGTTTTTTATACACATGTTTTTTCACCACTTACAATAGGATCGCTATTGGAGAAAGAACAGAGTTTTCAGGGGAGGTGATTGCAGGGGAGTCGATTTGAACAGAAATTTTGATGCCAGATGGGGAAGTGAGTAAACAAAAATTATTGTGATATATACATGTATATTATAAAAATAACAGTCTTCCCATATTCGCACATGGCTCTTTTAATTAAAACATGAAAGGGTCTTAGTAGTATACATATAATTGTGGTAAAAGTGTAATAAGAACCATGAAAATATATTAAAAATAATGGTTTATCTCTTTTTATTAAGCCACTGGTGTTAGCTCAAGCTGCTCTAGCGACATATATCCTGGTACTGGACCAATGTCTGAAGTTGAGGCCCAAAATGTCCAAGAATTAGTAGCCAGTATCCAAGATGGCGGAACCCGATTGATAGGATATTTAGCCGTACATTCCTACTCGCAAATGATTCTTCTTCCCTATTCCCACACCCTCGGGTCAAGACCACCAAATTATCCAGATCTAGTAAGTTACGCTGATGCTATTATAACTAAATTATGTTCCTTTACTCAGTCATTCACTGTTATTAACATCTAAATGAAATATCACCAATTTTCCCTGTTAAATTAACTAAAGCTTGTAATGATTGTTTTGAGATTGTGTACACGTGAAAAGAATTATACCTTCAAGAATTGATAGGTAGTCTATATTCTGGTAGTCTATATTCTGGAAATCCACTCAAATCTTAGAGCACCTATTTGGCGACACAATACTACGCTAGGTCCACGGTAATCGTATGTCTAATGAAATGGTCTCAAAACTAGTCTTCCTCGGATTGAGCCAGGTCCTAGCGCGGTTTGTAAACAAATTGTGCGACGAGATCCCGTGGACACATTCACAAAATTTCGTAAATAACTTTGACCATTTGGAATTTGAATACGGTTAATATCAATCTGATTAAAACACAGACCCAATTTCATTTCGTTTTTATAGTTTAAAATTTCGTTTTACTTGTCTTTACTACACTATAATCTGGAAGAGTTTATCATGTAAGGGATTAGCAAAGAAACGGTCTGTTACGGCGAGTCTTTGGTGTGAGGTGCAAGGAACTGTGGTTAAACCACTAGAAACGTCAACGCTTGTTGATTAATTAATGTCTGACGTCATAAGGTCAAAAGCCGCTCGTATGACACCCGTCACGACCTTCCACTACAACTGGTCAGATCTTCATGTAGTGTAGGCCATCGAAAGTATATGAAAAAAAAAGGAAATATAGATCTGTATTTTAATCAGATTGGGTTAAAATACATTGTTAGATTTATCACAGGTTCTCAAATTTTACATATTTTTTATGCCACGAACAGTGTGATTTACAAAGACATCATGTTATTTTCAGGATAACTATGGTATTTCTGCCGGTAATGCCCTATATAACGTGCACGGCAGACGATTCCAAGTCGGAACAGGACCCGAATTGTTATGTATGTAAATGTTCTTACAAAAGAACAATTTTGTAAATTGTTAAAAAAAAGAAAACCCAAATACCTCGATCGTATGTTATACCTAAGTATTGAACTATAGAAGGAAACGTTATTTCCTATTTGGAGAATTCTCATGTTTTTGTACTGATTACTGAGAAGATAACTGTCATCGAATCCTTCACATTGTTTCGTCTTTTGCCTTCAATCATTAAATGCTGTGTAGTGTCCACTTTTGAGAAAATCTAGCAGATGTTTTTGCCCCCCCCCCCTCTACGTGCTGCCACATTTGGCCTTATAATTAATTGCTACTGTAACAACGTTAGGAATATTGATACCACGGATGGAGACACAACCCACCACACCTCAAAATAAAAATTATAATTACAATAAAAGTGGAGCAATAAACCGTATTAAGCTACTGTGACTTATAACGTGGGAAATGGTATTGCAGCATAGAAGTGAACATAGATCAATTTTGAACCTCTACCTTTTCTTCCTTTTCAGATTCTGCTTCTGGTGGTTCAGAGGATTGGGCTATATTAGCAGCTTCGGTAAAATACTCCTATTGCTATGAATTAAGACCAGCTACGGCAAGTGAAGGAGGTTTTGTTCTACCACCAAGTGAGATTCTTCCTAGTGGAGAAGAACTGTTTGCAGCTTTCTACAATCTTGCAATCAGTTTTCATAATGACATTTAAACCAATCGTTAGAAAACTGATTTACACATTAAATCGAAGTTTAATACATGATACCCATGAATAAATAAATGGCGTTTTCTAAACTCTTGTTATTATTTTATTATTTATAATTCTTTACCAGATAGAAATGAAATGAAATGGAGTTTAACGTCCTACTGTTCTGCTCCTAACCTGGGCTAATGAAGACGGGCATACGCCATACAGTGTGCTATGAGGGAAATTTTGCCCGGACAGCGGCACTACGGCCTACTCTTATATCGAATTCCAACTGCCAAGGGATCTTTTACGTGCACGCCAATGTGTACACAGGACCTCGGTTTTTCGTCCCATCCGAACGACTAGACAGCTTTCCTTATCAGCCCCTCCGTCCTGCATCACTGACAAGGGAGAACCACGCCGGAAAATCTGGATGAACTTTCTCGGCCAATGCAGGGATCGAACACCCGACCTCCAGGCTAGCGAGCTAGCGTCTTACCCACTTAGCCACGTGATCCCCTTTACCAGATAGAGCCTATCGTATTACGAACTATCTACTTCATCTTGCTATAGTTCTCTTTACCATATCCAGAAATATTTTTCTATGATTGTCGAGTTTCTCAAGAATCAATAACGATATCTAATAAATTCGGCCCGGACCATTGAGCATACAACCATCTTTTAATCAACTTTTACTATGCAAACTCTGCAGTGACGAAAGGTTCAAAATACACACTGGTTTTGAAGCTAAATAAACTTGACAAAAAAGCCCAAAACCCTTGGCAAAAAATATATAAATTCTAAATGGTATTTTTCACTTGACGCCGGTCATCTTTTCAAAACTACTGTCCATATATGAGTTTTTCGATTAGATGGTTGGGTATCGATGTCAATACCGAAGCGCCGGATAATCGTCAATCTTTTCTTTGATTGGTTTGTAACAGCCATCGGATTTCATCATCATTATACCGGGTCTCACAAATCGCAAAACAAGATTTAATATCCTCCGCATTTGTTTCAGCCAAAATAGAGAGAAATTTTAATTGCGTCTCGTATGCCCTTGTACCACTCGTTACCGAGTGAGAATCGTTTACGATAGGATATATACAGTCGTTGAGAATTTACGCTCTAATAGTGGTGCAAAAATGTTATTGTGATCCGTTTTACATCAACGACTCTATTGGGGAACTTGTCCATTGGAATCTCCTCTCCATGCAGACGGTAACCACAGATCTGTTTCTTCAGCTATGTATTTCGCACGAAGTTCCGAATTTAAATAATTCAGGCATTTGGCATGATTTCCTCTTAAGCTGTAGAAAGTCACTGGATCAATTATCACTGTTTCGGTCTTTTGTTCCTTCCTATACTTTTTCATTGCTGAGGAAATTTAAATTAAACACAATTCGTCTGTAAAACCACTTTCCTTTTGAAGAATTAAAAAAAGAAAGGTTTTTAAAAACTCTTTTTCTAATCGACAAGGCGGGATTGGGTGAACACGTGCGCGCTGGATCATAAGATTTGTCATTGACCCAATTGAGTCAAGCTGTGTGGCGTCGATTCCTATAGCTTGTACGTGACAACCCCGGGGTTTACCCCGGGTCCTCAGGTTTCCCCCTGTAATGGATCAGCGCACGTTTTGACCACGAAATCAAGACAATGCTCCACATAGACTTCATACTATTTATTGGCCATTGCTTCAGAAATATGCATAGACTTAAGACTTCAACAAGCGTAATTCATGAAAAAAGAGCAATTGTTTTCTTCTTAAAAATGCCTTTGTATCGTTTATCAACGGCATAAACAATATTATTAGCGGAGAAAACGTATTAATTTTGAGCGCGACTACCGCTTTAATTATTTTACAACCCTTTTATTTATGCTGATTATATAGATCATAAAAAAACTTGAATTAGATTTATTACATTTTCAAAATTATATAAATCATTGTTTTGTACGTATATTGTAACTTCTTATCTCAAAACTTTCTTGATTTTGGAACAGAAACTGAAGGGATTAAAGATAATTTGATAACATAGTAATAAACAACACAATAAATATAATATTTGTTGATAACAGTTGGCAGATTTATTGATCGATAACATTTAACCTACATATATAATATTAATATGAATTGTCCAGTAATCTCTATTAAATGATAACCTCTAGACCTCCACCATTTTAGATCCAGGAAGCACCGCAAAACCTTTCTTTAGGTCAAGAACGCTAAACTTCCAATGTTTAAATATTGCACATCATTTTGTTCATATGTATATCAGCTCAGCTTCCAACGACGATAATATCAGGTTAATCAATGCACATCACATCACTGTTAACCAGATAGAAAACAGTGCCAGTGTTTTAGCACACATATAAATTCTGTCCTTTTCTACAAATCACTGCGGGGCATGTACGCTTAGAATAGTGCGTGTAGTTTTATTTTTGGGTGATAATTATAAATAAATCGGCCAAATGCCCCCCCCCCCCCACACTTTAAGTGGTTTAAGGAGGATGTTATCGCTTTCGCCAAGAAAATAAATGTATAAACTTAGGACTTGCACTGATCGATTTAGGATAAAGTGTTATTCACTATAGTTCGTTTAACTGCTTGAAAAGTAAATAAAAAAAAAACTTGTAAATTGAACGTTTAAACGTCACTAACGCAACAGTATCTTGATGGTCAAAGGATCGGCGCCTATTTTTATATAAGTCTTTGCCGTTTTAAACAATTGAAAGGAAATTCTTTACAAACTCTACAACTCAGATGTAGAAGGTAAAATAGTAAGAAATATTAGGTTAACGGTGTCAAATTGTATCAGGTTTTCTAGAAATACAGGCCCAGGGGTTCCCCCAGTTTTTTTAAAATGTATTTTGCCATATGTAATCTATCTTTAAAGAGGAATTATTAACGCGTTGAGGGTCGTCTACGGCTTTTCGTTTGGATGTGAATTGACCATCATTACATGTATAAAATAATGGATATAATTTGAAATATATTTGCAAAACCCTCCTTAATGCAGATGTTATAAAATTGAATTCAATGTTTTTAATATTTTTGAACACACAATCGAAAAAAAAATACCTTACTACAAGTAGTCCAGCACTTGGATTTTGGATAATTAGGTGAATGTAGTGTTAGTTAGCGTATGGTATTATTAAAGATAACCAACCGCGCATCTCGTGGAAATACGCCCACACAGCAGCTATGTCTCGGAAAAAAACATACGCAGCTTTTCCGATTGTAAAACTTATTCACCAAATTTATTCAGGAATTTGTTTTTGCTTTCAAGAAATATAATCTCTATCGTGTTCACAACCTTTTTCTGGACTCAAAGTATATCTCTGGAACAGAAAGTACTATAATGCCGAAAATCAACAGGATTCATCCTCCCCTATCCAAACGCTTCCCACCAGGTTCAGCCAATACGATTAATCCTCTCACATTCCTAATGCCTTGCAGCAAATTTGAAAAACAAAATTTGAAATAAAACCCCCGTTAAAAACTGTAAACTTTAACAAGGTTTTCATTAGCGGGGTGGGGCTGGGGTATAACTTTGCAGCGGAAAATCGCGGAACGCTGAATATCGATGACCCTAAATGATTTGGACCAAATTTAAAAATAATCTGTTAAAACCGTACCCTTGATCGGGGTCACAAAGACAATTGTTGACCGACAGGTGTGAAGACAATAAGCCCACACTGAAATGTCAGTATAAAAATTGATTGTATTTGTTTTTCTGGCGAGAGTGATAATGTCTCTTTAAATAGAAATTATTCTATAATACATTCTGTAAATTTATAACCTATCATATCACGTGATTCGGCATGGGACTATAAATTCCTAGTTTCAACACATTTTACGAACCCTTCCTCAACCATGCTGATCGTATTGCTAGCTTGTATCTCTGTAGCAGTAGCTGTACCAGCTTCTGAATACAGTGGACGAAAACGATACGACAAGTAAGTGTCTTATTATTGCTACACAAAAGTAAGCGTTTAACACCCCTTTCATTACATTTACGACTTAAAAAAGGGGTTAAAGCAAACTCATTGTTAATTAAGAGAAATTAAATTATTGACATCAAACTATAACTATATTACATTATGGGAACACTGATGAAAATAAATCGTATAGTCTGTCACTCTAGGGGTTTGTTTAATCTACAAATCAAATTTTAGGATATATATTTTAAAATTTCTTGAACTGCCAAGCTATACCTATCTATCAATTTTACGCTGAGTTATTTCAGTTGTCACCGAACTGTGCTGGCTCTGTAAATCAGAGTTACTGGTGGACATTGCTCAGAAAGCCGTGATGAGAAAATCCGAATACAGCGGAATCCGAATTGGGGACATTTTGGTGGAGACATTGGACTAAACAATGTTGCCAAGATTGACCGAGTAACATTATAGGAGAAATCCTTTTATAATCCGAATTGGGGACATTCTGGTCGAGACGTTGGACTAAACAACGTTGCCAAGATTGACCGACTAAACATTATAGGAGAAATCCTGTTGGAATTAATAATGCGCCGGATTATTTCCCCTGTTAAGTTAAACCTTTTTTGATCAAAACATACTGGTAGACGTGTTTTCGCTGCAACACTACGATGACATCTGTCATGATTCGCGCGACTTTTCTTACAACAGGATTTTACTATGCACGTTTATGTCTGTAACTCAGTAGAAGAACTAATTTCAAATTTGGTGTGAATTATTGGGGTTATGAGAGGACGAATCCTATCCACATTCAGCGTTTCGCAAGCTTCCTTTTCAGAGTTACTACCTGCCCAAAACGAGATATAGGCTACAATTTTTATGGGATTTTTTCAAATTTGGTATGATTGTGTGAAGTATTGGTATATTGCCAATTCAGCGTTACGCGAGGTTCGTTCCGGTCTTTGGTGTGTAGCATTGGAGGCATGAGAGGACGAACCCGATCGATATATTCAATGTGCCGTCCCTTTTTCCAATAACCTTGTGAACATGACAATCTACAGTCTTTAAACGGTTTGTTTCATATGTGGTGTGAAACATTGAGGTCGCGAGATGATGAACCCCTAGTAAATATCCAATGTTTTGCGACTTTTCGATCTGGAGTTATCCACACTTTCTTTTGAAGGCAGAAAGGATCTTTATCAAATCTGGTCAACATTCAAGTTTTCCTGTTGTATAAGCTGCTGTCGAGACACCAATGTGTGTGCGTATTTCCACACTTTGTGTGGTTATTGTTAAAAATATCATACGCTAATTAACCCTACATTGCAGTAAGGTATTTCGTCTGGATTGTTTATTTAAATCTTTGAAAAATATTAAAAACTTTGTACGACCAGTAATTGAATTTTCTAATATCCGTAGAGACTAACACCCAAATTAAGGAAGGCTTCGAAAATATATTTCAAATTTTGCATATTATCATTTTTGAACATCCCCGATGTACATGTACGGGCCAATAACATCCAAACGAAAAACCGTAGAAGACCTCCAAAGCGTTAATACCTCTTTAAAGATAGATTACATATGGCAAAATGCATTCAAAAACTGGGGGAACCCCTGGGCCTGTATTTCTAGAACACCCAAACATAAAACTGCACATATTATTCTAAACGTACAAGCACCTTAGTGATTTATCATATTAGGGACTGTATTTGGTTCGTAAATTACATGATTGCATACTGTCTTTCTTAGTTACCGACTAATATCAGTCCAGCCCGAGAATGAACAGCAGCTTAAAGTTTTGAGCGACATTCAGACCGAAGGACATGATTCGGTAAATATACATATTTTATTCATTTAATATCAAATAGAAAAAAAAAATGTCTAGAGATTTTGGTTTATTATTTTAAGTACACACCTATGATAATTATAGAATACATGCTAGAAGATTCTCAAAAATCCAATATTTTGCTTCACATAAGATGGTTTAATCTATGGTCAAAAAGCAATACTTGCTAAATTAAAAAAAAAATGAATAGAAATAAACATGATTTTCTTTTTTAAAGGTATTTTTCGATTTCTGGGCTGGCCCAGCTTTAAAACGTCCAGCGGAATTCACTGTATCACCATCCCAGTATGAAAAAGTTATGCAGTACCTTCAAGACAATAATATGACACCAACTGTAGAGGTAGACAACATCCAAATGTAAGTATAAAAACAACAGTTCTATACAGATTAGATTATTGCCAGTGCGATTTTAAATTCAGAGAGGCACTTTAATCAAATCATTATAGAAAACAACTTACTAAATGAATCAAACCATAAGTGATTAATTCTGCACAATTCCAAGACATTACGAGAAGGTTTAGAGTCTGTACACAGTCTACACATCAGTATCTGGTATGTCTACGGTAAGGTCTACGGCAATGGATGTTCTCTCTGGTGAGACGTCGGCGCACTGTATCGGTAGCCTAATGATGGGTCTTCCGCGTGTTCCCACTGTCTGACGTGCTGTCTCAGATGCCTGTGTGAAGGGATTATGCACGTGTTGTCGCACAACATGGCGGTCTTGTCGCCTTGTGGTAACCCTTGGTCTACCAGTTCGGTGGTGATCATCCGTGGTGTTGGTGACCCGAAAGCGTTACTGAAGCCTGTAGATGGTCCGAACATTGACCTGGAAGTGATTGGCAACGGCTTGGGCAGTGCTTCCAAGCGCCTGGTTCCTCTGAGCTGTCGTGAGTCGTTGCATGCTGCTGACGTTGTAGTGTGAATGATTCAACCAGGTATTGGGGTGCATTTTATAGGGCTGGTCCCGGTGAACAGCACGTGCAGCATGAGTTACATGAAAATCATGGAGAACACATTACCATCTCAGAAGTCAGGTTGCGTTTTTGAGAACATTTTCTGGGTTCAATTCTGTGTTTGGGAAGGAGCCTTATTGCTCGGGTAAAGTTGGAGATGTGGTCACAAATATAGAATAAAAACATTTGGCAAGTTTTATGCAATGCGTCTATTCAGAGTAACATACCAACCTGACGTTTCTTTTGCTGCTTAGTATACATATGACTTTCGTTAAAATCCATAGTATTGCCTGAAGATGTTTAAATGGGTTGGCTCCCACAACAATCTACAACCAAACACCCCTCTTTGATCACTGTCTTCTCCGATCACTGCTAAAAATACCATAATTAAGATACCGCCCTTTTTCATACAGTACAGGAGAGCTGTCGAATCATTTTCACATTCAAGAACTGGGCTAGCTTTGAATCATTCAAACACAGTACTTCTCATGCGTAACACCATTTTCAATAGAAGGCTCGATCTCGCTTTAACTCCTTACATCTTACCAAGATGTAAAACTTGTTGCTTCAGAAATATAGAGTAACATGTTAGAGAACTGTTTTCCACAAACGCAACAGATATGAAGCTTATGTTTTATTGTTAAATCTCTCAATCAAAGTATAGAAATATCATCCCAGAGCCGACGGCATAAAACTATACATAATTTTATTCTAGGTTCGAGAATTTTGCCGAATTTGAAGCCAAAGTCCAACCGGAGTTATTCTTTAACAACATAGTAGATCATTCACAATACCATCGATATGATCAAGTAAGCCTATACTGACGTAATTATCTAAATCATAAAAATGATTGCAAATGTAATTATTTAAGTTTAGCGTACGCAAACTTATAACTGCCTCTTTCACGTAATTATTTTACTTTAGCGTATCTTATAAACGTATCTTTACTCTAGATTTCAGAATACTTGACTGGTTTTGCTAATAATTTTAATTCGATTGCTCGCAAGAGAAGCATGTCCCAGACTACAGCTGATGGTGGAAGAACTATGGACTATCTAGAGGCTTGTACATTTTGATAGATTATCTAATTAAATTATACTATAACAATAATGTTAGCTATGTCTCCATGTCTAACAAATACCCCCCCCCCCTTTTACACACACCCTTTACAGGCATTGTAGGATCTAGTAGATATTACCCCAACTGGTGTAAACTATCAACATAATTTGGCATAAAACGGATCTTTGGTGCACTCCAAACATAGGTTCGGGCGGTTTTTACATTGAACGTATACATATCAAAGCATTTTTACAGCTCTCAAAATAAAACTGAACAGAAAATTTCCCCAAGCAGAATACAATTTGTGAACTGGTCACTATGTCATTCAACGACCATGTCAACCATTCCCTAACGTATTCATTTGCTTCTACAGACAATATTCCTGTTATTCTTTTTTAAAGATATCTACGAACGGATTTGCTGGAACTAGAAGAGCAATTTTAATTGAAGCTGGTATCCATGCTCGTGAGTGGATTTCACCAGCTGCCATATTGTATATTACTGACAGGGTAAGTATAATAAGTTTCTATTTTTCTTTCCGTGACATACCAAAAGATACAAACGCCCCTCGCCCCCCCCCCCCTGCTCGATAATGTATAATATATTATGTCCTTCCTTTTCAGTTATTGGCTACATATACTACGGATAGCCAGGCTGCATATATGTTGAACAACTTTGATTGGATTATTATACCAGTAACCAATCCTGATGGTTATGAATATTCACACACAAATGTAAGATTGTTTTATAATATCTATATTAAACACCATTAATCATGTCCGTTATGTTTCTATACACCTCATGAATTAGTTGTATGAAAAATACTTGGATGAAGAGGAATCGCATTACCTTAAGTTCACACTTTTAAGTTTATGAATTAAAACTTCTAGAAGATTTAACGCGTTGGAGATTTCCCTCTAAAGAAACATTTATACTAAGAGACCCGGGAGTTGTTAGAGGTCACACTTAAATAACCTGAAATATACCTCCATATCGACCACACATTTGTGAGATTCACTGGGGGCATATTTCAGCAAGTGCTATGGGTACCAATCGTGCCCCTCTACTTGCTAAATTATTTCTGTATTCTTAAGTCCGAATTTATGTGGGGTTGCTTTAAAAAAAAAAAAAAATTACTTCGATCTTTCAATCAGTATTGATGTAAAGCTCTAATATGCTAAGCAGCAAAAGGAACGTCAGGTTGGTATGTTACTCTGAATAGACGCATTGCATAAAACTTGCCAAATGTTTTTATTGTATATTTGTGACCACATCTCCAACTTTAACTGAGCAATAAGGCTCCTTCCCAAACACAGAATTGAACCCAGGAAATGTTCTCAAAAACGCAACCTGACTTCTGAGATGGTAATGTGTTCTCCATGATTTTCATATAACTCATGCTGCACCTGCTGTTCACCCTGGTTGAATCATTCACACTACAACGTCAGCAGCATGCCACGACTCACGACAGCTCAGAGGAACCAGGCGCTTGGAAGACTCGACGCTGGCCACACTGCCCAAGCCGTTGCCAATCACTTCCAGGTCAATGTTCGGACCATCTATAGGCTTCAGTAACGCTTTCAGGCCACCAATACCACGGCTGATCACCCCCGAACTGGTAGACCAGGGGTTACCATATGGCATAAGCCGACAAGACCGCCATGTTGTGCGACAGCACGTGCAGAATCCCTTCACACAGGCATCTGAGACAGCACGTCAGACAGTTGGAACACACGGAAGACCCATCAGTACCGATACAGTGCGCCGACGTCGCACCAGAGAGAACATCCATTGCCGTAGACCTTACCGTGGACACACCAGGTACTGATGTATAGACTGTGTACAGACTCTAAACCTTCTGGTAATGTCTTGGAATTGTGATGAATTAATCACTAATGTGTCGACATACTGTTAAAAAAATTGCTTTGATCCATTTAGTAATTCGTTTTCTAGAATGATTTGATTAAAGTGCCTCTCTGATTTTGAAATATACTGACGTTTTTTTTTTTTTTTTGCTGTTTAGTATATTTGCATATTTTGATATTCTTCAATCTTTAAAGAGGCTTGAAACGGTCAACTATGTTCGTAATTTCCCATTCAAGAAGCCCACTTTTCCCGTATATTTGATTGATTTACTGACCTTCACAAAAAGTTGTATTTATTACAGTATCTATGTATTCCGATTGCATTTGCTTGTCGTTTTATCTATTAATTTGATGGTTTTTACGATTTTTTTTCACCACTTACAATAGGATCGCTATTGGAGAAAGAACAGAGTTTTCAGGGGAGGTAATTGCAGGGGAGTTGATCTGAACAGAAACTTTGATGCCAGATGGGGAAGTGAGTAAACCAAAACCACTGTTATACATATAATAAAAAAGACAATTATCCGAGACTCACACATTCACACTTTTAAATCTAAATCTAGTGATACATGTAATTGTGCAAATACTGTAGTAAGATCCGTAAAAATTTATTAGATATAATTGTTCATCTGGCTTTATCATTATCAAGCCACTGGAGTTCTCTCATGCTGCAATAGGGAGACAATCTTCCGATATTCGTGCAATAGCTCTTTTAAATAACGAAAGAGTCTTAGTAGTAAACATGTAATTGTGGTAAAGGTGTAATAAGAACCATGGAAATTTATTAAAGATAATGGTTTATCTTGTTTTATTAAGCCACTGGTGTTAGCTCAAGCTGCTCTAGCGACATATATCCTGGTACTGGACCAATGTCTGAAGTTGAGGCCCAAAATGTCCAAGAATTGGTAGCCGATATCCAAAATGGCGGAACCCGACTGATAGGATATTTGGCCGTACATTCCTACTCGCAGATGATCCTTCTTCCCTATTCCCACACCTTCGGGTCCAGACCACCAAATTATCAAGATCTAGTAAGTTACGCTGATATTATAGTAACTCATTTGTCTTCCTGATTGGGTCATCAAATGCCGTCTATATGGAATATCAATAATTCTAACTATTGATCATCTTGATTATCGGACATGGTCTCGATCTTAACTAGATGTCGTAGAGCTCGCGGTCGTTGCTTCAGGAATATAACTATTGATAAGCTACAGTCTGTAAGAAGTGTTTTGGGATTAATCCATACAAGAATAGAAAGGTAGCGTTCTTAAAGCACCAATTGGGTGACACAAGCACCAATTAAAGCCATCGCGTGATCAAGGACATGTACCCGGGAATAGACTGCTTAGGTTTAACCAGGTACAGCTCAATAGTGGTTGGTTGGTGATTAAATTGTAAATATCTTTGAACTGCAGGAATTTAAATTTCGCTGCATCAGTACATTTTGTCACAGCTTGTCAGATTTCCCATTGGTTCTAACTTTTCATGGCCAGAAAAGTGCATTTATAACGACATGTTATTTTTAGGATAACTATGGTATTTCTGCCGGTAATGCCCTGTATAACGTGCACGGCAGACGATTCCAAGTCGGAACAGGACCCGAATTGCTATGTAAGTAAATAATTTTATGAAATAAATTTTCAAATTGTTCTTAGTGAGTTTTAATTTGTTTTAAAATCCCGATCGTGTTTATACGTTCATAATATTACAAATTTAGGTGGCAACTTTGGGAATTCTCATGTTTTTGTATTTATAATCGAAATGATAACTATGATGTCCGAATCCTTGCCATCGAACCAGGTTCGTCCGTTCCCTACAACCATTTAATTCTGTGAAGTGTCCGCTGAGGAATAAACATGACAGAGCTTAGTTGTCCCCTCGCAATGCTATAATTAGCCTCATTTGACGCCTACAACCAGCCCTTTGCCCACTTACATAAACAAGTACAAGCGGTTGCCATGCAAGATACGCAAGAGATGGACGGGCTCATTATATACTCTTCAAAAAAAGTAGGGGATATTCAGAAACAATACAAAACTGCGGACATGCAAAGCTGTTTTTATTAGAGGTAAACAGTGTATGTTAATAACAGGCCAATTGCCTACACATGAACATAAACAGTTCATATGGGCGGCTTATCTGACGGCACCATTTCACTCGCAAAGAGATACACTGTCAAAAGTGAAAATGGACGTTTTTGATATTTGTCTTAATAATGAGTAATTGCTCTACCAATCCTCAGACATTCAGCAATTTGTCGTGGCATGCTCCTAATCAACCGTCCAATCAAGATTTGGGGCGATCTGACCCACTCCTCTTGCAGTGCCACGGCCAATTCTTGCAGTGTTGTCCGTTGAGGTCGACGAACACGTCTCCCGATCATGTCCCAGACATGCTCTATAGGGGAAAGGTCAGGATTCATGGCTGGCCGAGGCATATGGACAATATGGTGACGCTTGGGGTAGTTATTCACGACACGAGCGCGTTGGGCACGGGCATTATCATCTTGAAAGATGAAACGTCGACCTGCACATTGATCAAAGGGCAGAACTGTCCGTGCCAGGATGTGGTCACGGTAGTACACACCAGTGACCCTTCCTTGAACAATATGCAAGTCCGTTCTGCCAGTCATGGTGATTCCTCCCCACACGATAACAGACCACCGCCCGAATCTGACATGCTGGCTGACGTTAACGTTAGCATGACGCCCATTTACAAACGCGAGCACGCCTATCGGTGAAATCCAGAGTAAATCTGGACTCATCTGAGAACATTACACGCGCCCATCGACGATTACCCCAATTTCTACGCAGCCTACACCATTGACGTCTGCTTGCCATGTGCTGGCGAGTTAATGGAGGCACAACACGCGGTCGTCGCGCATGGTACAAGTTTACAGAAAGCTGATTGGCCGCTTGTCTTCGATTTCGCAGGATCTGTGTACGAATGTATCGATCCTGGGCTTGTGTAGTGGCTCTAGGACGACCTGAACGAGGTCTATCATCAGCATTGTCTGTTTGTTGGTACCGGTTCCACAGTCTGCTGATCACAGACTGTGACACATAAGCATGTTGACTACTGCTCGCTGTGTAGAACCCATTTGAAACATGTCAATAGCACGTAGACGTTCATCATGTTGAAGACGTCTCATTGCAAATTAAACGTAACACACTAAAGCAAAGACACGCTAAACAGTCAATCTTATGCAAGAACCGATAGGAAAGCAAACATGGATAGGATAAACCAGCACGCGGCAGTTTTCATTAACCCTTCCTTGAAGCGTCAAATTTGACAATGAACCCCTCCCACGTGTATGGCGCTATTGCGTGTCGCACGTGTAGCTCAGTGGTTCGATTGGGGCGATAAGTTCTTCATCTGTAAACATACTCTCAAAGCATGTCAAGTGTTCATGACTATTTATCATATCACAACCTGAAAAGATATTTGCATTTCAATATCACCTACTTTTTTTGAAGAGTATGTAGTCCTATCGCGTTCAGAAGGTTTTCAGCAAATGAAGTTGTTTATCGCTGAAGATCGATAATATTCGTCCTCTCACGAACCCGATGTCTCCCACCAAATTTGAAAAAAGATCTGTTAAAAAACCGTAGCCGCTATCGCATTCACAAAGCGTGCATTAATCTGGAACGATAGGTCGCGGAAACCTGATTATCAAAATGGTTCGTCCTCTCATGACCGAAATGCTTCAAACCAAATTTGAAAACAAAAACATTAAAAGCTATTGCTTCTATCGCGGTCACATGGTTTTCAACAAAGGTTCTGTATATTTTGCTTAAAGGAGCTAAATCGCTAATATTTCGGACCTAGAAATTGACACAAATAGGTCGCAACGCATATAATAATGTAATATGACTGTATATAAACTGATTTACATTCAATCGTTTCCGTTTTATTTCAAAACAGTTATGTTCAGCGAAAAACGCCAGAAGTCTCAATCGAATGGAAAATCTAGCGTCTGGTTATTCGAGTCTACGCTAATAGTATTCATTGCGCATGCTCTCCATATAAAAATATAAAGTCACCCTTTGACATGACTTGTAGAATATGTCTAGCCTTGTTTTTCAAGTCGCTTGTTGCAAATGACGCTGAAAGGCATTATGGTACACGATTCGTGTACCAATGGTAAAGGGGATCACGTGGCTAAAGGGGTAAGACGCTGGCTTGCTAGCCTGGAGGTCGGGTGTTCGATCCCGGCATTGGCCGAGAAAGTTCATCCAGATTTTCCGGCGTGGTCCCCCCTTGTCAGTGATGCAGGACGGAGGGCCTGACAAGGGCAGCTGTCTAGTCCTTCTGATGAGACGAAAAACCGAGGTAAAAGACCCCTTGGCAGTTGGAATTCGATATAAGAGTAGGCGATAGTGCCGCTGCCCGGGTAAAATTTCCCTCATAGCACACTGTATGGCGTATGCCCGTCTTCATTAGCCCAGTTTAGGAGCAGAACAGTAGGACGTTAAACCCCATTTCATTTCATTTCACCAATGGTAAAATGTTTATTTTGTCTTAAATATTGGATATCAGAAGGCCATCTTTTCCCGGTAAGATCACAACATAAATGTTGATTTAAATTAACCAATAATTCGTGTTTTCGATGTCGAAGATTTTGGATGATATTGAGTTAGAGACTTAGCTACTTTAAAAGGCTCCAACATCGAACACATCCAGGATCATTTGATCCATAACACATATTTTAAGTTTCAACTATATTGCGGTCCCTAAAGGGTCCACAATTTTGGTATACATATTTCATGCTTTGCCACTATTGAAGCAAATTTTGCTTAAAGGTGATGGACCGTTTTGGCCTGATTTTCATGAAATTCGAACTCATCCTTGATTATTGCGTAACGCAAATATATTTAAACAGTTTGTAAAATTAAATAAGGGGCGCACAAGCTAAAGACACGATTTACCGTACAATCAGGGGCAATAATCCAGGAAGTGACAGTCCAATACGTGCTAAAATCGAGCTCATCCGGGGTCCATGGGATATAAACATATATTTAAAGTTCGATCAAAATCGGATAAAATTTGGGACCTGTAGAGTGTCCACAAACAAATGTGAACGGACGTTCGGACAGATGGACAGGGTGACGACACAATACGTCAACATGAAATAGTAATATTAATATTGATATTATGGATGGAGACAAAACCCATCACGCTCCCACAGTAAGAAATAATAAGTGGTAATAGGCTACTGTGACTAACGGAAGTGTGCATTGACCGATGTTCTTTCCTTTTCAGATGCTGCTTCTGGTGGTTCAGATGATTGGGCTATTATGGGAGGTTCTGTAAAATATGCTTACACCTATGAACTGAGACCAGCTTCAGCAAGTGCAGGAGGTTTTGTTCTACCAGCCAGTCAGATTGTTCCTAGTGGAGAAGAACTATTTGCATCTTTCTACAATCTTGCAATCAGCTTTAATAATGACCTTTAAGCCAATCGTTAGGTGTAATACTGATTTACGCGTTGAACTGGCGCATAATGAATGATACAGAGAGGTGCCTAGGAATAAATAAATGACATTTCCCAAGGATTATGTGTTGTTCTTTTATAATGCTTTACTCCATAGATCCGCCCTCGCAGCAGCTGTGTCTCGAAAATGAAAATCATAGACGGCAACTTCTGTGAAAGTAAAATTTGGATGTTGACCAAATTTGATAAGGACCCTTTATGTCTTCAATAAATCTGATCTCTTTTGTGGTTACAAGCTTTTTCAGTATATCTCTGAAACAGAAAGTCCTAGAATGTTGAAAATCAACAAGAATCATTTGTCCAATTTCACATCAAATTTGAAAATTATTATAAATCATCCTTTCACAGTCCAAATGCTTAACGCCAGATTTGAGCAAATCCATTGAAACTGTAGCCTTTCTGATGTTCGGAAAAAGGATAACTTTGGAAAATCGATACTGCGCGCTCTCTCTCTCTAGGCAACCACACGGTGCTTCATGTAAAATTTGAATACATCTTTCTAAAACAGGAGCCTCTATCGCGTTCCCAAGATTTCGACAAAGGGTGTAACATCGGAACGGGATGTCGAGGCGAGGGCGAGTAAGAGCGAAGGGGGGGGGGGGGTAGGGAGACACATCCACACACACACTCGGCACAAACTAAGTCATTTGGGAACTGACATGGTTCAATTTTATTTCAATAATTCGCTTGTACGTAGGTTTTTTTTTATAAGTTGGACAAGTGATTTAACTCCTTGTCACGTTCCAGTGTGGGATCGAAACCTCACCACTTTACTCAATAACAGACTTTTGGTCTAAAAAGCACACGTGTTAGACCATTTAACCACCCAACCCCCATGCCGAAAGCAACTCGTGACAGAGTAGTGTCAAGCGAACGGCAGAGTTGCCATAACGCTCCTTTAAACTAGGATTTTCGGTCCCGCTTCAAGCCTTCCAGTGGGACTAGCTAGAGCAGAATACAGGGGCTGTGTGGCAGAGGACGGAGCCCACGATGTTCTTAGGCTTTATGTACAATTTTAGTGCTAGTGATGCTAAATATTAGATCCGTGTTGGCAATGCAGTCATAAGAGTATGTCTGTATATGATGATAATATAAACATAAAAACGCACGTGGATTCCTAGTTCGCAGTAAAATCAAGCAAGTAAATGCTTCCGAAGTTATAATTTCATTTTTTCAAAAACCGTGCCCTGATCTTTCTGTGTAGGATAAAGCACGAGACTGAGGCAGGGGCGGATTGGGGTCGGGAACCGGCCCGGGCTCCCGTGTCGGAGCGGCCCCTTTTACTGACAGCAGAGTCCCAACGGGTGGGGGTGGGGGTCCGGCGGCTCTCCCCCTGGAAAATTTGAAAAATGAACCTCAAATATGGGATTTTGTGGCATATCTGATAATCTCTGTCAAATAATATATCTCATAAATCGATTAATTTAGGCCCAAACCCCGACCTTCAAGTAATTTACAACCATCAAGCTGTGAAATTATCATATCGTCATATTATTAATTAACGTGTTATCATTGTATCGTCAAGAGTTAAGAGTCAAGAGAATTTAACTGGTTAAAAAATGGGACTACACTACATACAACATGATCATCATCGCTCCATGGCCGGTCCAATACCCCCCCCCCCCCCCACATATAATGTTCAACAGAAAAGGTTCTTTTTAGATGAATTGGACAAAGGGATTTTTATACGCCCACATTTTCATGTGGACGTATATTGTCGTCGCCCCTGTCCGTCCGTCCACAATTTGTTTGTGGACTCTCTACAGGTCACAATTCTTGTCCGATTTTGACAAAACTTGAAATATAGGTTTATCCCCAAAAGATCTCGGCTGCTTTCGATATTGGCATGTATCGGATCGAAACTTCATGGATTATGGCCCCTGTTTGTACGAAAAATCATGTTTTTAGCTTGTGGACCCTATAGAGGTCACAATTTTTATCCGATTTTGTTGAAACTTGACATGTAAGTTTATAACCCAAAGATCTCAGTTCCTTTCGATATTCGTGCATATCGGACCGTAACTGCCTGAATTATGGCCCCTGATTGTACGAAAAATCGCGTTTTTAGCTTGTGGACCCTATAGAGGTCATAATTTTTATCTGATTTAAAAAACCGTATTATTATATCACCATTACACCCTAAGGAAGGTTGAGTTCGAATTTCGTGAAAATCAGACCAAAATTGCCGGACAAAATGGCCGCCATTTGTACGCGAATAGTGTAAAAATATGGTATATGTCAAGGTTGTGGACCCTGTAGAGGTCGCAATTTTAATTCGATTTTGATGAAACTTGAAATGCATGTTTATAACCTAAAGATCTTGGTTCCTTTCGATATTGTCGCATATCGGATCGTAACTTCATGAATTATGGCCCCTGATTATACGAAAATCAATCGACTCTTTTAGGGTGTGGTCCCTCTGAAGGTCACACTTATTATCTGATTTTAAAAATCGTTTGAATATATCACTGTAACACCATAATAAAGGTTGAGTTCAAATTTCCTGAAAATGAAACCAAAACTGCTGGACAAAGTGGCCGCCGCTTGTACGCGAAAGGTGTAAAAATATGGTATATCAAGGTTGTGGACCCTGTAGAGGTTACAATTTTAATCTGATTTTGATGAAACTTGAAATGCATGTTGATCTTGGTTCCTTTCGATATTTGCGCATATCGAATTGTAACTTCATGAATTATGGTCCTTGATTGTAGGAAAAATCATTTTCTTTTTAGCTTGTTCTCTATCCATCTCTCAAAAATGTGGGCGTATCCTGCCTGGCAGCCGCTGGTTTTCATTTTTTGTCCGACCGGCCCTTCGGGTGATTGCCCGATCGCCCGATGGCCCAATCCGCCCCTGGACTGAGGTTATGCTGGGGAAAGAAAGACTGAAGAAAATAACACGAGAACAAATTTGAAAAACTGAGGCCAGCAGGCCGAGACTATTTCTGTCGAGGGTTTTTTTCTGAAGTCTTTCTTCCCCAGCATAACCGAAGTCGAGGACTTTATCTTGCTTATAAACCGTCTATGTTTACATGTATGCAAGATGAGAATATCCCAGAATTCCCATAAGAAAAACCTTATATCATGTTTTCGTAAGGAAAAAAAACCCTATCCAGGAAGAATAACACGGTACAGGTTTAAAGAAAAACTTTCAGAAGAATAACCCCAAATTTCCCTGTTTTTATCCAAAGCCGCCCCGACTTTCAGACCACAGGAACTGTGGATAGACTGAATGTCACATTTACAACCCACTTTACCTGTACTATAATTAGGTAAGAGAGGGAATTACAATCTGGGCGAGAGAGGCCCAAATTGATCAGCACCTACCTGTCACAATCCCAGTGGGACCGATTAGGAACAACGCGTTGGGTTGGAGCGAGAATGGCAGTAGGACCCTTACTGTCCTACTGTCAGCCCGCGCCCATCTTTTTCTTATTAGAGCGAACCTGCCACTTACTATCCTAGGGAAACTGAATAGGTAACATAGGTTATTAGGTCTGGATACTCACTATTGCGCACTAAACCTCTACTTGCTTTTCTGTCAAGCTGTCTGTGATATCAAATGTTAAGCAGATGTTAAAGATACATTATGGGAGATTCGATAACGAGTTGGCAGTTCTCCCTATAATAGTTAAAAACTAAATAATGTAAATGCAATTTGCTGAAAATTTCATTCAAATTGATCCACTATGAACCGAGAACTAAGCCGTTGAAATTTCCGGCTAGCCTTGATCATCATTACTAAAGTCAGTACGATAAACAGCATAGTCTCGATTATCCATTTAATCGTTAAATCGTGAAGGAAAGTTATGCAGTAAATCGGATCATAATCCATTAAAAATCGCAGGCTAGCGATGCCATCTAGAGTTGATTATGGTCTGGATAGGTTAATTAATGTCTAATTAATAATTTAGATAACATTTCAGGCCTAAAGAAAGACCTACAATAGACAGATTTAGCTCTCGCATAATGTAGGTTTAAATCTCATCTGGTACTAGTAGCTAACCACGGGATAATCATAATCAGTAATTGTAATCGGCCGTAATCGATTACAAATTTTCAAGTAATCAGTTGACATAAATTTTGATTGCATAAAATTTAATCGATTACTGTTGAAACTATGCTGTAATCATTACTTGTATGATTACATTATAAGTTTGCATATAGACTTGCTGGCGTTACCGGCGTGGTTCTCCCTTGTCAGTGATGCAGGACGGAGGGGCTGACAAGGAAAGCTGTCTAGTCGTTCGGATGGGACAAAAACCGAGGTCCCGTGTACACATTGGCGTGCACGTAAAAGATCCCTTGGCAGTTGGAATTCGATATAAGAGTAGGCCGTAGTGCCGCTGTCCGGGCAAAATTTCCCTCATAGCACAGTGTATGGCGTTTGCCCGTCTTCATTAGCCCAGGTTAGGAGCAGAACAGTAGGACGTTAAACTCCATTTCATTTCATTTCATTTGCTGGCGTTAATAACCGTGTGTTGTTGTTAAAGGCGGTTCTATTAATTAAAATCTAAGCTTGTTTTGGTTTGTTGTATTTATACAAACGTTCGTTAAAACTGTCGGCGACTATCGTAGATTGCACTAAGATCGAATTCAGCAATGATCGCCGACCAGTTGCTATCGGTCGTACGATTGAACGCGAGCGCACTCACATCGACACCGATACACCGACTTGTGGCGTCCTCACGAATAGATCATGTGACTCGTTCAAAATGGCGCCACACAGAATGCAGGTACGCGCACACAAATTTTCCCCATAAAAATACAAAATATGCCTAATTATTCCATAATCTCTCCATCCAATTAGCGAAATTATAGTGAGAAAGCAATTTAAATTACCTCGAGGGATTCAAATTTTTGTTTATGATTTTCATTCGCCGCTCTGATTGGCTAAAATTTATAGCGCAGTCGGCAACCGATCGTAGAAACGCACACATCGACGATTACGAGTCGGCGACTGGTTCCGTCGCGTCGTAGAAGTAGAACATGTTCAACTCCTGCGACTCAGTCGCCGATCGTGAAAAACTGTCGCACGACGGTCGTAGCTAGACTCAGATCGACTAGAATCGGCGACGGAAATCGTGCGACAATCGGCGGCAGTCGCCGGAAAACCAGTCGGCGACCATTTGAGTCGCGTCGTAAGGTCGATCTGAGCCCCCCTTTAAGTTTAGTCCAGTGTAGTCAATTTTTGTTTTATGACCTATTGTAACCTTTGATAAGATCGACAAGTACTAATTAGAAAGCAACGAAAGTTATTCTATTAGTACTTTATATACATGCTAACAAGTTCCAAGCAGAAAGCATCTATCTTTTGTCCTCAAACATACAGACCAGTCCTCTATTAAAAGTGCCTCGCGTATCATAAAACTCTAAACTAGGGTTACTTATGATATGGTATAGATTATATATGTTTTTGAATAAAAGATCAGATTTTATTCAGGTCTTAAACATACATTATGCAAGAGCTAAATCTGCCTATTGCAGGTCTTTCTTTATGGCTGAAATGTTATATAAACTATTAATTAGACATTTATTAACAAAACAAGACCATAATCAATCAAATCCCGATGGCATCCCATACTCGAGATTTTAACTAGATTAGAACGGTAACGGTTCGCCATTTGAAAATTTAATTTAAGAATGGGAAAGCGAGGCTAAGTGTCGAATATACCAGTGCCTTGATTACCACTATGCACAAAACTACAAACAGTGATAACTTGGCTAAGAATGAAGTAATTTGAATGAAAAGTTCAATATTTTCATTTTACATTATCTATTTTTGAGCTATTATATGGAAGGGTATCGCTGCCAATATTAAATGCTCTGCTACAATGTCTTTTCCATTGATTATATGTCAAAAGTACAAAGTCCTAATAAGGGTAATGATAAAGTCAAAATACCTCTAAGGCAAGAGTTAAAGGTCAAACGTCAAATGTTAAAAGTGTTAAATGACAAATGTTTTGTGGGAAAATGCTTTTTTTTGACGTGTCTGCATTTTACATTCATCTTATTACATTTTACATTTGCGCTCTGCCACATCCTATTTGTCCTTCACGCTTTCTACTTTGCATGTTTCGCACATCACCAACTTTCACGTGACTTATTAACACACTATAAGCCGAAACAAGGATATTCACGACACTATAACAGGAAATCAGCCTAGCACACAATAAGAAATTTACTTACCTTGACACTTTTGATGGTACTTTACCATGATTACGGGGAGTGGGTTGGGGGCTGTGCAATGTCCAAATATGAAAATCCAGGTATCATGTTACATATTAGTGAACAGCCCGTTCATTTCTGTTTGTAAATATGTTAATAGTTTTCTGGTACAATCGTATTTTCATAATTCAAATCCAATAGATATCACATTATTAAAGGGGTTTTCAAGTAAAAATACTGGTCGAAATACGAAATTCCAGATACCTGATTGCTCTTTTCAAATATGCAAATAATTTTCTGGCAAATTCATATTTGCTTAACTTTACAAAATAAGATTCAAGTTGAAGTGAAGGAAGGGTTGGGGGGGGGGGGGGCTAAACTAAAATAAAGATACGGGGCTTAATCAAAAATTCTCTATGTCCATACTAAAAAATATATAGTCATTCCTCTCTTTAGATATATTATTTATTTGTTGGGTACAATGCTTATATATTGTTGGGGGTTTTTAATGGATAAAAGTTAATTAGGCTGTACTCAACTCTGTTTATAGAGACCGGAAGGGGGGGGGGGTAAAATTTCAAAATAAGGGTATTAATACGAAATTCCAGTTATTGTGTTATAAATTACTGGAAAGTAGGTTTCTTTGGCTCTTTGAATCGATCAATTATTTCCTGGCACATTCATGGCTATGCACGGTCGTCTAGAAAGTTTCTTATAGTGTGCCAGCTTGATTTACTGTTATGGTGCGGTGAATATCCTTATAGTGTGCTTGTGCCGGGTTTCCATATATGTTAATAAGTCACGTGATATCCTACATTTGAATATGAAAGTTGATGCTAAAGCGCGAAGGACAAATGGGATGTGGCAGAGCGCAAATGTAAAATGTAATGAGAGAAATGTAAAATGTAGACACGTCATAAAAAAGCATTTTCCCACAAAACATTTGTCATTTAACACTGAACATTTAACGTTTTACATTTAACTCTTGCCTTAGAGGTATTTTGACTTTATCATTATCGGTTTTAGGACTTTGTACATTGTACTTTTTACATATCATCAATGGAAACGGCATTGTCGCAGAGCATTTAATATTGGCAGCGATACCCTTCCATACTATTATAGCAAGAATGGTCAGCTCTTTATCTAAATCTTACATAATGTATCTTTAAATATTTTTTAAAAGAAATAATCAGTAATTGAATCCATTACATTGCAAAAGTAATTTTCATATGATCAATTACATTGAAAAATTGCTGTAATCATTTAGAAATAATCAGTAATTGAATCCATTATGTTGCAAAAGTAATTGTAATTAGCATAGTTTGTCCTTCTTGGCATGATGAAGAACCCTCCTTAAAATCCAGCAGGAAATAAATATTCTGTATGACTGTGTTACTAAGTTCGTACATGTACAGTTGGAAGAGAAATGGAAATGAAATGGGTTTAACGTCCTACTTTTCTGCACTGACAGAGCTAAGGAAGACAGGCTTACATCATACCGTGTGCTTTAACAGAAACTGTGGCAGGACAGCCGTGCTAAAACCTACTCTTATATCAAATTCCAACTGTCAAGCAATTTCCAACTGTCAAGGGTTCTTCTACATGCATGCCAATGTGTACACAGGACCTCTTTTTTTTGTCCCATCCAAATGACTACACTGTCCTTATCAGGCAATCCATCCTGTACAACTGAGAAGGGGGAACCACGCCAAAAAATCCAGAGGGACTTTTATGGCCAACACTGGAAGTGAACCTAAGACCTCCTGGTTGGCGAGCCAGTGTATGTCTTACTCACTGAACCACCATGGCTCCCTGTACCGTTAGAAAGTTGCTTCAAAATTTAAATAAACATAATAAAACTAGTATTAAATGACTGGTCTTTAATTACATAAATATAGTCAATTGATATACAAATATTTACAGTATTTTAACATATATATAAAATAACTATTCAGAAGTAATTAGATCTATGTATTCAACCTCATTGATTATCTTAAATAATGTAGGTATATAATGGTTAGAGTTAATAAAAACCATTATTGTCTATATCAGAGACAAGTAGATAATAAACACATTCACATATTGCACAGAATTGCAGTTTCATGATTTACGCCAGGTGCTATACACAAGGCAGATTATGCCTACTCTTCCTAATCACTTTAAACCACTTTTCATAATATAAAGAATTCATATAGTTTTAAAAACACATGGCTGTGCTTTTGCATTTAAAACAAATGTTGATGAGAGTTGATGAGAAATATTCCCGGTAAGTGGTGGTCGATATGTTAGATAGCTAAAAGAAGTGGTGAATAAAATATAATAACCCTCAGTTTGTCAACTAGCTAAAAATATATTACAGGGATAAAAAAAAAACCGCCATTGGTTAAAAGCAGTCACCAAATTAATGAGATGTCTGTAGTTATCAAGAGACTTAATTCCCTGCTGACAAAGGGTTATTTTGATTTATGTGAACAGTTTAAAAGCTCAATGCGTCGTTAGCAATTTTGCTAAAATATCAAATTTCTCAAGGCATATTACATGCTAAATAGTTACTCAGATTGATTAATTAACATTTAATTAAGAAAAAATTAAAATAATAATGCTTGATTTAATCGGATTTAAACTAGGTCCATCAGGTTTTTTTCACGCTACCAAAAAAAGATGGTGGCGTCTTCTTACGCAACATAGCTTGATGAATTTTCAATTTATCATAACTTTGATAATACTCAATGAAATTGAACCACTTTTGGAATGATATTCCTATTAGAGATTTAACTTTCAGAATATTGTAGTTTGCAAGGGATTCCTATAGCGCTAAATGACGCATCAAGCCTTTAACTGTTTGTGAATTTAATTCATAGATATTAATATAAAATAACATTCAAACCAAGCTGTCATTCAAAATAGTATCTGCTCAAGTTGATATACTAATCTGAAACAGACTATAGTCACAATCAGACTATAGTTCACATTTTTTGGATTATCCACTGATTAGTGACTAAATTATAGATAAAATAGTTGAGTAAAACAAATTTTCCTTGGTCTTAGGCCATGGCAGGGTAAATTAAAAATTATTAACAGCGTCATGTTATTCTAGATGACAGTCTAAACATAACGCAGTTATGTTCGAATCAAACCCCGTTCTTCCCCAGTATCAGATGAAAGAGTTGATGTAGAAATCGCTCTATTTACTGAGCCCTGGTAGCTTACTTCAGGAACAGGTGGGTCACAATCTCTTGTTATAACGTCATCATCTTTCTTTGGACACTATAAAAATATAAACTTTAGTATCAATAAATAATCTACATTGAGCTAAAAGTATACAAGTGGGGATCCTTTGGGAGTAAGTCTTAGCATTATGCCATTCGGTGAGAAAGTTCATCAAGTGTGAATACATTTGGATTCAAATACTTTCCAAACAGAGTAATTCCTGTCCACATGAGCCTACAACTGTACTGCGGTCAGCCGCACAATCTCTAAAGTTTGTATAAGAACAAACAAGCGGGTTTATGAAAGTAATCGTAGATGGCTACGATTGACTTATAGATTTCCAATTATACTGGCGGACATAATATCATTCTAAAACGCATATTATTTTTTTTGTTTCTAAAAATTTGGCTTGCAAGTAAGAAACTTGTGCATAATGAATAAAATGTGCAAGTTACTGTAAAACCATCAGATTGTCCAATCTCAATTTAAAGGAGCTAAATCGCTAATATTTGGGACCTAGAAATTGACACAAAAGGGTCACAACTCGCAATGCATATAATAATGTAATATGAATGTATATAACTGATTAACATTCAATTGTTTCCGTTTTTACTCTAATTTCAAATTCGTCAGAAGTCTCAATCGAATGGCTATCTCTAGCGTCTGGTTATTCCAATCTACGCCGATAGTTTTTATTGTGCATGCTCTCCAGATAAGAATATGTTGTCACCGTTTGACATGACTTGTGGAATAGTTTAGCCTCATTCTTCGAATCCCTTGTTACAAATGGCGCTGAAACGCATAATGGTAAAATGTTTATTTTGTCTTAAATATCGGATATCAGAACCTCATCTTTTCCTGAGAAGATCACAACATCAATGTTGATTTAAATTGACAAATAATTCCTGTTTTCAATGTCGAAGACTTTGGATGATATTGAGTTAGAGACTTAGCTACTTTAAAGGTAATTTGCTCAGTCTTATTTGAGTCTTGATGATTCAGCATCTGTTTTGATGGAAAGACCAGTACATATTTTAAAAATTAGTTTTAAAACTTCCCCAATCTCAGATCCGCTTACAAAATGTCAATAAATAGAACACATAGGCTCTAATCACAAACTAGTCAACCATCTTTTCTTTAGAACAATCAGCCTAAATTGTCATAGACACTGTTACCCAGTCCAACATTATACATTGCATAGCCAGGAAATTTTCACCTCATGAACATTCTTCATCAAATAGAACAAGAGTTATTGTGTCCAAAGTCTTGATCAATGAACTGCTTATTGCTACTTAGCACAATTAGCATAAGCAGAAAATCCTCATTATCAAACTCAGTAAAGGGTCAACAAATTTTAATTATATGACATCAATTCCAGCCAATTAATTAGTCAACGTTAATACTCACCTTTTCACCAGACCAGATATGACGAAATTCTTTTCTCTTACAAGCAATAAGAAAAGTGACGATAAGAGTGCATGGTACCAGATATAATAAAGCTGGTTGACCTTTCTCCATAAAAGCTAATGCCAAGAATGTAAATGCTAATCCTACACTGTATGCTGAAATGAAAAATAAATAATACTGATCAGTTTCTAGATTGAGGGCATTTTGGGATAGTAAATCTCTGTATATAGCTCCAATACAGCGCTTCAGAGGATGCTTGAAATTATAAAGCAACACTGCCCTACAACCTAACCCAAGATTGATCGAGAGAAGAGGGGGGAGGAAGAGACGAGATTAGGTATGGGATCAAATCCACGCCACATGTATCAATGACAAGACTTTATGATCAAAAGTGCATGCGTTAGACCACTCAATGCTATGACACAAATAAGAACCAGGCCCAATCTTGTCTAAATGAGCTAGACAATCCTCCATAAACAGGGGTAAACAGAACTCTCTGAGTTGATCAAATTATCATTGTGACAAATATACCCAGATAAGTCAATTTTCAATAAGAATAGAATATATACTGACCTATAAGTGATGCTATATAATATATCCTAGAACTACCTACATGTAGATCAAACCAATGATTATAAGATATAAGTAAACCTGTAACAAAATATCAAATAATCATTTATTACACTTCAACACAATCGCTTCAAGCCATAAAATTATACTTTTAAATGAGGGTCGATAAAAGTACACTCTTGTATAACAAAATAATGACCTTCAAACAAATAATGACCTTTGGAAAAAATGAATACATTTATTTAAAAAAATGAATACATTTATTTAAAAAAATCAATACATTTATTTAAAAAAATGAATACATTTATTTAAAAAAATGAATACATTTATTTAAAAAAATGAATACATTTATTTAAAAAAATGTATACATTTATTTAAAAAAATGAATACAATTTTTTAAAAAGAATGAATATATCTGTTTGAGAAAAACACTTTGACATAGTTTCATTGTATTGAAAAAGACTACATATCCTGCTCACCTGGTACAAGCACATCTCCAAAACCTAATAAAGAATATGGTCGATCCTGACATATTGATAGTGCTGATGTTAGTATCTTTGGGAAAATAAAGACCATAGGAAGCTGTAAATAAAAGTTTTAGGACATCAAATAATAAACTGAAAGACACTGTTTACAACAAGATAAATTTACCCAGTTGTCCTGTTCACAGATGTGGTAGCAGATAAATAAAAGTTTCCTTATGGACTGGAAGTTTCACAGACATAGTTTGTTTTAATATATAATTAATATTTTGGGCCACTGTAAAGACAGTTTAAGCCCAAAACCAGAAAACATACTGATATCCGCTTAATATTTCGAAACAAAAATTCGATGGTTTAAATTTTGTGCCACCACTAATCGTCACATCAATCGAATTTAACACTTTATTTATACCTAAATCCAATATTTTTAACTCCTTCACAGTCTTTGAAAAACATTTGTACAATGTACATGTATATATATCTCACTACAGCGATGGCATGACAAATTCTCTCAAATGTCATATACAACAGAATTAAAACTTTCCCATTGACTTAAGATTAATTATATTAACCTGTTCTCCTGTATCACTATTACCACCAGTAGCCACTTTAACCATAACACTTTCACCGTTCTGTCACAATAATATATAAACAAAAATATAGAGCAACATTTATTTAACTACACAATAAACTGTCAATGTTAGCTTATATCCGAACCATTTAGGATTGATATTCATCTAGCAAAATACTGTAGTTTACAAGGGATTCATACTCCACTTCTTTTTATCAAGAGGGTCATTCCATGTCAAGTGGGCCAGCGGTGAGAATCGATCCCCTCAAAAAAATCTGGAAAAAATATATGTTAGTGTACATGTAAAAACTAGAAACTGTGCAAACTTTGTAGTCTGTAGCATGAAATTTGACTGAGATACCGGCATCTGAGTTTCATGAGTTAACGATAAGTTTTCGAAAAAAAATATGTATTAGAAATTTACTTGAGTTTCAGATATCTTTATTTTTACCTTTATAGTTAAGATATACAGGTAGTATTAAAGAACTTTTGGTGTAGATTATGAATCTGCATTCAGATTACAGGTGAGTGGTAGGGTTCGCATGCTACTTGGCCATAAAAACCAAAATTGGTGTAATTGTATATTTTTAGGATTTTGTAGTGCTCCAGGAGCTACAAAGTAATAAATATAGGCTCAAATCTTGGCCTATCCAGAGATTGCCGGTAGTACTACATACGAAACATATGAAAACGCATCAGTCTTCACTAGATTCCCAGAAAATTAGCCTCAAATATGGTTTCAGACACAAATTTTCGAAAATTGCATATTTTCGATCTGATATCTGAAACTTGGTGTGATTAAAGTTTGTAGTAATGTCTCTAAAATATGTTAAAACCATCCTTGTCCCATGCCGTCTCAATATTTTTTCGATTTTTTTCAAAATCTGAGTTTTGGGTCATTCGATGTCAATTATCACCCAATGAGTTAAACCGTACCCCCTTCGATTTTTGTTTATATGTTTATTAGAGCTGAAAAAGCTGATATTCCAAATTTTAGCTTGATGCGACTAACCGTTCTTGAGATAAGGTCCACTCAATTTGGGGAATTTTGGCCAAAATGGGCGTGGCGCCATTATTCAAATGACCCTAACCCAGTAAACGATAGGTCAAAATTGCTAAGTATTTCTGGCTTTAACATATGTTGGAGACATTAGTACAAACTATAATTACACCAAGTTTCAGATGTTTAGGTGCTCATCTACCAGGTTCTTTCAGCTCGAAAATATGAGACAATTTTCAAAAATTTGTGTCTGAAACCATATTCAAGGCCAATTTTCTTGGAATCTAGTGTCGACTGATGCGTTTTCATGTTTCTTATGTAGTACTACCAGCAATCTCTGGATAGGCCAAAATTTGGGTCTATATCTATTACTTTGTAACTCCTGGAGCACTACAAAATCCAGAAAATATGTAATTACACCAATTTTTTTTTGGTTTTCATGGCCAAGTAGCATGGGAACCCTACCACTCACTAGTAATCTGATTGCGGATTCGTAATCTACACAAACAGATTACTAATACATATTGTGTTTCGAAAACTTAACAGTGACACATGAAACTCAAGCTACAGACCACAAATTTTGCATAGTTTCTAGTTTTTACATGTACAATAGCATATATTTTTTCCAGATTTTTTGGAGGGGGTCGATTTCCCAAATTTCTGAAAATTGACCCACTTGACATGGAATGTCCCAACAGTTACTTTATGAAAACTGGGACAGCACCTATGAACAAAGTTTGCAGACGACAAACTTTAAACCGTCTTTTGTGTCCAGTAAATAAAATTCCTTAACAGACATATTATATACAATAACTTACCTTAGTAAATAAAGGTGTAATAAAAACAAAGAATACATCATAAAAGAATAACAACACCAGAAGTACAGTACACACCTGAAAAAATAAATAAGAACATATGCTTCAAAGTGAAATGAACATCATTTTTAACAACATATGACCCTAGATTCAGAGCTGTATCAATAATGTCAAAGGTATAGTTTCCTACACAACTTCAATAACTACCCCCGACAATTAGTGCAGAAAATCATCAAAGCAACCACCAATCCTCCTACAGATATAAGCCAACCTAAACCAGATACACCACCAGTGAGAATAACAATACCTTTTCAAGGCAAACTATCGTACCACCTCAGAAGACTCCTAACCCCAACAGGCATCCAGGTAACATTTTCCAAAGGAAGAACTCTCAAAGATCTCCTGAAGGCCAGTGGCAAACTTCCCCCAACCAAACAACTGAACCCAAAAGAATGTGTTTATGAAATAACCTGCACGTGTGACAAAAAATACATTGGAGAAACTAGACAGCCTTTAGACAAGAGAATCAGTCAGCATAAATCTAAATCCTCTACTACCAATTCAGCTGTGGCCCAACACACACAATCCAACCCAGGACACAGAATTAAAACGTATAGAACCCTGGCGGCCAACCTACCGATAGAAAAAACCCGCAAAATTATTGAGGCCATACACATTAAAAGAAACAGTCCAGACCTCAACCGCGACACAGGGATATTCCTGCCTAGTGCTTATGATGAACTTATTAAATATACCTAAATTATGTGTTTTCCATCACCCCCACTCATTCTACAGTACAGTGGATAAGAAACCTTTGAATTTTTATGAGTTTTATTATTTTTCATTTTTTCTAATATTATTATCAATTTATCAGTTATATCCACTCTAATTCTTAGAATTATTACACATATGGGTTACTCTAGTCTAATTGTACATTTAATCACACAGACATATAAAGTTAATTACCATTATCTAAACAAACCATGGTATATCATAATTGTATTGTAGGTACTATCCCATTCTGCAGGTAGTATTGTATCTATCATCATAGCTACCTAATTGCTTAACTATACTCAATGGCTACTCTTCACACTTAATTAGTTTTTGTAGAATAAACCCCTTTGATCTTGTTGTTGTCCTGTATGGTTTCATGAATTGTTGTTACAGTTTTCTGTATATATTGATCTCATTATTCTTGTATTACTGTATTAGCTTGATAACGTTGAGAGAATACTCTTCGAAACGTCGCCCAAATAAATAAGTAGCTGTTTTTCCATAAGTATGTGTTTTTTGTGTATTGCTCTACCCAGTTACTAAATGCCTCTTAAAGATTACACATTAATAGTTTTCACAGTGATTTAGGAATATGTGTAACTATATTAGAAAGCTAAACTTATTCTGACCAGCTCCCTGCACATATTTTTGAAGCAATGCCCTGTGAAATCCCTTTCTAGCCAATGTTGTATTGAGACTGAAAACTTGAGTCTTTGACGGAGCGTGTCCATTCTAACCAAACTTTTCTTTTCTTGAAGCTTAAATAGTAAAATGTAAAATTATAGAGAATTATAAAGACTCACTTTAAGACTTGGTAATCGAATGGTTTTTAACATATTTATAGAAAAAGCAGCTCCTAATATATTTTGAAGAATCCATGCATAACTGGAAAAAAAAGAAACAAATGACTTTTAAGACTGAGTACAAACAATAAAGGTATACAGTAATCTGTAAAAATAATCTCATTAAATGTAATGCAATAAAGTTAATTATTCAATTTTTCAAATAAGAGCTAATTCTCTCTTCTTTGGCACCTAGAAAGTGACACAAATGGGTCACAACACATATAATAATGTACTAATATGAATGTATATAAACTGATTTAAATTCAATCGTTTCTGTTTTTTCTGATCAGTTATGTTCAGTGAAATACACGAAGAGTTCAAATTGAAGGACAGTCTTTAGCGTCTGGTCATTCCAGTCTACACAGAAGTATTCTCCTTTGGGATATGTTTAGCCTCGTTTATTGAGTCACGTCATTACAAATGGCGCTCTAAAGCATTCTGGCATGAGATTCGTGTGCCAATTTTTAAAATTTTCATTTTAAAATTTCATTAAATTGACCAATAGGTCGTGTTTGCAATGTTGAAGACTGTAGATGATATTGAGTTAAAGACTTGGCTAGTTTTAATGTTGATTTTGCAGACTCGCAAGATTCAGGTTTAATGTTTTCTATGTCAGCAATTTGGAAATTTCCAGCAATGCAAAGGTTTTATTTTGTCCCATGATTTTCCTTGATCATGGCTTATTTTGGTGGCGAAAAACATCACTCAAGTACTGAGAAAAACTGAGTATGTTTCGATGCAATCACGATTCCACAAAATAACTGGGAAAATCAATGTATAGAACTTGGCAATCATTATCTCTCTATAGACTGTATGTACTATTTTACAAATAATTCATGACAGGCTAAGTTATATCATGGACAGGGAGTAGGATTATCATGTAAATTTCTTTTAAACCACACTAAAAATGGTTGTAAGTTTCATATCTATATATTGTTGATGCATTTTTGTTTTAGGAGGATTAGCTTAATATAATGCTCCTGTTGTAGAAAATTATATAACAATTAGTATGAGATTGCCTACGGTATTTTTACAATCTGAAGTTTTAACCTACCTGGCATGTCTTTGAACAGCCCAAAATATACTAACTGACAGGCACAATATATACAAGAGCACACCACGATATTCTGGTGGATTTTCACAGCAGCATTTTAAACTATGTAATGGAAGCCTGAAATCAGTAGATATTTTAGTTTACATGATGGCCGCTGACTATTTTACTGGTCTAAAACTTGTTGGTGTGAAATGGATGCGACAGGTGCCATATTTTCTGGTTTGAGTACTTTAATATAATACAAAATATTACACAATTTTAATATTTCACAATATATAGATAGAACTCAATGACCATTGAATACTGCTCAGGTTATTCAATTGTTCCAGAGAGTGTATCCTTGTGCAAGTATTCCACGAGTAAACAATTGAATAACATGAGTGGTACGGTCATTGAGTTCTGTTTTTATTCTATAACTACATGCAAATCTCAAAATACACTGTACTATTCAGATTTTCAAAAAAAATGATCACCAATAAGGACGTTAAAATTAATCATAGGTTCCGTCCTTTTTTCTTTCCTTTTTACAAAAATTGTTGTTGCCTTGTAGTGACATCATTACAGTTTGACGTAATTCTGAAAGTGATGTCATTCTGGACAAAAGTAGTACGTGCCCAAAGCATTGAATACAACCATAGGTTATTCAATGGCTGTATTCAATGGCTGCATTCAATGATATTTGCTTGTATTTGTATGTAGTTATAGAATATATTGAGATATTGTAATACAGAATTATTACAATATATATCGCATTACAGGATTTAGATCAAAATAAGACACTTTTTATGGAATACCAATTACTATGGTTTATTACACCGAGACTAAATTTCACAATTATTAAATGTCATTCAAAGAATACAGGATTTAGTCATTTAGCTGTAATACCCATTCTTTCATATTAAACTTACTTGGAATCACAAGATATAAGTTTCTTCCACAGAGGCTGAGCACAAAAATATAGACCAACAGATCCAGCTAACGTAAACAAACCTATCATGGCATATACTGTTAAAAGAAAACATTTCAATTAGACTTATGGATGTAATTATAAGTCTATTAAGAAATTTGTAAAATATTTTGTTTTTAAAAAATTACTTTTTGACATACTTAATGATAGAATAAGTAGTATTCCCATAGATGGTTGGATGGGCTAATCTATATAATGTCCTTTCTTAAAAGAGAGAGGGAGACAGAGTTTAATTTAAGCATAATTTAATTGCAAGATCATTTGGCAGATTTCAGATAAATAAAATTTTACCATCCGCTCTCCATTTTTCTTCATACTACTTACCAAGATAATCATAGAAGAAATACAGAGATACCAGCATTCCACACAATAATATAACTAATATCAATAGAGTTACTGGTGACAGGTCTACAGCATCATCATCCTTCTCATCATCAGACCCAAATTTACTTTTCACTCTGTTTCAAAAATAAACAAAAACAACTACTGTAAACATTATATGTTGAGTTACATTGTATTACACTTTTAAAAACCTTACCATTTCATTGAATCAACGACAGAATCTAAACTTGGGTACCCCAATTTTATTTTATTTTGTTTCTATAAACATCATTTAGACTAAAAAACTTTGTTTAACCACTGATTTTAATGGGTCTGTGACGAAATGTCCCAATAAAAAAATATCAGATATTTGTCATATACGGTACTTGTAATAAAGCATATCAACCAAATCTTGGAATTTTTATTTTTCATTCACAAGTTCTATATTCTGTTTTATCAGATTATTTTGTAAAAGATTGTATTTTAAGATAAAACAACAATTTAATATTTTTTTTTGTAAGAACAGTGATAATGTGATTGTCATCCAGTTACATATTCGGTTTCAAGAAAGACACAAGAGTAAGGAGAAATCTTATAAATTCTTTATATTTTATTTGTCATGTAACATGTTTGTGTTAATTAAAGGCAGAATGACTTCGGATTCTGTATTATTTCAACTACAGTAATGGGGAGAGAGAGAAATGGGGTTTAACGTCCACTCGACACAAACTAGATCATTTCGGGACTAACATATGGTTTTAATTTTATTTCAATAATTCGCTTGCGCGTAGGGGTCTTTAGCAGTTGGAGGAAACCGGAGGACCTGGAGAAAACCCACGAGGATGGACAGGCGACCCTACTCCTTGTCATATACAACCGGGATTTGAAACCACGCCAGTTGACTCAATGACAGGCCTTATGATACAGCACGCACATGCTAACCATTCGGCCATCCAACACCCCAACTATAGTAATAGTTGATAATGAATAAAACAAAGAATCTGAAAAGATAAACATCCCCATTTAACCCTTAACATAATCAATGTAACGGCAGTCATCTCTTAAATACTGTTTACATCGTGGATAAGGCCACTACATTCTATTTATAGGACAGCATTAAATTTTCAAAGCAAAATAATGAAATATTATACCCTTCATGTTTAACAACACCAGACCAATAGGCTCCAACACCAACACACAGTACAGCAATAAGAAAGATACAAGCCATGTTTGGATCTAATTTTGGTGATTCAGGAGAATACACGGCTATATACACAGACTTTCCTAATTTCTGAAATAAATACCAATATTATATTTAATTACTATTACACTGGTATAAAACAATTTTGTATGAGGCTTACGGCTCAAGATGAAATTCAATTATTTAAAGCAAATCACCCTTTTTCAACAAATAAATTGAATATAAATTCATATGATATTTATCTAATAAAGAAGTCTAAGAGTACCATTATCCCCTCTTATAATAACAGATTGTTAACATGTTAATGTTTAAATCTGATCTTATTCATAAGCCAATATAATATTACATGTACTGTATTAAATAGTTGACAAACTATATCCTTCAGATATAAATTGCCACACACCTCTAAAATCATTGTTAACAAATCTCTAATATCAATGTTAACAAATCTCTAAAATCATTGTCAACATAACATACATGTATCTCTAAAATCATTTTTAACATAACATACACGTATCTCTAAAATCATTGCTAACATCATTGTTAACATATCTCTTTATTGTTAATTACAAACCACTATTAAATGTGAGCTAAATTTAATCTAAGACAAATTGTTTGGGGTGGGGGGGGGATCAATAAAATTTGTTATTTCTGCCACATCAAAGTCAGACTAGAAGAACTTTTTAAGAATGCTTGAAACTACACATTATCTTCATACATGTACACTGTACATTGTAGGAAAAGCTATGCACTGAATATAGATTAGTTACTTACCCTAACAGTCTGATAATCTTTCCACATAATAAATGCCATGGTGATGTTTATCTTATTGTAGTCATCATCTGTCCGTGCTCCTGGTACAGTCTGTTTCAAAATAGATTCCATAATTAATAATTATATATACCTAAAATAGCAGTTTATCTAATGACTTGGGTCAATTTGGTGGTACCATATGTATTGATTTGTTTTGTGAGTTAGTAAATTTAATGGTATACAGTTTGTCCCATCACTAATCAAAATAACACATCAGATCAAGCCAAATTATGTTGATTTGACTTGTGAGACAGCAGCCTGTCTTCGTTTCAAATTCTGAGTCTGAGGATAAAGCCAGTGTTTTGTGTTCAAACCTCAACAGTTAAAGTTGAACAAACTATTCTACGCTCATTTTTTAAAAAGAGAGTTTAATGGTATATAGAGCATGCTATAACACTATTCAAAATAATACATAGATCAGCCTGATGATGGAGCACATCTGAAAGTACCGTATTAGCTATTATATCTCCAGTACGACTATTTCACAATGATAGTGACATATGTTTCAACAATCTAACCATTTGGAATTAAAGTATCAACACATGCCATAATGTATGTTGCATTTGTTTCACCAATTAAAATATATTGAGCGATAAGACAGCAAAGATATCATTCTTCGAATTAAAACTTACAAATCCAGTTCCATTTTCATATCCGACAAACAAGGCGCCGGAACCCAGACCGTCTTGGACATATTCAGCTTTTTCAGCAAATGTACAGTTTCCTCGAAGCACAGCTACTATTTTATTTTCAACAGAGTTTTTACCATAAATATTTGAACAGCCATATGAATCGGAAAAATCAGCTAACAGGTGTGTTTTCTGAAATGTTAAATAAATATCTGAGTTACAAAAACAATTCCATTATCTGCACTCTATACCCTTTTGATTTCTATTGATTCCAGTTACCTCCAGTTGTCCATGTCCCTGGACAAGTGTCCCAGCTGCTCCCATCCTATCACAGGCTCTGCTTAACCTGGTGTTTGACTACCGGACTAGTACCATTACCTTTACTCAACAGGAGAAATACATCCCAACAGACTTTCAGCTAGAGCTGATCATTTACAACGTAACTCATCTCATAAGTGATGTCTTTAAATGGACACAACCAGGGGGTGCTGTTCACATTACTGCCAAATGGGATTTGTAACACATCTCAAGTACAACTGTGTTAAAATATAAATCCTTCTGATGATTTTGGGGATTAACCAACGTCTGATTGGGTAAATGTCAAAACTGGTCGGCCCTGACCATTCAACCTTTAATGCACTTCTCCAGTAAAAGAACCCTTGCAAGTTGGTATTCGATATAAGAGTAGGTCGTTGCGCCACTGAAGGGCAAAATTCACCTAATAGCACAACGATGGAGCCCAGTCGGAGCAGAACAGTAGGACGTATAACCCCATTTCATTTCATTTCTTTTTATTGACGGCTACAGTAACAGTATCACCTATCGACAATGCATATCAGTATGATACTTTTAGCCTCCTTCTCCGTAATTGTAACACGTTCTTCTTTATCAACCCATAATGGGCATACATTGTTCTCTGCATCAGCATTCGTGTTTGCTGGCAACATGCGTAAATGGACCAATTTTGGAAGAAATGCGTCGTCTGATATGTTTTTGTGGAGGTGTCACACTAACGTCATGATGTCATAGAGACATAAAATCACCATTTTTGGACTAGCTGGTACCGACTTCCTATCTGTCCGCAATACATTTATGGTGTCTAAATCCAACAGTTTTGGAGATATTTGCGATTTGCTATCTTGGATTTGGTCGCGTCTCCTGTCCTTATCTTTCACTTACTTAGGGCGTCATAATCAGTCAATAGAAATCAAAAAAACTTTTGTTGCAATTTGTTTTACGTCAAATGTTAGTTTGACCAGCCTATTATGTACACGGGACATAAGTTTTTGCAATAGCAAGAAACCCTGTCAGGTTTGATTTTGAACCATATTTGGTTCGATATTTGTACATGAAGTACATGTAGGTGAATTTGTTGTTTCTTTGTTTTCGTAAGACAATTATCTGATTATTGACTGTTGATTATTGATTACTCCCATTGCTTCATTTTTTTCATTGTCTTTATGCAGCTCTCTGCTAACTAGAGTGCTTTTCAATAATTTATTTATTTCATATTTTCATGTTGCCTATCATTATTACTATTAGGCCTACTCAATAGCCTATTATAGTATATATTATGAAGGCCTAACATTATTGGTGGTGTGTGATGTGTTTAAAAAAAGTGCATTATGCTAGAGCTAAATCTAGACCATCAGATTACTTAGATATTGAATGGATTAAAACACAACTGCCATTCAATAATATGACGTTAAAATGGATAATCTAGACTTTATTATCACAGCAATAGCACTTGACAATCAAGACTATCATGTAAAAACTTCAACATTCATAACTTTCCTCAGAATAAAGTAATTTGTCTGAAAATTTCAATATATATTTATTGTTCACTATCTTTTTTGAACAACTATAGCTAAGTCAAACACACATTTATAGTTTTGTTATTTGTTTGAATTCATACAGAATCCATACTTACCGAAAATTCTGCTTCTGTAGGCAATGAATGATATAGAGGATTATATGCTATACATATTGTAGCCTCTGCTGAATTATTGGTCCCTGATCTAGCATGAAGAATACCCGCTTCTCCAACAGTCTACAAAACAGATCATAGGTCTAATGTTAATTGGCTAGTTAGAAGAAGTATTCAAATAAATTATAATTAAAATATTTATGAGCAAATCCAAAAAGGAACTGACTTGATTTTACAAAAAAGATAAGATATTAGGATTATTAGTTTGTTTACATCAGACACATAAAAATGGCAGTGTGAAGTCAACAGAAACCAATGTAAACTTCAAATGACTAAGCTTACAACTTATTAAGCTAAACTGTCCTATCATGATAGTTTTGAGACCAACATGTTTTGGTTTAGAGTAGTTGTTATTGTATTTTGTCATTTGTATGGCTCCTTGTTTCTGTACTGATCAATAAGAAAGTGGGGTCTGTCTTATAGTCTTTTTTCAGAAACCATTGAAGTTGCAACTGAACTTTGTACTGAACATGTATTAAGACAAATCTGTGCCAGATAGCAGAGGCTAGCACACTTGTGCCAGGGCCCCAAAGTTTTAGGGGCCCCTTAGAAAGTTAGAATACAGAACAAAAAGTTCACAACTACCAAAATTATATAAATATCTGGATAAAAAAGAAATTTAACTAATATATATTCCACTGAATTCATTTATTTTATAGCTATTTACTCAATTTATCTGTTTATTTTTTTTAACTATATATTTGTTTCACAACTATTTATCAATAATATTTTTATATACCGGTAATTCAATTCTAATATAAACTTAACCCATTGTTTGGGTTGGGGGGGGGGAGGGGGCAAGCAGGGAACTCTATTAAGTTAAGACGTATGGGAACTGTGAGGTTGGTTGGACTGTAGTAGCTTTTTAAAAATATGTTACCTACCACATTAAAAACACTATTATAATGTGCCTCGCTTTGCTACACAGTACTCAGAATTGCTTTTATGCCCATGCATGCTTAACCAAGTGTCCTACTATGTAGAGGCTAAATCAATAACACTATAATAGTAAAGATGCCTACCGATATTATTTCAAATAGGCCTTTAAATAACTAGTCTACAATGAATGTTCACAAATTACTAGTTCATAGTCTAAATGTCAATTTTGTTTGTAACCCAAAGTAGTAAAGTACAAGTTCTAAAATGTTTCAAGTAGTTCTAGTGTTGATGATTGAAATAGAATAATGTATGACATTTTCAACATGATCAGTCATGTTATTTTTAAACATAACACCATATAAACCATCACGAAAAGATGATGTATTATTGGATGAAATTTGACATTTGACATGTAATGTACAATACGTCACATCACGCTCATTCTTTTTTTCTTTATAACACCTGAAGACGATAACAAAATGTTAAGGTCTATAGTATTGTGATATTAACATACAGGTATCACCATATAGGCATGCATACACGTAGGATAAAAAAAAGGTGATAACACATTCATTAGATGTACTTAGGTCCTGGAAAATTATGTTCATTATAAATTATAACTGCATAATAAAACAATAACAGATACAAACAATAATACATATAGGAGTACAGCATGACCAGCACAATCGATGAATAGAAAAGTGCCACAAAGACTACCTGTGCTGTGTCATTCAGTATAACACTAATTCTTCATTACTTATTAAATTAGTTATCTGGGGTAGGTTTTTTTTTAAAAAAAATTTATTGATAGGTTACTGGCTCATTACAACAGCTCAGTACCTGATCAACAATGCGGACAAATGGGGCTTATCAGGGACCTCGAGAATAAATGTCAGTCGCATAAAATGCACTAAATATAGACTTGATCTAAAGGGGTCCAAGCCAGTCCAAGTGGAGCCGATGTGCCCAAATCATGTTGTACCGGACTATCGGGATCAGGCTAAATCACAGCACGCCACCCGGGTAAACAAATCTTACTAGCTCGCGCCAGCGTAAGTCCTTAAACAAAGACGTGGGATGACTTGCACTCGTGCAGTAGGCCTAATTATTCGTCTTGTATTTAAGTGTAAATGGACAGCAAGAGACACAGATATTATTATTATACTATAGGAAATCTTGCTTTCTTGTGGTAGCCCAAACTTACGATATACTGTCAGACTGTACATTTTTGACAGCATTTATTTGTTCTCCAACTGTAAACTTCAACTAGTGATTTCTTACATTTACAACCCCCTCCATGTTTTTCTTTCATTCATCAGTTAAAGGGACATGTTGCATCCGTAACTGCAGAATGTAATGGCCACCAACCATGTAGTCAACCCAGCCCGGCAACAGCTTATTCATTTTCTACATAATTCACCTCAAATTTGTAATTAGCCTGCAGATGAATGAGATAAATGAAAAGAATTGGTGGAGAAAATATATAATTCGGCGCTATTGCACTTTTGCACCTCCACCTTGATTACTGGAGGTCACCACGACCTTTCATATTGACCACTCCCATAGACTTCCTTTGAGCACAGGTCCTGTGCGTTTGACCATTTTCTGACCAAGCATGAGTGTGTTACACGACCAAGGTAAACATTGATGTTCCAAGCCAAGATGATGGCCTTTTAAAATGGTTATGGGGTGAAGGTCATAAGTCAAGGTCAAATGTCCCAAAACTGCCTTTGAAAAGTTTGATTTCAGTTTTCTGTAACATGACCTTGACCCACTACCTTGACCCCGTCATCTTTTATCAAGGGCATCTTCTCTGCTTTCACCCTGGACATTAACCTTGAATATACAGCCAGGAGAAGTGCATAGCACATATAAGCACAAAGGTCCCGAGCTCAATGGGAAATTTGAAGTCAGGGTCAGCTTCAAGGTCACAGCGATATTCACACGTAAAGGCCAATCCAACAGGTGAACAGGTCAATGCCAAATAGTCGTTTATAGAAAATGGTGACTTAGCGCAAAAAATCAAATATATGAAAATTATTAATATTGTTAGGAACTGCATGTAGCGTTAGGCAGGAAACATGAATTGTACAGTGTGTCGGAATCCGTCTTCTTAGTGTCTTGTTTATTCCAGTCGAAATAGTCAACAAAGAAAATGGCGTCAAAATGATAAACTTATCTCTCCTGAGAAGCTGAAAGGTCGGTAAAATGAAAAGCTATAGATCGATTCGGCTGAAATTTGGTGTGAGATCATGGCTAGTCCCCCTTAACATCCCCTGTAAATTGGTAGAGATGTGAAAGTGCAATGCCAATAGGCCTAGCCCCGAATTCTAATATTCTTATCATTAATTTTATGAAGTATATATTTAACCGTATACGGCAAAGTATCTACTTCCGCTATTTTACCGTACATCGTTTCTGATTCAAAATGGCGGAAAGTACAGATATATTCCGCCATTTTGGTAACTCGTCTTTCAAGTTCGGCGCAGAAGCACGATTTTACGGGAAAAACATAAACCACTGACAATCCGCAGAAATGCGCCCTCGACCAAAATAGAATAATATTCTAAATGCTTTTCTACAATTTACATTTATTATCTTATTTTCTTTTAAAAATAATTCTCCAGTTTCTACCATAGAAATTCAAGTATGGCCATTTCGTTCCTTTATAAGAAACGGAAAAAGAAGCAATGTTAGACAAAAAACAAATAGAACTGTTGGGTTAGCTTTTGGGTTTGGGTTATGGGTTAATGTCAGACGGCATTGCCAAAGCGAAAACTGCTAAGTCCAGGTATCAGAGAACTGAGCATGTTAAACGGAAGTGTACGGTAAATAAAGTAAAGTGCCGTATACGGTTAAATATCCACTGCCTTTAATTAAGGCCACCTAAAAAAAAATAGTTGGTGATCGTCCTTTTTTTTTCAAAAAATGTGGGAGGGAGGGAAGTTTTTTTGGGTTTTTTTTTTTTAATGAATATACAGAATAAGCAATATACTTCAGGAATATTAACCTTTTATTTCATGTCAAAACACAACTCATCTGCATGATCGTCATTTGAATTGTTCAGATTAATTATTTAAACTTGAGATATTCCGCCTTGGATTCAATCAGATATAATGATATTTATAACTGAACACTTATAGGTGGTGCTGACTGGTTTAATGTTGCAGGATATCAAATGTTGCAAAATTTTCAATTCATATCATGTCTTTGGACAAGATTTATTTAGCCTAAATTACAATGTTTTGAGAAGGATTTGAAGCAAAATTATGACAAATTAATTAGTTTGAATATGTGTTTAGTCCTATTATAATACCATAAATCACCCAGTTTGTACACAGGAATGTATCTTTAAATAGGCATAGGTACATGTACTATTGGATTGCTATGATAATATTAAACAAAGTCTCGGATACCATACGTCCAATTAAATGGCATGGGTGCTAAATATTTAAGAAAAGATTTTTATTGACTCATCTTAAACATTGTGCATTGCACATCGTCATAACATCACAACAATATTCATAAAATTTAGGTTACCGGTACAATAATTTACATACCTGTAATTAATTAAGAAATAGATAGATATGGTATATCAAGGTTGTGGACCCTCTAGAGACCACAGTTTTTATCCAATTGGGATGAAACTTTAAATATATGTTTTTATCATTAAGATCTTGGTTCCTTTTGATAATTATTAACATTAGTGTTACTTTGCTCTTATTTTTTGAAAAAATTTTCACAAGTTGATTTCCTTTATTTTGTTAATGTAGAATGGTAACGAACTGCTCTTTTCATTTTCTTTGTTTTATTTGTTTCGTTTGAATTTGATTTATCTGTTTAGTTTTTGATTGTTTAATTTTTGTTAATGAAGTTGATTCTTTTAAACTTCGTTTTTATTTTTGAACTCTACTTGGTGTAGGTGTTCATCAGGTAATACCTCGACTGAGTTCAATATTGAGATTAGCCGGTTGATTTGTTGGATATAAACCTTTGAATAATAGCGCCTAACAGGCAGCTGTGTTTAATTATGTTCTCCTGATTTTGATTGTTTCTGTGTGTTTGAAGTATATGTTTGTGATATGCGCTTAGAAACACTTCACGTGTAATGAAGCGCTATATAAATCGAACAATAATAATATTCTTTTTAGACATTCAACTTTCATAATATTGTATTTTGCGAA